CTAAACGGCATAGTCGAGTGGTTCACGTTAGCGTGTTATACGAACTGGTGCAGAGGCTAAGTGCAGCTACAGGGGGTTCATCACAGGGCTCGCTCGACGGACAAAGGGCTGTTGCGCCACTGGGATAGGTTCCAGCCTAGTTGCGGCTCACTTGAAGGGGGGTGGCCGAAGGCACGAGGGGGGCGGCGTCGGAAGCAGGGGAGAACATGGCAAGTTGAATGACAAATTGAAAGTGTGGTCGCTGGTATTCGAGAACACTACAACGTTTCCTATTGGATGCGATCTGTACCGAGTGATGACATTGAACTTGTTGCAAGTGCAATCTCGACGTCTCTTGAAAGTCTCTATGTGAGCTTAGAAGAGATTCACGACCAGTGGTGCATGGTGCTGGGAAGGTAGGTTCGTTCTCGCTTGAGGAGAAATGAGAAGCTAGGAGGTTCGAGTCGAATGAGTGCTTCGCTGTAGGCGAAGTCGAGGTAGACTTGCTGTGGGAGTTTCATGACTACGGACGAGTTATACCACGCTGAGAGACGCAATTGTGTGCTTAGTTCGTGCGCTATCGGCTACTATGTACTAGCTGGATGTATCGTGCATCACAAAGTCAATATGGACTAAACGGCATAGTCGAGTGGTTCACGTTAGCGTGTTATACGAACTGGTGCAGAGGCTAAGTGCAGCTACAGGGGGTTCATCACAGGGCTCGCTCGACGGACAAAGGGCTGTTGCGCCACTGGGATAGGTTCCAGCCTAGTTGCGGCTCACTTGAAGGGGGGTGGCCGAAGGCACGAGGGGGGCGGCGTCGGAAGCAGGGGAGAACATGGCAAGTTGAATGACAAATTGAAAGTGTGGTCGCTGGTATTCGAGAACACTACAACGTTTCCTATTGGATGCGATCTGTACCGAGTGATGACATTGAACTTGTTGCAAGTGCAATCTCGACGTCTCTTGAAAGTCTCTATGTGAGCTTAGAAGAGATTCACGACCAGTGGTGCATGGTGCTGGGAAGGTAGGTTCGTTCTCGCTTGAGGAGAAATGAGAAGCTAGGAGGTTCGAGTCGAATGAGTGCTTCGCTGTAGGCGAAGTCGAGGTAGACTTGCTGTGGGAGTTTCATGACTACGGACGAGTTATACCACGCTGAGAGACGCAATTGTGTGCTTAGTTCGTGCGCTATCGGCTACTATGTACTAGCTGGATGTATCGTGCATCACAAAGTCAATATGGACTAAACGGCATAGTCGAGTGGTTCACGTTAGCGTGTTATACGAACTGGTGCAGAGGCTAAGTGCAGCTACAGGGGGTTCATCACAGGGCTCGCTCGACGGACAAAGGGCTGTTGCGCCACTGGGATAGGTTCCAGCCTAGTTGCGGCTCACTTGAAGGGGGGTGGCCGAAGGCACGAGGGGGGCGGCGTCGGAAGCAGGGGAGAACATGGCAAGTTGAATGACAAATTGAAAGTGTGGTCGCTGGTATTCGAGAACACTACAACGTTTCCTATTGGATGCGATCTGTACCGAGTGATGACATTGAACTTGTTGCAAGTGCAATCTCGACGTCTCTTGAAAGTCTCTATGTGAGCTTAGAAGAGATTCACGACCAGTGGTGCATGGTGCTGGGAAGGTAGGTTCGTTCTCGCTTGAGGAGAAATGAGAAGCTAGGAGGTTCGAGTCGAATGAGTGCTTCGCTGTAGGCGAAGTCGAGGTAGACTTGCTGTGGGAGTTTCATGACTACGGACGAGTTATACCACGCTGAGAGACGCAATTGTGTGCTTAGTTCGTGCGCTATCGGCTACTATGTACTAGCTGGATGTATCGTGCATCACAAAGTCAATATGGACTAAACGGCATAGTCGAGTGGTTCACGTTAGCGTGTTATACGAACTGGTGCAGAGGCTAAGTGCAGCTACAGGGGGTTCATCACAGGGCTCGCTCGACGGACAAAGGGCTGTTGCGCCACTGGGATAGGTTCCAGCCTAGTTGCGGCTCACTTGAAGGGGGGTGGCCGAAGGCACGAGGGGGGCGGCGTCGGAAGCAGGGGAGAACATGGCAAGTTGAATGACAATTTGAAAGTGTGGTCGCTGGTATCCGAGAACACCCTTGTTATCACGAGTGTATGAGGAATTGCACTAGTGTATTTTCGTTGAGCTCGAGGACCAGTGTACCTCAATTTGTGTTGGTCCGCGCACTGTCAGCGAAGAATACATGTCCTAAGACCAGTGACTTAGTTACGTATTGTATAATTTCTCACAATCAGTTGAGCCCCTTGGCTATATTCAACGAGGAAACTAATCATTTTTGTAGCTATGTTGTGTTGTTTGGTCGAAGGAACTTGTTTTACAGTAGGCGCGGTGGAGTTGATTCCTCGAGTGGGTACTGTACTTTTAGTGTACTGTACCGTAATTGGTTACGGTTACCTAAATCGGTTTCATTCCGTCGTTACTCATCTCGCCGGATTCAGATTCTACTGTTCCTCTAAAATCTCGTGTTGGTTCGATGGTTTGACATTGCGATCTTGAACCGGAATTCTCACTTTTCCCCCATGAATTATCAGCCGTCACTGGTGCAACAGCAGCTCCCGCTCCTTCGCCTCGCCAAGATCTGCGACTGGGGTGGGCTTAGAAAGGCAGTGGACAAAGCGTCGCAGGACCAGATCGAAGCCACCGACGACTACGGCATGCACGTGCTGCACTGGGCCGTGACGGAGGCCAACATCCCCCTCGGTCTGCTCGAGTACCTCATTCGAGCGTTTCCGCATGGCGTCCGTACTTTCTCCAACGGCGGCTTCTTGCCGTTGCATCTCGCGCTCATGGCCGGCGCGTCCGTGATCCGCGTGCAGAGACTGGTCGAGTCGTTTCCTCAGAGCACCATCTTACCGATTCCTTCCGGCCACACGCCCATCATGATCTTTGACGAGCACCTGCCCATGGATACCCAAGCGCTCAAGCGAGCCGACGGGCAGCAAGGACTGGCGGCGGCCAAGATTCACGTGTGGGGCAATATCCTCGTGGGTCACGTCCTTCGGAGCTCGTCGTATCGACCCGATTCCAATCGTCCAATCAAACCCCGTCGTCATTCGACGTCCATGTCCGGCTTGTCGACCACGTCGTCGTCCGCCGCCACGTCATCTTCGTCCTCCACCGCTTCGTCGTTACGCCAATCATCCGAGGAATGTCCGTCATTTGACTGGCGAGAACTTTCTCGGCGCATGTCGGCCAACGATCCTACCTTGGACGACATCGTCGACGACAGAGCCAAGCTACTGCTCATGGCCGTGATGAAGGCGCCATTTGACCTCTTTCAGTGGATTCTCTCGTTGTGTCCAGAATGCACCAGAATCCCCACGTCCAGCGGGTGGCTACCGCTTCATGTGGCGGTGGCCCACCAGGTGTCTACGAGGCGGCTGCAAAAGCTACTGGAAGTGTACCCCGAAAGCATCCACGCCCTCACTCGACAGGGCGAATCGGTATGGTCCCTTGCCCAAAAAGCGCCTCTGGACGCGACCAGCCTCGAGCTGCTTCGACAGAGTGCCACGTCAGTCGCGTAACAACGCGTTGGATAAATTTATGTATAAATGGTTCGTGTGTTAGTTTGCTAACTGTCGTTTCGAAACAAATTGAATTGCCAGTCCTGTGGGGCATTACGTTGGCAAACAACGCCCGTCGAATGGCGGTGCAGTGGTGGGGGAACGACGGGTGGTCGTCGCATATCCAACAAAAGTCGGAATGAGGGGGTGGCCCCTCGCAATGTACAGGCGAATGACGTCCACAATCGGACGGCACAGCTGTAGCAACGTGACCAGCACCACATCCTCAGATATCCAGTAGAAAGAGTGGGAAGCGGGCGCCGTCCTGGGTTCTAGAATGCCCACTTGGCGGTGAGCTCGTCGCCAGGGGAAGCTGGGGGCTAGGGACGAAATGTGTCGCCTATCGAGTCAACAGGTCAGTGGTTGTTTCATGTCTAAGCCGTTGAAACGACTCGGGAACGAGGGTAAGGAGCTGATCGTCTTCTGACGTTGTCACGGAGTACAAAAGTAGCTCGATCCGATATGTGATGGGGTCAGACGGGTGCCGTACGCACAAGTCGGTCGTCGGGTCTTGCCGCGGGGAACCCCCGTTCCACACAGACGTCGCATCCGCCGAGGAGCATCGCGGGGACGAAGGATCTGGCGGCGAAGAAGTGATCGAGTGAAAAGTTGGGAATGTAAGTGGAGTCTGCGCCGGCAACCTCACATCATTCCGAGGACGCTCGACTACAACTCTCCATTCTTGGAGGATTATGGCTTATGGTCAGGGCCGACCGTATGGCCTGAACATCGGTGGAAGCATTGGCGGGTGCAGCAAGGAGAGATTACTTTGCAGTCCTGGCTAGCTCCACAACCTGCTCTGCTAGCTAGCAGCTCCAACATAATCGTGACATTTGAACTTAATTGGGAATGGGATACTTAGGGCGCTGCCATCGTGGATGTTGGTTTCGATACAGACGAACGAAAGCGGGTGTAGAGGTCGATGAAAGGCATGCCGTGCAGGTCTTTGGGGTCAAACAGAGTGGAGAGCGAGACTGACGACGCCGTGGGGCTGTGACAGAGTAAGGGTTCCACGCGGTAGGCCACCGGGTCGGACGGGTGGATAAAGTTCAAGTAGTAGTTGCACTTTGGACGAGTTTCACCAAAGTGGAAGAGGCTGTAACATCGTTCTGGTGATCCAATGCGACGTCGCCGCGCGCCAAGAGTATGATCGGAACGGGGAACCAGCGGCAAAGAGGTTTTCGACGGGGAGTCAAGCCCTGGGAACCGCATGCCGGTGGAGGAGACGACGCCAGGGCCGTGGGTGAGCAGGTCGTACGCGATGACTGACCCCAAAGAATGGGCAAAGATCGACACGTTCGCACAAGGGCACCAGCATTCTTCCTAACACCTTGACAACTCAAAACTCGAAGTGTCGCAATGTGGTCCCTTAACCGGAATTGTCATCATGTTATCCGGAAGCAAATGTGAAACTCCAACGCGAAACGGCGTAAATATAGATTGGCGCTGACCTCATGAGCGCGCGCCGCCAGCCGCTTCCTGCGGTAGGATTGTCCATCCCTAGGCGAACACTGAGTCTTAAGATTGAAATGCTACGTAGAACGCAGGACTGAAGCAGACGCCGTCTGCAAACGATTCCTCTGCCGCGTGCTTGAACTTTCCTGCTCGGCCAGGCACGCCCGAAGCCGTGCGAAAGTTCCGCAAGTCGTACTTCGCCGAGCCGGGGACGCGCATTGTGCATCCTGGCTTGATTGACGACGTCAAGCACATCGATGCCACACGAAAGTTTGGTATCACGTCCAAGAACAGCGACCACGTCTCGGTAGATTCAACTCTCGCTTCGTCAATTTTCGTCATTTCTGGTGTTTTTTACTAGGACATCATGCCTGCCAAAGTGCCGACGGAACACGCGCTAATCACCCAGCAAAAACTGGAGGCGCTGTACATGAGTTCCAAGCGCGAACCGTTGGGCACAACGTACTCGCGCGGGCACCACTTCGATCCAACCGCGACGTTTGGGGCGCCGTCGGAGCCGAGCGACGTGGCCAAGGACGTCCTGTACGGCATCCCGTTCAATGAGACAGCCGAGACCAAGGCTTTGTACAAGCGCAGCCACGGGAGCTGCGACCCCGGCGAGCAGAAGAACCGGCAGTACGCCAATGTGGACTTGGCCAAGGCGCGGTTTGGCATGCACAAGCGAAAGGACGAGGGCGGCGTGGAGGCCATTCTCAACCCCGAAATGGACGACCACGTGAGCAAGGTCGTGATCGCCAAGAAGAACGTCGAAGACATGAAAAACACGATGGATATGCTGGGGAAGCCGCGCAACCTAGGCTTCAACCACGCCACCAGTCCAGACCATGTGTTTGGCGTGAAGCATGCCAAGGGCTGTGCCGACGCCGCGCTTACCATCCATGGCTCGTACTCGTTTGAAGAGCAGCAGCCAGATGCAGATCTCGGCAAGCCAGTGAACCGCGGGTGGATGAACGCTACCGATGAGCACCGGTCGTTTGGAGTGCCCAGCATTCGGTCCGATGTTGCCCCTCCGTCCAAGCGGTCCATTGCCGACGCCCAGGTATATATATATATACTTAGTATTTACGATGGATATATATATATTTACAATGGATATATATATATATATATATATATATATATACAATGGATATAGATATATTTACGATGGATATATATTTCCTATTGATAGTAATATATCATGCGATTGACTGCACATTGTGAATGTGTGTAGAACTATGGCGACGACGTCAACGCGCACGAGTTGCTGTACCCAAACCAGTACTCGGCACTTGGTGTTGAAGACGCCGAGTTTACGACAGTGAGGACCAAAGCGTTTCTGACAAACTTGTTTAGCAAGATGGGGTACGACGAAATTCCGCCCGACGTGCTCGACCAAGTGTATGTCCGCGCGACGCTTCGAACAGAGTACACGCCCAAAGGCGTGGCGAGCATCCAGGACTTTCGAGAGGTGCTCAACGACTACTTGGACGCCCGGGACGCCGGCCCCGCGGCTGTTGGCCAATGGAAGGCTCAATTATAAGACAAAAGTATCAATGCTCGAATATAATATCACAAACTATTTCACGTGATTTATGGTGCAGACAGTTTTTGCAGCCGAGCGTCGAGGTGCTCCAGGTTGGCTTGGAATGTGCTGAGGTTGCGCGTCAAGTTGGCTTCCATCTACTTGATATATTAATGCATGAATATTTGGAAATAATAAAATATGTACAGCTGATTGCACATACATTTTCAAGGAGCGTGGCATCGGTGGCCAAGATAGCCTGCAGTTGCGTCGTGTTGAGCTCCAACGTGGCAATGCGTTCACTATTCATCCCATCAAACGTCCGAGATGAAGGACGATCGTTAACAAAGTACCTAAAGGTACTGGCGGCGTCGTGAAGCGCTTGGACGCTGGTGAGTTTGTCCACCAAAGCGGGGATGGCTGCTGCCGTCGCGCCCACAGACTGCGAAACCAACATTATATAGATAAAGATATGGAAAGTATGGTTAAATCGATTCGAAATTGGAGCCCTCAGCAGAATCGAATGTCTCACGAGATTGAGTCAAAGAACCAATCAAACCAATCACTATCGAATTTCCGCCAATCAAAACTTCAGCCCAGTCCTCCGCATACATCAGGTATACTGATCTCCACCCTTAAACGAAACGGAGCAAATTATGCAATTCACACAGTAAAGTAACTCTTACAGGTATTTGCAGGCTGTCTGAACCAACCATTTATACATGCATTCAAGCGCTGGGCGTCTCCAAGTCAGAGCTGAGTATGCCAGTGCGTCTCCAGCAGTTTCTCACAGTGGAAATGATGTCATCCATTTCAATGCCAAACGATTCAAGTGTTCGAATTTTGAAAAAGTCATCACCTTCCGATATGGTTGGATAATATAAAGTTTCAAAAATTATCAAGTTTACCCCGTTCGTTTAAGGGGGGAGATCAGTATACTAAATTTGTTGTAAAGTATTGAATTGTATAGTATTGAATGTACAAGATATAATGTGGATCAAATTTAGGGGAAATGCACACAATACCTGAAGCTTGTCGTACATGGCGGCGACTTGCGTGGTCTCTTGGGCGGTGGCGATGGTTTGGTGGACGATCGGACTCGTGTCTTGCAGTTTGCTGATCGAAGTCAATTGGTTCAACAGCGTGCCCACTCGCGACGAAATGGCCGACACCTCGGACGATGTCAGGAGCGATACCCGTGTTTCCAGCTACAATGGGGGTCATGAGACATTCATCATGGAGAGTGAGTGAGAAAAACCTCTTGCACATGACGGAGCAACGACGCTGCCTCGGCGGACGACGACGCAGGACCCACGAGACGTTCCAACTGTGCCACGCGCTGTTCGACCGCTGCTAGTTTCAATCTCGCAGACTGGTCCTCTTCGTGCACAGCGTACACCTCATACTATATCCACAACATCGACTGTTCGTGATGATGATGTTCCATTAGAAGAGGAGAAGATACGTACGATGAGACCGGCTGCGTTGCTGTCGGAGGATGCTGTCGTAGCGACATGTTGCTCGCGAAACGATTGAATGTCTCTCCACAACTGCGTCGAGAGATGGTGTTGTTGCGCTTGGACGGTGCTGGGGGTGTTCTGCTGCGCGGACGTTGTTGGGTCCAGCTGCAGCTGACTCAAGTTCGCTTGTAGCGATTTGAGGCCTTGCAGCATTGTGCGGTAGGTTGGAGGGTCCGTGGAGTCCTTGGATAGGTTCTGGAGCAATTCCAGATCGGTCTCGAGCTCGCCCATTTCCTGCTGAAGTCGATGGTACCGCATCGTAGGGGTTTCCAGTTCTCCCCGCGGCACAACCTTCAATTCTTCCGAGTTCGAAGGGACCGACGCGCCGAGAAAGGCGTGGAACGCGTCTGCTGGTCGGAGCGGGGCTCGGTCAATCTCATTCAAGTCGGAGCCGGATGTTGTGTCGTCAATGTGTGCATATGGATGCAGTGTAGAGCTTCCTCCACTGGGGTACACTTCGACCTCTGGGGTCTCATACACCTCGGTCTCTTCGAGGATGCGGCGTTCGGCCATCGATCGTCGGGACGAATATCCAAATTTCAAGATGGTGACTATTTCACCTGTGATATTTAATACCTCTCTGTTCGGGATATTTCACTTTATTGAGAATTTGTTTCTAAAATGATATTTTGAATTTGTAAATTTTCCTGTATATTTTTGAAAGTGAGATTTTAACTTTGGACCAATCACAACGGTCGCTTGAAATGGCATGAGCATTTTTGCATGCCGCTGGAACGATCGACGATGGTGAGTCCATTCAAAGGCGGACCGCCATCTCCGCGCCTGATGCGATGTCTCTCTATGCCTAGAAATCCTTCCATCGCTTCGCGTCGCAGCATGGGGACTTTATCCATGATATGAGCTTTGACTTCTACGGAAAACGTCTCGCAACCTGCTCCTCCGACCGCAAAATCAAGGTATCGTTATTACCACCCTTGCATCATTCCTTCACAATGCATTAGATTTGGGAAATCATCGATGGGCAATGGCAGCTGCAATATGAATGGACGGCACACCAAGCCAGCGTGTGGAAAGTCGCGTGGGGTCATCCCGAGTTTGGCCAGATTGTCGCGTCCTGTTCCTTCGACCGTACCGTGATCGTCTGGGAAGAGTCGTTGTCGAAACCACCGTCGGCGGCGCCGCTCCCCCCGCATGGCTCGATGTCACTCTCCCATCATCCGTCCGACTCTGGTACGTCCTTTGCTTCCACCCTTGATCACGTACAGTAGTACATTGACACCGTTCGCAGGTCCATCGCAGTCCCAGCCGTGGACACTCCAAGCTCAATTGACCGATTCCCGTGAATCCGTCCACGACGTCAAGTTCGCGCCGCGGCATTTGGGTCTTCGATTGGTAACTCGTAATCCATGATAAATGGTTCATTATTTTTCATCTCTATGTAGGCCACTGCGTCTGCCGACGGGTACATCCGCATGTACGAAGCGGCGAATCCAATGAACTTGTCGGAATGGACCCTTCCTGTACTACTCATTGCTCCAACGAAAAAACTCTTTTTTAGCTGGTGATGCTAGGAAAACTTTTTGGCGGACGCAGAGGGTGCCACGTGTCTGTCGTGGAATTCGAGTCGGTTCGACATCCCCATGTTGCTGGTGGGGGGCAACTCCAAGACGGCCAAAGTGTGGGGGTTCACTGTGGAGAAACAGTGGCACGTCATCGCAGAACTCGCGGGGCACTCGGACGTCATTCACGACGTCGCATGGGCGCCCAACCTTGGCCGGTATGCCACACCTATGCGGTTCGGATCATTGGGGTCACTGAAGCGACTGGTTGTAGGTCGTGCCATTGGCTCGCTACGGCCAGCAAAGACCGCACGATTCGCATTTGGAAGCTCAAGATCAACCCGAACCGTCAAGAGCAGAGCGAGGTGGTTCAAGTGACCACGAAAGACCATGGTATTATCGCATTATATGGGTATGACGAATGATCATGATGTGTGGTAGGCGCGTTCGAGGTGTGGCGAGTGCAGTGGAATGTGACGGGGACCATGTTGGCGTCCACGGGGGACGACGGCACAGTGCGCATGTGGCAACAAGACTACAAGCATCAGTGGCAATGTGTACACGCCGTGAGCGGAGACTTGGCCTAGATATAGTAAACCCAAGAGACCTTGTTATAAGAACCCTTGTCACGACGACTTGGTTATCCCATCCTACTGAATACGTTCAATATATATATATATATATTATATATACGCTGCGGACTCGTCATTTGGTTGATGTGGACGTTGCTATACTATTAATAGTATATGTATAGTACAGCCGCAGCTAAACGGACAGTAGTGGATATTCACTTTGCAAGTTTTTAAAAATTCGAGCTATCTTATTTTCACTACGTGCCAATCCGACCCAAGCAAATGCTTGGATTCCCCATGTCACGAAGGCACATAAGTCTATCACCATTCATATTTAGCCTTCAAAACTGGGGATTCATCATCTTTAATTCAAGACGAAGCGATTAAGAAAAGAATGAGCTAAATCCGACCAGTATTTTAAAACGAAAGATTCGTTTTGCCCAAACGCACGGTATACACAGTGTTGAAACCTAACTTAGTTATTCTAAGACATGGAGAATGAAATGTACAGAAGAATCGGCAGAAGGATTTAGCCAATCATAGTGCAGGTCATCAACGTCAAATTAGTGTGTGACTTCAATTAGTGTGATACCATGCATCGATCGATAGATTTGGCGATTCATCACAAAAATCCAAATTTGGGGTAAAGGACGATATGAGGGGCAGCACACTTGGTTCGCACGTTATATCAACTAAAAGGCCAGCGAATTATTGTGGATTCGGTACAGATTTCCAGACCCCGTCGAATCGAATCACGAATCGACGCTATTGGCTAATCCAATTTTGAGTGGATTTGATTGGCTCTTACAGAATGGACAAGTATATTCAACCAATCAGAACTCCAGCGTGATTCGATATTAGCGAATTCACAATATTGTGGATTGCTATTATCATGGTTGGAGTAAGCGTCAAGGCACGACAACGCCGCTAACTATCTCCGTCGATACTCGTCTTCTTGGAGGCGACGGGCATACGCTTCATCACTTTCACCAGGTCGTGGGGCTGCTGCATTGTTGTTGTTGTGCGCATGGCCCGATGCATATGTATATCGTGTCCGATGTGACGACGGCATCGTCCATCGCCGGGCGAAGGCAGGCTGTGCTGCCACGTACAAGTACCCTACCCGCGAGACCTCACGATCCGTGGTTGGATCAAAGAAGCATATAATTACCAGCGCAAATGCCAGCCAAATGGCCGACAAACGACGACCCGGGCACGAAATAATGCAAGTACGCGAGCTCCACCCACGCCGCGTACTTTGTGTGCACTGGGATGCCCAGAATGTTGGTGTACGCAGGAGAGCTCTGGTTCAGCACGACCTGCGAATGTGTCCAAAGGGAAAGAGAGTGGGTTTCACACCTTGTCGCAGGTTTTTTTGCAGTTCTACGTACTTTAAGGGCAAATAAAACGGCGGAGAACCCAATCGAGCACTGATGGATGAAACTCTAGACATGTCCATTGTCAAATGAGTCGACACCTTGTACATGACACATACCGAGTCGTCGAGGGCGTAGGCCAATACATAGGCTGCCCCAACCGCAAGCATATGAGACAACACGAGTAGTAGCGCCACCATCGTGGCGAATTGTTCGCTGCCGACACGGAATTCTAGATGCACTCCTTTCCACAGGAACGATGCCCTACATAAGACCATAGTTATCATGCTAACGGGATGGACGATGCGAGGGAGAATTGTACATGTTGTTGTACAAGTGCCATTCGTCCGCATGAAGAAACGCCGACACAATGAGCCGCGGCCACTCAAACTGCTCGACGATGAGGTCCGGACACCTATAAGTCGGGCTTGTCAGGTCCAATGGTCACAATCATGGGAACTTACAAGGCGTATCGCCGGGCTGTAGGCACACCAGGTTGACCCTTGTAGAGAAAGAGCGCCGCCATACCACCTAAGTGTACCCACAGTTTTAATGCACAACCACAACTGACAATGGTAATGGTAATGGTTACCCATCAACGCCAGCGTCACGGGGGGTTTTCGTTCGAGTTGCTGGATCTGTCCGAGCAGCTGCATGGCTAGCATGAGCAGCATGCCGTCGTTTCGCTGGCCACGTCCGCGAGGGTGGCGCGGCATGTTCGCGAACGGTCGCCGGCCAAACATTTCTTCTTGTCACGTTGGTGATTAGCTTAGTTGGCATCTTATTTGGATTGGCTGAATTGAAATAAGTTTAAGGGGTTTGATTGGTCCAATTTGGGAAATCCTAAATCGGAATGTGTGCTTTCGACAAATACCTTCAACTTTGAGGAATTGCAATCATGCCACCGAAACTGCTGCCGCGACGGCCAAGCGCTCACCGTATGTCAATCAAGCGCCAAAATGCTGCGTACAAGCTCATGTTTCATGGACCTGAATATGGGAACGGGGAAGAGCTTGTCGTGAACCCAGAGTCGTTTCCCGACCTCAAGGTTGACGAATCCAAAAGATATCGATAGACCATGCTGACATCATGTTTCAAACTCTGTAGCTGCATGACATTGTCGAGATCGTTCAACCCGATCGAACGCATCTTCGTCTAATCATGCAAGTGCGCACATTGGCTCCAGTTCGCGGAAAGCTCCAAGTGAGCATTCTCAAGGACTTGGCGCTGCAATTCCAACTCGATCCATTTCACGAAGTCACAGTGCAGGTACTAGATCAAACAATCTCCCCACATCACCGCCAACACATTCACGTAGCGCATTGAGCCCAGCGACGCAACCGTCGACTTTATTGAGTTGTCTTTCAAGGACCAGTTCATGTCCCGCGCCGACTTATGGCGGTACAAGGTACTGTAAACGCAACCACATACCACCACCCTCGTAGTCGTCGTCACCCTCGTTTTCCTCAGGTTGCTATGTTTGGAAAGTGTTTGTTTGCAGGCAAAGTCTACGAAACCCTAGGCACTCGCGCCCAGGTACTACGACCTGCCAACATGCCAACATCTCTCTCGATATCTACCTGCCAGGTGGAAATGCTATTGGCAAAGGACGACAACGTGCTGTGCGGAGTCATGGGGACTGACACAAAGCTTATCCTCCGGTCCCGGTCCAGCCGCATCTTCTGGCTCGTGCACATGAGTCCCGAGATGTGGGACTTCGCAGACGACGGCGAAATGTACTTTGAGAAGCTCATCCACCGCTTCGTCCGGTCGCTGGTGGCCAAGTGGCAGGAGGCCAGCGTCGGACACTCGGTGACCGTGCTCATGTTCTCCCGCAGCTTTTACGACAAGACCCAGTTCCCTTGCGATTACGACCCCACGTCCGCCTTGTTTGCCGACGAATACGCAGTAGGTTCTGACCATCTGCCGTCTGCTGCCGCGCTCGGCAGCCCCGCCATCCACGTCGACAGCCGCAGCGGTCGGTTCTACGAAGACTTTTACAAAGTACGACCAAACAACCAAACTTCAAAGCCATAGGTACCTACCTCGTTGTGATGGTGAATGTGAGTACGTAGGTCCTTATTCGAGATTACACGGGTCCAGACTGGTCACTCCTCGTACGGCTGCTTCAAGCAGAGTTTGCATCATATGCAGAACGTCATCGATGGCGCCTTCCCACAGACAGCCGCCCCGCCACGTACGCCGTGTCGACATCGTCGGGAGGTAATATTGCTGTACATTTCTAGTACTGCTCGTTTTACATGGTGATGAAAATCGTTTAGATTTCGATTTGCTTGCTGCCTTTATGGGTGTATCGTATGTGTTCTATGAAGCATGTTATGTGTATATGACAGTAGGGGTCCAGTGGCTCGCGCTTCCGCACGGCGTTCCCGCGCGTGCGTCGGAAGGCAACGTGCTCGAAGCCATCAACGTCACACTCAACCTCTTGGACAAGCACTACATGGACAGGGATCTGAACCGCGCGGGCCAAGGCATCGTCATGCTCACGGCCGGCAGCGCCGTGTTTCAAGTGTCCAAACGACTGGCGCAGATCACCAAGCAGCGAATGATGGACACGGGCGTGGGTATGGACATGGTGTCCGTGTCGATGCCGCCTCTGCACCCGGTGCCGCTCTTCCGGTGGAGCCATGCTGCCAAGACGGACGCCCCCACAGAGTTCAGTGTGCCGCATTGGATAAGCGTGAGCTTTCTGGACTTTGACTGCACGTGCGGCGCCGCCAAGAAGAGTCTGATGCGATGCCACTGCAACGTCGCAGACGATGGAAGCGAGTGCCGCCGCGGCGCATTCGCCCCGCTCCCACGCTGTCGCATGTTTGACCGAGCGCTGATACCCGTGCCGCTGGTGAACATCCTCACGAACGCCAACCCGCGACTGTTTTCGTCTCTGGAGTCGTCGGCACACCACCCCCCACCGGTCGCCCTCCATCGCACGGCCGACCAACCAGCGCACCAAGACCTCCAAACATATGACGACACTGTGTTTATTGGCCCAAGGCCTGAGAGATGGGGAGCCGACGCAGGGGACGACCCTTGGTTCAGTACTCCGCTCAAAGAGTCCAAGTACATGTCGTTTTCAGAAAAGCACGACGACAACCAGCTTGGGCTGCATCGTAAACGTGTTCTGAGCATGCAAAACCTCCAGCGCCTGCACAAGTTCAAGCCGCAGCCGAGCCCCCACCCCCCCAACTCCAACTCGTTTAACGACGACACCAACCACGAACTACGCGACGGACGAAGCCCCCTCCAAGCTGCCGTCTCAATGCACCAGCTTCACCAAAGCAGCCCCATCGTGTACAACCCGTCGATGGTGTCGTCGCTCGAGTCCCCATCCTTCGTGCTCAAGAACCGCATAGATTTGACGAGCCCCCGGAGCTCGCGGCACCCGTCGTCCACCGAGACCAATTTCGGGTCACCCATCACGACAGCATGGAATGCAAGTATGCCCTACTATCACCATCACCAATACCGATCAGCAAACAAGCCGCCAAAGCCCGCGTGCGATCCGTTTCAAAGCCCCGCCGACGACGGCAAACTCACGTCCAACCGGCGGCGGTGGAGCCACATCTTCCCTTGGACCCCTGAGTGCAACGCGGTGGCGGCAGGACCCAACTGGAAGTCTCTCGTGAACCCGGCGGTGCTCCCGCTGACGACGGATTTTTACCCCAAGGACTTGCACGTCAACTATACAGAGTCGTTTTACTCGCTCATGCTGCTCGAAACGACGGGCAAGCCCATCACGCACCAGCTGCTCGTGGAGATGATCTGCCAGCGGCTATCGAGCGATTTTCAGCTGGTGGAGCACCCCCCAAAGGGAGTCGTGGACGACACGGGAGGAAGCGGAGGACCTTCGACGGCGCTTCGCGTCGGAAACGTTCCGCACCGCACGACGTACCATCTGAGCATGGGCCACCGCGTGCACAAGCTCATTTACGACCACCTCCAGCAAACGATCGACGTCAAGATCTTCCATAAACGAGTCAAGAGCCACGATACACTGCCGTTTGTGTACGAGTACTCGCTGTACGACTCGCTCACGCAGTCATTTCACAAGCAGCTGCAGACGTTTCACGAGTTTCCGTGCCCCGAAGACAACTGGAACACCACCGACAACCTCCTCTGCGGCTACGTCGACTCGATGCACGACGGTATACAGTGTCACACATTTTCGACACCAAATGTCCTCGTTTCGTTGCCTGTTTGTGTCTTGATTACCCAAGGGATAACCCCGTATTGCTTGTATCTGCGGAATGTCCATATTGTATGCACTCTTGGAGACATGAGACTGTCACCGTTGTTGTTAGAGTACTATCTATTTCCGTTGCCAATATAGTACTAGTAGTAGACGTTTATGTCTCGGTAGGCACGAAATGCCGTCGTATTCGATTTGTGGTGGTACCGCCGCCACCGCCATCCTCCTCCTCTCTGCCGACGCCACCTCTCGACACATCGGAATCGACGCGAGCGCAAAAGCTGCTCGAGTTTCTCCAGTCCAAAGTCGATGGCGGGGATGTGCTGCATGTGACTGTCCACGCCGACCCGCTGGAGCGCCCCCATTGCGCCGCGACCAACACGGCGAGGCAGTTTGTGCGCGTGAGCTGCAACACGACGGCGCGACTGGAGGTGGACTGCCGCAATGAGTGGCTCATGCTGCTCGTGGATGCCCACTGGTACCCGAACGCGACCTTCCACGTGGACGTGCGATGGCTCGCGTGCAGCGGCACCGTCGTCGACGACTTTGTCACAACATTCAAGCGAAAATGCAAACATGCGCACTTGGACCTGCGCCGTGTGCCCGAGTTTACGCAGGTCCACCAGTTGCACATCCACCCGTTTCTGTCGTCCGTGCTGCTTCCGTTCGTGGGTCCCCAGTATCCTATTGATCGTCGAGGGGGCGACAAACAAGAAGACGACGGCGCTGACGTACAAGTCGAAACGATTGAGTTGCATCAACAGTGTCTCAGCTGGGGGTTTGTCCTCGATGGGGCGCACGTTGCCGACAGCGGCGGCATCGGCCACGGACTCATGCCCAAGCAACAGCTGTCGCCCGGCGCCCAGAGACATGGAAGCGGCCAGCGGCGACCGCCCCCCGAGACGTGGAAAGCGCGCGGCTACGTCCAGTACATGCACCGCCACGCGCCCGTGTTCATTCGGGTGCTACATCATGGCATTGTGTGGATTCCCAGCTATGCTTACGACAACCAAGCCACGGCTGACCTGGTGCGGCCGCTGTACGACACGCTTTGCCGTTGGATTCAGCAGGGTGGACGAGCGCAGACCATGTTGGATTGCTAGGAATGGGAATATAGCTATACTATTGAAGTATTGCTAGTGTTTTATAAAGGACTATAGCATTGGCAACAACCGTGTAGTGAGTGTTCAAGGGTAGTTAAATGCGATAAAACGTCGCGGCGGTGCCTGCAAACAGCGCGTGCCGATCCGCTTCTGAGAAATCCGACACCCAGTCGTGAAAACTTGCGTACAGTTGGGGCATGGTGGGGCCGGTGGAGTCGGCACCGTCTGCGTTGGCCGCGGCGCCGTTCTGGTGCCAGTTGGAGGCGAACATGGAGCGATGGACGCCGAAGAGGCCGATGACTTCGCGCACCAAGTCGCGCACAAAAGCCTCCTTCTTGGCATCTTCGTGCCATCCGGGCACGACGTAGCCCAACATGGACAGCTTGACGAACACGTTGGGTAGCGCCGCCAATTTTGCAAGTCCCGCGCGCCACACCGTCAGCTTGGCCGCTTCTGCGGCGCTGCCGTCGACGGCAAGGTGGCGTACCTTGCCCAAATGATCAACCACGACGGGCACTTCGGGGTGGCGTGCGATGAGCGCGGCGGCGGCGTCCAACTGCAACGGACTGCATTGCAAGTCGAACGACAAAGAATGCGAGGCCAGCAATGCAAACCCGCGTTCAAATGACTGAGCTGGGCCCGTGGTGTCGCGAATGTAATCGTTTCCGTGGCGTGACACGGCGATGTGGGTTGCGTTCTTGCCGCCATCAAACGGGCCTTCGTAATCGACCATGAAGCGAATGCCGCGGACCTTGGACGACGCGGCAACAAGGGCGGTCAATTGGGCATCGACATCGTCGTCCGCAAGGTTGCAAGCAGCGACAATGGCAGCAACGGTAGGGGCGCGTCCGGCTGCGACGAGGCTTTCAATCCACTCGACTTCGGCAAGACCACTGTCGGGCATTGCATCGATGTGCACCGAGCGAGAGATTGGGAGATCGCCGACGGCGCTGGCGTATTGCTCGGGGAGGTATGGAGACGCACCAAGGGATTTGAGGAACGCATAGTGCTTCTCGTTGGTGTCATAGAAGTGATGGTGGGCGTCCACAATGTCGGCGATCGATGCAGCGGACCTTCCCATGATGTTGCCTGTCACAGTCAATTCAAAAATGATGACTCGATCGTGACCTTGCACGTGATTGGACAGTCAAAATAACCATGTATTTTGACTGATCGAACTCAGTTTTGCTGACGTTGATGAGCAAGAAAGCTAGAAACGCGAACAGGCCAAATCTGTTGCCCTACGTTTTTCTATTTAACCTATATGTTTTGGGGTAAACCCTGGAGCGTTAAACAGTATTCTGCCAGGTTAAACCTTGGATAATCATAGGTTAAACTTAATCTACGTACGGATAACGTGTACGAATAACTGGCATATACAAACGTCGAGACGTATGGTTTGGCCGTCCGAGCCCATATATTTCTGTTGTAGCAAGGCGATCTGTTCGTCTTAGACATACTTAAAATGGTCCAAGGGGAGTAGCTCCTCTCATTTTTTCGTCAATTGTGAATTGGAACTACATGATCGATTCGGCTTGTCGAGATCTGTCGTTTTTGTGGTTACTTTGCCAGGAAAAAGTAATACTGCACATGGTATAATGCTCTAAAAAGTGCTCAAAATATCGTCGTTTCTAGGCTTCTTGCACCATACTCCGAGTACGTACTAGTAACTACTAACTTGCAGTTAGTAGTTTTCACCCTTCACGTCAACGTAACCGTTCACGAGCTTAAGATTAACACCCCCAGGAGTATAGTGGGCTTGAAATATCAATATTGGACACTGGTGTAACTGGCTGTTGGCTTGATAAACTTAGGGGTGAACATTCATGGTAAATTCACAAGTGTCGTGTACTGGTTGCCGTCGGCAAGCATGGCAGCCACGTCTACCCCCACCAGTTGGGCGAACGCTTTTTCTCGATTCATGTGCGCGCCGTAGACATCAACGAGGCCACACGGATTGAATCCAAACGTGACTTTCGTGTCCACGTGAATGTCCTGGCCGATGAGTGTCTGCACCAATGTCTCTTGGTTCATGATGTGGGGGTAATATGCGGACAGCATCGAGCGGGTGAGGCGCTGGGAGACCGAGCAGAGGACGTGGCACACGACGTCGCAGCTGTCTTCGTCGTTTCGCACCACTTCCATGCACGTGGCCTGCATGGAGTAATTGGTATGGGACGAGCTGTACATTCGAAACGCGTGTATGAGTTTGTCCACGCCGTGCGTAGACCACTTGTCGCCGCAAAACACCATGTCCTCGCGACAGATTGACCGTAGAAACCGCTCTTGGTGATTTGCTTCCTCTGTTCGTCGAACTTTGAACCCGTGCCGGAACACTCGAAGATACGCGTCTATCACCCTCGAAGATCGCTGGTCGTGCAGACGAATCGACTCCCATGGAATCTGCTCCAGCACCATCACCTTTCCTTCCAAACGACCAGTTTCCGCTTCCAATGCCAACACCGCATGTTCCAGCCTGTCTAGCTCTGTGTCCAGGTCATCATCACTCGTGTGCGCCCCGCTCACCTTGGCTTTCGGTCCTGTGTTGGTCTCCAATGCAGCACGATGGCGCTTCTGGAGGCGGACGAGTTGTGGGCTCATCGAAGGTGAGCAACCTTGCTACTTTTTAATATCCAATAAGAGTCCATCACGCCTTGTTTCTTGCATACGATTGGCTATAATACTGACAGCAGATGTTACAATTTTGAACAGCTACCGGTTGATCAAATTTGTAACATCTGCTTCCAGTGAGCTTGATGCTCCGGAGAATTGATGTCTGATGAGTTCACCCTAACTATTTCCAATGTGGTTCTCCCTTTAACTAGTTACAGGTAACATTATGTTGTGCACTCGGCCGCAATGCCGTGGCGGCTCTGGTGAGCCAAGGCAAGAAATGCCACTTCAGCACTCGCGATCGGTGCCACCAAGATGTCGTGCGCCACCGCCCGCGCCACCACGTGATCACACCGGCTGGGACGGTGTAACGTAAAATGCCAATTTACAGTGAAGACATACAACTCTTCATTTGATGTCAAAAAATGGGCATAACGTTATGTCCGTCCTACTTGATCATTTTGGAATTCTATATAGTCCTAAAGGTAGGGAATTCCCTGGAGAACAACGCATAATTAAGTTCTTATGCCCTTGGACAAGGCTTGGAGTAGTCCTTGGATACCGTTTTAGACGCGGAACCTCTATAATTTTGAGTGCTAATTTAAGTCGATTATCTTAACCTTCCTTTTTGTATGTAATTGTGAATAGAAATTCAGAGGTTCACTGTATGATTGGTGCATGTAAAAATATACGATCTATGATTGGTGCATTTTCGTACGACCTAAATTGGCACATATGTCATAAATACAGTAACCCAATGAAGGTGGTCATCCTTGCACATTAAAATATAAATCAACAATACAAACTTGAAGATAGATTTATTGCAACTAAGGGCGGGTCTTGGCATAAAATGGCCGTTTTCGAAGACAAGTTGGCAAAATCGAAATATTCCATTTTCGAGATTTCGTGCGTCTGGATGCCACCAAAGTTTTTATGCCACAATTTTCTTGAGAATTGGGTGTTTTATGGAGGTTTGTACTCACGTTGAAGCCTTGCACTTCACTGTCAATCGGAAATCGAATAATTTTTCCAATATTCAGCTGGCATCCAGACAACTTTGTGGATTTTTTTTCTCCTTTCTTTCGTGGGATATGCGACTTTGGAAAATTTTGTAGACTTGCCAAAACGGTTTATGGCATAATTTTAAGGGGTGGCATCCAGACTAGCCCTAATAAACAATTTCAGAATTATTTATGGCGTTCGCTAAAAGGTGGTTCACCATGCTCAGCATACAAAAATGCCTATTTCACCTTGCTTTTTCTGGTTAATGTGTACTCTTATTATAATCCTCACTAACCAAGGTTAGTAATTCTATGACAAGCAAGTGCAAAATCTATCTTGTATTATATCCTAAATAGGAGTTTCATGATCCCAATCCCCGACCAACCAGCTTCCAATACAGTGGTTTTACAGCCTACTTACTGTACGGTAGCTGTAAAACCACTGTAGGTGGAACAATAATATGCACAAGGATAAAAGCACCCGTCCATTAGGGTTAACCCTAACGTTAGGACGTTAATAGGTTATCAATTGCACTTTTCAGCTTTTTGGCATGAAACAAGTCACCAGAGCGCGTGGTTTTGACGTAATCTGTTTGTCAGTCCCGTTCGTGGATCACATCATCGATCGAAATGACGTTTAAACGTGTTTCGGCGTTTAGTAGTGGCTCGTATGATAGGTTAAAACCTGATCGTGTGACTTTCGACACACCTAAAATTGGACAGATTGGTGACTTTACTACAGTTATATGGAACCAAGTCCAGCTAAACCAACACCCGCGCCCAAGGAACAGCCCTCGGCGATGGCCGCGTCCACACTTCGTGCCATCGCCTCTAGTGCCAACCCCACCGTCGCATTCACTCGAAGCCCACCTCGGACCAGTGGGGGCCGAGGCGGCGTCAAGCGCACGCGGCGGAAAGAAGAAAAACTGGCTGATGAAGTGATGTTGGTTCAACGCGACATCCACCGACTCGAAGGCAAGCGGGACTGCATGCTGGACTACCCCATGCAGACGACGGCGTTGAACGATCGCAAGTCGACGAAGATCATGTACGAGTACTGCACCTTGTTCGAGTTTGGGTTCGATCACAAGAACAAGCAAGAGGGACTAAAGCAGGAGCAGTTTATCCGATCCATCATGCGAGAGGACCTGCAGATCACAGGCGTCACATTCACGTCCAAGGGCGTGGACAAGCTCATCGGCGCCCATCGCATGTACTCGTCTGTCCACATGAACTACAAAATGCAGTTCGTGACCTGCGAGAACGTGCTCGACGACTCGGGTGCTGTGATCGTGACCGAGCTCAAGACGATCATCTCCCAGCGCATCACGCGCAAGATGCTGCAGCTGTACTACCCCATGGTGTTTCAGCACGAGGCACTGGTCCAGCGCCTCCTCGGCCAAATGATCGACATGGCCGTGACCCAGCTGTACGAGTACGACAACCTCGGCCGCATCGAAGGCTATGTGCCGAGGATAGGGGTCCTCGAAGCGTTTGCAGACCTGCTGGAAAACGCAGATCTGGCCGCGCTCTGTGCCCTCGAGCACAAGCTCCGCAAGATCTTTGAATAACCAACCTTACAATTGTGCTAATGATGACCTACTAGTACTAGTTAGTATTTCCGTGCTCCCTGCAATTCCCTAGCCATCGAGAAACAAACACACTTGGCCAGTCGTCGTGTGATAAGATAGATGGAGGAACTGACTGCTTGACATATGTACTGTACGTACAGTGAACAGTACACAGTACACCAACATGTACTGTACTATTAATATTAATAGTATTGGGTACTTAGTATTAATAGTAGTACTAAGTACATTGTGGTCATCGGTTCCAGTTCGTAGGATTCCTATAAAGTCCCTTGCTTGAACGATCCAGATGAAGTTGTCAACTGTAAATGCCAGTAACTAGTAGGATTAATACTAACGTTCGTATGTGATTTGGCTGCCGATTTCTACTTGGAAGCACCAAATCGCCCTAGCAAAACAAACGTTCAAGTAGTCCCAACTACTACTATTAACATTACTACTACTAAGTAACAGTAATAAAGTCCAATATCTATGCCCAAACGTAGTCCCTATGAAAACAAGGATGTGGGCTCCCAGTTCTTCTTGTCTTCGAACCACGGCGCGTGCCAATTCACGTACAGAATCGGTCGCCGGACGCCGTCGGCCTTGGCACCTCGTGCCGCCGTCGTGTTGGCCAGACCCAGGTGCAGCACTCGGCAGTCGAACACGACCACGTCCCCCAGACCCACGTGTGGGCGGATCGTCTTGGCCATGCACTCGTCCACGCCGCGCCCGTCCTCGGCCATCATCCGCGCGCACGTGGCGAGGCGGTGAGACTGGACCACGAACGCCGTCTGACCGGCGGCGAATCCGCCTTCGTCTCCGCAGGCCGGCAAGAACACATGCAGCAGATGGGGAGGGGTGTCCAGTGTGTTGAAGAGGTGCGGAATGTCGGCGTGGATCTTCTGGTTGAAACAGCCGGGGGTGCTCACGATGGCCCCGACGTCGCCGTGAACGAGTGGCTGGCGACTGCCCGGGCCACCGAAGCTAAAGTTCCAGAGGCCGTAGTTGCCGTCGTTGAGCGGCCCCCCGTCCGGCTGCGCCACGTCCTCCAAGATGGCCAGCACGACCGGATGCCGCGGGTTGATGTCTCGACTGGTCCGGGCGGTGGGGGTCGGATGGGTCGTCCGGAGTGCCGTGAGCCGCGGCGTGTGGCGCAGGTCGCATCGAAACGCTTCCCTCGTCGCGAACTCAACAAAGTTGTGCCGCGGGGGCTTCTCGCCCGGGTTGAACACGTCCATGTCATGGCGGGCTTCCAAAGTGGCGGCGACGTCGGCAAAGTCGTCCAACGCGGCGGCGCCCCACGTCCGCACCGTGTCTGGATCGAAGAGGCCGCGGAGGATGACCACGCCGCAGTCCCGCAGGATTTGAACCGCCCGAGCATGCGACTCCACGGACAAGACGCCGTGCTGGCGCTCGCTGTACGTGCGACCGATGGTGACGGCGTCGATCCACTGACGCTCGACGTCCAACGCGAGGGACGTGGGCGGCTCCATCCGGTAATGCAAGGGGTTGGCGACACCCGCGCGTCGAGTGAGTGCGAAATGCTGGCGACTGGATGCGCCGATGATCGATCCGGCACTGGAGAGGGATTGGGATGTGCTCCATAGGTCAGATGCCCATTCAATGGACGTACCCGCCGGAATTTCGGTGATGACAAGGCCCCCTGGCAGCACGCGGTCGTGTAGACGCTGGGCAATCGTGGCAAAGTCGCCTAAAGCGGAGGAAAATGCGACAAGGTCCACGACAACGTCCACGGGTTCGTTTTCGTCCTTGATCAATGTCCAGCCTGCGTCGACGAGTCGTTGTTCCAGAAGTGATTGAACATCAGCGCCGGCGAGGACGTAGCATGCTGGAGGAAGCACCACATCCTCAATGCCATGAGCTTTTTGACGGTGAGGGTGGCGGCGCGCCATTTCAGTGAAGATGCTTCCCACTACAAGCATGGGAGTGCCTTGATTCTCCACCTCAATCGTTTCGTTCTCGTCATCGTCGCTGTCATCAAAGCAAGCCCAACCATCTTTGGTTGCTGCCATTTTCAATTGGTGATGATTCAATAGCAATCCGGATATGAACCCACAGCCTTGCCTTATCCGAATAGCGAGGGTCACATGATGGCATTTATTTAGAAATTCAAACGCCGAACTCAACCATCGGTGGCGGCCGCGATCTCGAGCTCTAGCAGACGGACATCAAAGCGTTGGACTGATCGACGACAGGCCCAGTCATGCCACGCCATTCGACTCATTTGAGTCTCGTGGAAGCTGCTTCGAACAATGCATTGCTTTCGCCACAATCAAGGCCGGCCTGTGTGGCAGCTTCCCCGCCTCCAACTGTCATTAGGTTAGATGACGATGAGCCCGAGAAACGAAAACACATTCCCACAGGTGCCACACCCGTCCGAGCGAAAAAGCGGACGGAGCCAAGGCGGTCGAGTCGACTTCTGCTGCCGTTGGAGATCGACGTCACTGGTAGAAGCATCATTGGTGCTACGCATGGTTTGGTTGAGATGATGTTCTAGGTTCCGCTGCTGCTACATCGTCACCAGCCCCATCTGTGATCAGTCTTGTTACAAGCAGTTCGGACGACAGCGACAAATCCATCAGTCCAAGTATGTCGATGCATCCAATTCAATGCACCATCACCCCACTCATCGTTATCCAATGCATGCTGCATGTAGAAACCAGAAAAGGTAGCAGCCACGCGGCGAAGCATAAGACAAGATCATCTTCTACGGTTATCCGCATTCACAGCGACGATAGTGAGCCAGGTATGACCGCCGCCGCATCCCGTCGTTTGCCCACTCACCATATCCGTCCTCGATAGACGTCGTCGATCTCACATCCCATCCTCGCACGCCCAACTGTGTCCCCCTCTGCCAGTCGGACGCCTTGAAGGTTCACATAGCCTTAACCTATCTACGTCCAGCGCATTACTTGACGGTGTAGATGCTGAACCTCGCGTTTGCCGAAGTCGAACGCGACGACCGAGCCATGTACAAGGTCACGGATGACGTTATCAGGGACGAAATCTCGTCGATTGCCAAGTCCAGTCTGGTGGAATCCACAGACCCATCCGACTTGCGCCACATGTGCACGTACGGCGAGATCGACGCGCGAGACTTCTCCGCCGTCATCATGCCGTTCCTGGACCTCCGCCCCGCCGACGTGTTCTACGATCTCGGGTGCGGCACGGGCAAGATCGTGCTCCATGTGGCCCTTGAAACCCTCTGCGCCGTGTCCAAGGGCATGGAGCTGATGCTCAACCGCGTAGTGGAGGGCCATCGGGCGCTGGCCCGCGCCGAGCGCCTGTGTCCATCGATTGTGCCGCATAAGACGATCCGCATCGTGCACGGCGACCTGTGCTGTCCCCCCGACGAAGTGAATATGGCGGACGCTACGGTCGTGTTCATCAACAACGTCGTGTTCCCGCCGGCGCTCATGTCCAAGGTGCTCGAGATCCTCGGCGACATGCAGCACCTCCGCCGCGTCGTGAGTATGCGGAAGCTCTGCGAACGACACCGCCCCGAGCGATGCCGCCGCCACGGCAGTCCATGCGTGGGCTTCCACCACCCGCCGGTGGAAGCCAAAGTGGGCGTGTCGTGGGCCAACTACGCCCCGTTCTACGTGTATGAACGGGTGGTGGCGGCTTGTGCATCGAAACAATAGCATCGTTTTTCACCGGGTATAAATACATAGACCCACATACACGCATTCTGGCAGCGGGAATACCTGAGGGAAGACCGTTCACAGCGTAGACATGGACCTGCCTGGCTTGGCTGATGTACTTGACTCTGCGGGGATTGCGACTTCTCGGATCGAATGTCGAATTGTGCGAATCAAACTTCAACGTTATAGTTAGGGATGGATCGTGCGCGACGACTAATTTAGGACATCGTACAGTATTTGCCAATTTAGGTCGAATGAAAATGGTCGTCATTTGAGTTTGCACCAATCATAAAGTGAACCTCTGAATTTCTATTCACAAGTTTATCAAAAAAGAAAGGTTTAATCTGCGACAGTTAATTTGGCACTCAAAATTATAGAGGTTCCGACTCTAAAGCGGTTTCGAAGGACACTCCACGCCTTGTCTAGTAAGAGCATACTTCAAGTACCAGATTTTAATCATGGCCTTGCTTTGGTTCAGAAATGTGAAACACCAACACAGGAAAACCATCGTAAGTGTCAGTGTACGGTAAAGTAAGCGCCCATGAGAGTCAAGTGTCGTGGTGGGGTGTGGGGGAAGGAGGCTGGCTATATAGTAGTATTAGATAAGGAAGGGTGGTTTACACAGCGTTCGACGCCGAGGACGCGGCTTTGGCGCACATTTTCTTGAGCAGCGCGCGGCCGTACGGGACGTAGCTGGCGCCGTACCAGAGCATGGCGCAGTACTGGATAAAGACGAGGAGGAGCACGAGCAGCCCTGGCTTGGACATGGTCACCGCCACGACCAACGTCAAGATCATCGTGGAGATCCAAATGCAGCAAGCCACGCGGCGGATGGGAAGGCACATGACCGTCAGCTGTTTCTTGAAGCCTGTGAGGAACATGGATGACGAGATGGAACAGATGTTGCCCAGTGTGTAGAAGAACGCAAAGCCCTTGACGTGCCGCGGACCTCCAAACATGAGCAGCGTCGCGAGGAAACTGAAGAGAGCGCCCGAGGCGTAGCATCCGACAGCCGCTTGGATGCGCTGTTTCTTGGACAAATTCGGAAAGCAATTGCACTGGTCCTGCATGTCGGTGAGTAGACCCTCCGACTCGGACTCGGCGCCAGTCTCGTCGCCAGAGTCGACATCGCTGACTGCCGCGGGATCCTTTGCTTCCGACTTGTTCACAGCTTGAAGGGCAGCTGCTTTGGCTTCTGTTGCCTTTATCTGAACGACGGATGCTGTCGCGATGGCCTTCTCCTTGGCGGCATTCGCCATCGGCTTGGCCATTTCCATCGCCTGCGCTCCCATCGACGATGCCTTCGCGAGCATATTTGGCTATTCTTGGATGAAAAAACCAGTTCTTCGATATCCGGCAGAAAAATGTAGTCCCTTTGGCCAATCAGAGCTCTCAAGTAGGATATCCCAATTTCGACCAATCAAATAATTTCATTCCATTAACATGTAAATATCGTCACAATGCTGCATCAATGCTTGGGATGCAAACTTCCATCCTTTGGGCGACCTCATGGCTCCAGTCGACCACCTTTTCCCGTGGATGGTCGTCCACGAGACATAGTCTATCTGGCCTTGGGCATGTCTTGCTGGCTGCCGCGTACGACTAGTAATATACTACGTAGTAGATAGTATAACTTTTCACAGTATCTACAAGAACTACGGCTACTACGCCCGCACAAAGTTTCGAGGATGCAATCGGTTGCCATGGACGATCATCGCGGCAACTTCGACGTCGTGGACGAGGTCCACGAAGGCGCGCACGAGCTCCATGGATGACGCGTACACGGATATGAGGCCATTGGTGTCGAACGTGAAGTCGGACGTCGACGGGATGCGTATGGTCTGACCAATGAGGCTTTGGACGAGGGGCTCGTTGTTGAGCACGCCGGGGTAGTACAGTTCGAGGAGGCCGCGTGATATGCGTTGCTTGACCATGAGCTGCAGCACGCAGCGTCCCAACACGAGACCGTCGCACTCGTCGTTGTAGACGAAGTGGCTGTGCACGTAGTCCATCTGAAAGTTTAAATTCACAGAGCAGTAGCGCCGAAAATTGTCTATAAAGAAGGGTAGGCCGATGATGCCGTGCGCGCAGATGTCCTCGCGCATGAACGATCGAATGAACGACAGTTGGGTCGGGTTGCTTGACTGGTACCCAAAGTGAAACATCTTGACGTACTCCTTCACGAGCTTCTCCGGTCGAGTCTCGTTGAGCATGGATGATGCACGCAGCAACTGGCGTTCCAGGTACACCGTCTCGACGGTCAAGGCCCCGACGTCGACCTCCAAGGTCTTGACGAGCATCTTACGACGTTGTACATGGGCGCGTTGATTCTCGGCATGTGCTGCCTGTCGTGCTCGCTTCTTCGCTCCTACATCGACACCCCCAGCCGTCCTCAGCACCGCATTCATGTCTCCCAAAGGTCAGTCACACAAATGACTGACTGTGTCGTTCAAACGTTGCTTCCATAAAATAGTTTTAAATCAATTTATATCATAGTTTTCCTTGTTTCAAATAGATTTGAAATGTTCCCCTTTTCACTTGACATTTGGCAATTACTCGGAACTCATCAATGATTAATAGAGCATAGTGTATACTAGTAGTACAGTATACAGATGTTCAATATACTCTTTTTAGCCAGAAGATCTCGTAAAACGACAAAAAGGCGTCTAGTACTACTAGATATTAATAGTAAGTAGTAGCCCCTACAAAGCTGTCATGTTGTTTGACTTCAAAATTGTCTCAACCTAAAGTATTAAAACTCGATTTTGGTGGAAATACAGCTGAAGATCATATTAATACTCTATTAACTGTAAAGTAGTATACTGAGTATTATATTAATACTCTATTAAAGTAATATACTGAGTATATTATTAATACTCAATTAAAGTAATACAGTATACTACTACCCCAGAGTATGAATGTAACCGTGAACGTTACACTATCAAATGCATGGGTTGGGACGCAACTACTTGCATGACGACAAAGGCTTCCATGCCAATGCAAAGGACCCTGCGGAGGTGGCCGAAGTAGTGGCAAGGCAGCAGCACAAGCGAACGTACAACCGTGAGAGGTTGCGACAGGAGGCCCTGGTGTACAAGGCCAGCGTGCTTGCATTGACGACCGATGGCCCGCCTCGTTCTACAAGTCAATGACGCTTCTGTCGTGGAAAGAGTTTGCGCAGGCCTTCCAAACGGACCGAAACATGGTCGAACACCAGCATCGCTGCCTCCAAAAGCAAGTGGCCGCCCTGGAATCGCCTCAGCACATGCTGCTGCTGTGGTTCACATCGACGCACTCCCCCGTGCACGCACGTCTCCAATCGCGATTGTTTCTCCATACAACACATGAAGTGTAGCGCTCTTGACGTACAAGCTCACGTCGCTCCTGGGTGATACCACGGCCCGATCGTTGGGCCTCGACTGGATCTCCAAGCACTTGTACCACAATTTAGATCCTGATTTCCTAGAGCGATGTCGTGTTCCTGTCACTGTTGATTTGTTCGGTGGATGAGCTGGAAGAGTACAAGGAGCGCGTGGAACCCATGCCATGATACCTGCCTGTACTTTGCCCATGTGGACGACCTTGCTTCGATTATGTTTCTTCTCATCCTCAGGACGCGGACCATGGCGACGGCCTGCGGTACTTGCGGTATGCGTCGCTGAATAGTCAAGCTCGCAACGACAGCTTCCACGAAATGATGCTGGTGCGGGCGTTCGACGACCCCTATCGATATGTGATTATTACGCACAGCATCTCAGACGATACTTGAAATGTCTCGAGGCCCGCCTGGACGGCTTGGTAAAGTTTGAGCTTCAAGGAAACACGCAAGTGTTGCGGTACCGTCGCGGCGGAAGCTCTGTCGTCGACGCATACGATCATTTGGCATGGCTTCCGTATGTGACGCATAGCCTGCGACGAGCGAGCGGCGAGAATTCACCCTGGAAGTCCAGTGTCCGACCCGTCAAGTTTGCCCACCTTCAGCGCCGTACCGATGCCGTTGCCACTCACGTGACATAGCGCGCTTACATCAAACACCCGACGACGTCGCATCTACTAGCACCATATGGTAGCTTTTGCATTAATTTATGGCTTGGCGGCAGTAGCTCGCTTAGCGCGAACGTCCACGCGTTGGCGAGGCGTGAGTAGTAGCCTTGACGATCTTGGCGGGAACGACTGGCGTGGCGCGTGGTGGGACGGCGCCACTTGTGACAAAACTTGGTTTTCGGGGGTGACTTGGTGGCACGGTTGGTCCTCGTCGTCCAAGCTCGTGGTGACGCACGTGTCACTAGATGCGCGGCCTTTGGTGAGTTCCATGATGGAGCCGCGGTCACTGATCGATCTGGAGCTGAGGAATTGGACTGGCCGTAGCTTGTCATTGTCAAGTTTGCGCGACGACGGGTGCGGGCGGTCGCTGTGAAAGGCACGAGTCGGGTTCATACGAATCACGCACGGCGTGCACAACCGAGTGGACTTTTGATGCAGCGAAGTGTACACGTCGGTGCATTTCTTGCAATAGTCCTACGGAGGACAGCATTTGGTGGTGAGGACAATACATCATGGAGGTGGGGTTGGTTTACGTGGAAGCAGCTGCCGCAGTAGTGCCTCCGTCGGAGGAACGTGAACTGCACGGTACACAGGTGACAGTGATTGGTCTTGGATGCCATGTATCCTGCAAATGTGATAATGGGCGACGATGGTTTGTGAGAGGCAGTCGGGAGTGTGGCGCCACTGACAGTCAACAAAACATGACACCCAGTAGTAGACATGCGAAGCGACACCCATGAGGCCTTTCTCGCTCAAAATACATGAAATCAGTCGAGGTATACAACAAAGCTATCAAAGAAACGGACTGACAGTGAGAACAGCAATGTGCGACTTTGAACTATTTCGACCAAAACGTTACATCAACAACACAATTTGTCAATCTCGTCCACATGGGGAAACATTGAATGGCAGTCCTGCATGTTTGCACGTCTAGCGAATCTCGAGGGCAGCCCAACGAGAACGAATGGCAATCCTCCATGTGCGTCTACTTACTGGTAGTGTGAACTATAACCTTCAGCAGACGATAGGTACTATATATATGCCAATAGCTCTTGATGGTTTACTGGTACCTTGATACAGGTACATGTACAGTACTGGGCGACACTCCTTGGTGAAGCGTGGCGTGTTTGCATACAGTGTACTGTAGGTTACGTACTCGGGAGTACTAGTAATTGAGACGGTCAGCATCGAGCTATTTAATGCGAGCGAATAATTATGGACACAGACAGGCCACTGAAGCGCACTGGAGTGTATGCACGTGAGTCTCTTGACAGCGCCAGTCGTCTGGTCTCCTAGCAAGTCAGAGTGTGAAGCGGCTGATGTCGCTGACATCACCCATTTCGAACGTCCAAGATATACAGTACCGAACTCGACACCTTGTTGCGACACGAGCGACGGCTCTTTAGACAACCAAATGCACACGAACAGTTCTTGGAAGTAGAAAGGTTTATAGACGCCAGCGGAATTACATGCTCTGATCGCAGGGCACTAAATACAGTACGTACAGTATTGCCACTAGTGTACCATCCAGTACACACATCTGACGTGTCCCCCCCCCACAACAAATCCAAGTTCGTGAGGGACACAATCCGATCAGCGGCGTGCGGGCCATCCAATTCAGACCTTGGCTACAGTAAATCGATCGGTTGATGGGACATCTTGGCACTGCTGCTGCCCACACTTGCTTGAAATACATGCTGCATATTATTACTAGAAGATTCGTTGTGTCGTGCCAGTTACAGTAACGTGAGTGTATAGCTTCGTCCTTCGTGAGAAGCGAGACAAGTACTGTACTATATGCCCAATTCCGACATGTCCTACGAATGTTGCTTCCGCGCCACACGGCGCTGGGCTTGGCGCTGTAGCTTTTGATCTTCAAAATACGCCGTCATGAACCGGTAGCTACGCAGGAAACTTCGAAACGTGTGACCTTGGATTTCCACGACGGTCGTCGGCTCTGTCGCCCGGACGCTAGCGTGGCGCTACAATGTCGACATCTGTCAACAGCGTCACACTGCACTGGGTCGTACAATTGGAGGGCTGGCGAGCCGAGACACGACCCCCAGCGGAAAGTAGTCGCCCGCGCCCAAGTGCTCGACGACCACGTCGTCCATGACGACTTCGACGGCCCCGCTCGTCACGATAAAGTACGAGTCCCAGTGATCCCCCTGCTTGTACACGACCTCCCCCTCGGCATACGCCTGGCGCTGGACGTGCCCGTGGGTGTCTTCGAGACACTTGATGATCTGGGTGTGGGCGTGGTGGAGGGTGTACTCTTGGAACCGGTCATCCATGCTCTTGTAGATGGCGCTCACGGTTGAGAAATCGTCCACGAGTAGCTTTAACACCTAAACACAGGGGAACAATAGGACCATACTTCTATGTGCGACTTTAGTTAAGCCAAACGGGTTGGACCTTGCAGGTGGGGCTCATGCACCAGTAGGATGAGACGCGGGGGTGGATGGTGCCGTCCGGGGCGAGCAGTTCCATCACCCCAAAGTAGTCCCCTGCCGCGAGGGTGCGCAGCCAGATCACCCGCCCGTCGTCGGTGTCGACATTGGAGTTGCTGTCGGGTGCTATGGCGTTCTTGCACACGACGTCGACGCGGCCCTCCATGAGCACATAAAAGTGCGGGTCGATCGCCCCCTCCTCCGACACGACGTCGCCTTGAGCGTACAAGGCGGACCGGAGGCTCGAAATCATGCGTTGGATGTCCTGGTACTGGATCAATTCCTTTATATGCACCTCATCCGGGTCCCCCCCCGCGGACCCGATCATGTCTCGGATTTCCCCGTCCGAGAGGTCATGTCTAAGCAAGTTTGTAAACAACTCTCGTCCAAAGAGGCACGTAGTCACCCGAGGGCCGTGGTCACTCGCTTGAGATCTGACCCAGAGATGTACCCCTTGCTATCTCGGTCAAACACCTCCAGCGCCGATGCCACCATGGCCGCCTTGGGCGCCGCGGCTTCAGGTTTTGAGCTCAATCCCCTCGCCAATTCTCTCAACTCGGTTGGATCCCTCGTTGATGTCGAGGAATCGTCGCGTTGAAGTAGCACCGCCAAGATGCTCGCGCGGAGGCGTTTGCGGCCGCGTTGGAAGCGCTTGAGGGCGGTGGCCGGGCGTTTCAGAGTGGATATGCGGTTGTTGGAGGGGGACAGCCACGGATGGGCCAGCGCCTGGTCTGCCGTCAGACGTTTTTGGGGGTCCGCTACAGTACGTCGTGGGTTTGTTTACAGGCAGGCAAAATCGAGGCGACGTACCGTCCAGAAGGCGCCGAAGCAAGTCTTGGGCGTCGCGGGTTAGATATTTCCACGGGCGAATCTTGGTGTTGAACGAGCCTTTCAAAATACGACGCCCAATCTAGAGTACATGTGATGTCAATGTGTGGATGGAGTTTTCGAGTGTTTACTTCGTCGTCGGTCAACGTGTTGTGCGTATCGAAGGGATGGCACCCGCAGAGCAAAATGTACAGCACCACACCCAGCGCAAACCTACCAACACGGTAAAGGATGCCTCAGGGTACGCCAGCGCGATCGCAGTACATGTCGGCTTCAGGGCCACTGGAGAATTCATTCCGAGCACTCGCAGCCAAGGTCTCAGGGGCACAGTACGCCGTGGTGGCCTGGAGAGGGGTGTCCAACGGCCGTTCGCCTTGCCGGAACGACACGCCAAAGTCGACCAAACACATGCGATCTTCGCACAGCTGCCGATCATATATGTGTATGACTACATACATACGCAAGGAAGCAACTATTGAACTGCGTTACCATGATGTTTTCGGGCTTGACGTCGCCGTGGACAATGCCTTTGCGATGTAAGTGCACCATCGCGTGGCACAGATCGCGCATGCCCACACTAGCCTGCCCATGACTTGATGAGGAAACAGAACTGATTGGTTCTAGGACGAATCGTACTTACTTGCTTTTCAGAGTACGCGCCGTTGGCCACGAGGTGGTCGAAGAGTTCGCCGCCGTTGGCGAGTTCTTGCACGATGTACCACGTAGTGTCGGTCTCGAAAACTCCACGGAGGGACATGATGTTGGGGTGCGACCCAGCGATGTGAAGCATCTCCACTTCAGTCCAGAAGGCCCTAGACAGATTGAAGGACAGAAGATGACAGTGGCGTTACTTGGATGAAATGTCCTTCTTGGCCAGCTCCTTGACTGCAACGACTTCGTTCGTGCCACGGTGTCGCGCTTTCCGAACGACGCAGTACCCACCTATATATACCACATTGTGTGCTGTAGTATGTGAGACATCGTAAGCAGTCGCACCTTCGCCCAAGATCTCATTGGACAACTCGTACACATCGTCGATGTTGTAGCCCAAGCTAATGTCGTCATCGCACGCGATACAATGCGAGGTGGTCGTTATGGCGGCCACTGCCACAAGTGCAAGCGCGAGGTTGACGATGGATGTCTTGCCGCCGCACATCGATTCACTTGCATGTGCCGATAGAGCCTTTGGCGCTTCGTGGCTCCAGACATGTCGCCTAGGGATTGATGTTGCCACTGGCCGGCCACGCCACCGACGCAAACCGCGCCACATCAGATTTGAAACGCAACAAGGCGCCAATAATCGGTTGTTTTTTTATCCGGAGTATTTGCGTTTCCGGATAACGACCGTCTTCAAGCTGTAAGTTGGATATCCGGATAGTTGCTGCTCGTCCGCACACCGAAGAAAGGGGCTGCCACAGAAGCATGGAAGAAGAGAAGCAAGATACGACGGTGGAGGTGGTGGCGGCCGCCGCGGTGGACGAACAGAAACGCTTTGAGATTAAGAAATGGAACGCCGTGGCGCTGTGGTCCTGGGATATTGTCGTGGACAACTGCGCCATTTGCCGAAATCACATCATGGATCTGTGTATCGAATGCCAGGCAAACCAAGCGTCGGCGACGAGCGAAGAGTGCACGGTCGCGTGGGGTGTGTGCAACCACGCATTCCATTTCCACTGCATCAGTCGCTGGCTCAAGACCCGTCAAGTGTGCCCCTTGGACAACCGCGAATGGGAGTTCCAAAAGTACGGCAGATAGAACGAATGCGCTTCTCATGCATCCGAAATGGCTCGCTAAGCAATTCATTAACCAAACTCTATCCTCTATGCATATGTGATCTTCGCCCATAGCATCACTGCGGGAAGATGTACATTGAACGAGCAGGACTACGTCAAGGTGGCCCGCCCATCACGTGCAATAGGGAAATGTTCGACTTCTATGGAGGAGCTTGGTTGAATTGGTAGGAATTGGACAGTGTTTACATAGCCAACCTTAACGTTACCGATTGCATGCATACAACTCCAATCTTTGGCCATCACGACACGCCGACATGTAGTTGTCCAAATTCAAAGGGCAAACGACACTTTTGACAGGTCAAACGGCCAATTGCATCGGCCATACATTATCAATTGGCTGCATTTGGACTGGTATCCACCAGTCCAAATTCACCTCAGCCACCGCAGGACTGTGAAGTGTCCATTTTCAGCTAGCGCCATGACAGATTGAACTTGGCGGCCGTCGGGTTGATTGAAGCCACTGGGCAACTTTTAGATGGCCATATGTCACGGCCATCGCTTCGTCAGTGCACCCTTCGTTGCGAAAAAAAACTGCACAGCCAAATGTCCTTTTCTGTCGTCTATCGCGTCGGTCGTACAGCGTTCCGTTCGGTGGAAGATACTCGACCATGGTCAGGTCCCTATGGGCCGCCGCAAATTCCATCGCGTCTACACTACACCCTTCTGTACGATGCCGATGAAGCACAAGGCTCAAGTGATCGCGTTTTTGCCGAATTAACCATGGCGTCGGTCGTGCAGCCTTCGGTCCGGTTCTGGTGCAGTCATCGAGTGAAAGGTGGCATGTACACGTGCGCGGCGTCCGTGGCGGAAGTCCATGCGCTGAAAGAGCTGCCATGTGCCTGTACTAACCACCAAACTGCGTGTACACGGCCATGCGTTGCTGCACAGTCCAACGCTGTGGGGTGCGTAATACCGAGGTTAGATGTCGTCCCAAGGGTCACACCTCGCAGCCATTTTAAATACATTCGGAGTGCAGGCGTTTACAGCAACTTCTCCACGGTAATACGGTCGAGGGCACGTGTTGGCCTCGATCGAGGAGCCAATGGATGACCCGCATTTGAAAAACAGTTACATGTGACACTGTTTCTTATTCTATTTTCGTGGAATTGGACTTTCAAGACAAAACCAAGCGGATTTTCATGTTAATCGGGCCAGAATTTTGATTGGTTGATATTATTCAACAAAGCGTCTAGATTGGCTACATAATCTCAATTGATAGCTTACCAGTAGTACTACAAACTACCCCACAGTCGAAGCTACGATTCGTGTCTGGGGGGTGGACGGAAGGCTCCCATGACGACGCGATGCAAACCAATTCCGTTTCCTAGCGACACAATCAGACCCAATATCAATAGGGCTGGGTCCTTGATTGACGAGCCCAGGAGTACTCCAGTGGGCGTCATGGCCGAGAACAGAACTAGACTCCCCACACGTCGGGTCTTCATGCTGGGGTCGCTGTAGTGATGGTGGATTTCAATGCTGAGGACCAAAGAGGACACGGTCTTATGAGCCAAAATGCCACTCAATGTCGTCCACGCGGGTTCGGCTGCAATGCCAACGCCAACTCCTTCCAGCAATGCGTGGAGCGAGAGCACGCCAAAGAGCACGACGACCGACATGGACGGATGGGGGGAACTTGGAGCTGATTGTTTCGATTTTGACACCGCCGTGGAGGTAGAGATCAAAGTGATGGAAGGGTGGACCTTGTGCACAGGGGAGTGGACGTGAACTTGGACCCAATGCGCCACAACTTCCAAACCAAGGACAAACAAGTACCCAAGTGCATACAGCGAATATGCCGTGGGGAAGATCATGAAGTCCACTCCCGCCAATGTTACGCGCGCAGTCTCGACTAACGCAGGAACGACATGTGCGACGGACCCGACGAGGAAGATGCCACCAACGACGATCGTAGACACGCCATTGTAAGCATCACGAAGCACAGGCATGTACATTGGAGCAACGCATCCGAGGACAGAGAGGTCCCAGATCACGCACGACGCTATCGTCTTGAAGTAAAGGTGGTCAGTAGTGTCTTCGTCCATGATAACATGCAGAACGCCAATTGCGACGGAGATTTTATTGCTCAACTTATCAATTCCCACTCTGGTCCAAAATAGTTGTCATGTTAGACTTCAAAATGAAGTATTTTGTCCTAAACTTACTCATTCGCGTATCTGATTGGTGTAAATGCAAGCTGAAGATCTCCTCTTTGATTGGCTACTTCAAGCTGCGCAAAATTCAAATTTTTGTCCAAGTTATCGAACTCGAAAAATGCCCTTCAAATTGGCAAAATGTTCAATCATCCGCCAGAGAATCAAATCTTGACTTTACACTTCCCCTTCTCACCCACTTGCTCGTCTGGTTGTCTAATACTCTTGAAGCACTATCAAGGCTCTCTCGCTCCTATGATGCTATATTTATGATGAAGCATGCTCAAAAGACACCAAACGCCATACGTGACCATAGCACCTTCGGTAGGCGTCTGTCCACGACAAAATCGTACCTGAGGCTAAATGATGCATAGTTCTAGCCTCTTGAACAAGCTACGGCACTATATTCCGCGAAGGGCGGTGTGGGCAGGCCTTTACCTTCCGATTTGCTTGTTGTGGTTGATGTCACTTGATGCTTTTAGTATAAATATGCTGTAATCATATTGAGAGTTTTATAGCATGTACTAAACATGTATACAAGTGGCTAAATGATATATATTAAGTATACAAACTACAAGTCAAACAAAACTGCACCTTCCAAAATATGCAACACGACAGCTATTTTGGACCAGAGTAGTAATATATTTCCAAACATCTCGATTTTCTTTTTAGTATATTTTGACTAAACCTGTACATATTAATATCCAATTATTTATTAATCAAGGGTATTATAAAATATACAGGGACTGTCGTCGTCAAATTGTCTGCGAGTTGTTTTTTCAACAAGGATGCCACAAGAACGTGATGCCAAGAGACCAAGGGCATGATGACAAGCCAAGCTCATCTTTAAACCACTCCATAACCAGGTCTGCTAATGTCATCACGTGAATGGGACGGACTCTTCACAATCACTTCTACAGAGGGACAGAGATGACAGACAAGTACACGGCGCTGATCGACCAAGCGAGCTTTCAACACATGTCGGCAGAGATGAATGCATTCGACGACAAGCGCGAAGTAATCATTCGCCAATCTCGAGACATTCTCAAAGCCAGCAAGCAAGCGATCTTCTCCATGCATCGTGGGGCGCTAGACGACGCGACGGCCAAATTAGCCGAGGCAGATCGCGTGATTTCCCAATTGGCACCCCTCATTGAGGTGGATCGGTCGCTGCGGACGGGATCGTTTGCCGCTGCCATGGAGGAATATGCCGAAGCTCAATGTTTCCTGCACTTCCTCGAGCATGGCACCCTCATGTCCATCGACAAGCTCCATTCTGTCGAGCGCGAAGAGTACTTGTCGGGCGTCGTCGACTTTACGGGGGAAGTGGGTCGATACGCCGTAGCTCAGGCCACCAAGCGCGACGTGGCCCAGGTTGAAGCATGTCGTGACATTGTCGAAGCCATTTCTGGCGAGGTACTTCTATAGCCATTATCATAACCACTGACATGTATGGGATCAAACAGTTGATTCAGTTCAGTTTCCGCAACGGACCACTGCGGAAAAAGTACGACTCGCTCAAGTACAACCTCAAAAAGCTCGAGGTACTTGTTCGTAATGTGTGGGCACTAAATAGTGACATTTACTCTGGTAGAATACGCTGTACGAGCTGTCGCTTGTGCCATCTGGAGGACGACCGTTCGAGTTGAAAGCGGACGAGCCATTGCCACCTGGTGCCAACGACGACTTGATCCAATGACCACTTTCATAACTAGTAAATCCATCGATTCTTTGAAGTGTGTATATTTGGAATCACACTAATTTCTGGCACACACACTAATTTGATGTTGAGGAGGATGGTGGTTTCCTGCAATCTGATTGGCTCAATTCTTCTGCATTCCCCTTTCACTTCATTCGTCTTGTTGGTCGATGTCTTCGTCGTCGCACTCGCCATCGTACATAGCAAAAGATGTATGGGAGAGCACGCAGAGGACGCCGCGCATGCCGTTGGCGGCCAGCGCCACCACCGTCGACCCCACCTCCCTCGTCCGCACCGCCTCATCCGTTGGCGCCGCATCCTAAACATATCTTGTTATAGTGTCTATATGAACACCACAGTTACCTCATGAGGCGGCGGACGTTGGTGCTTTGAAGAGTCTTCCATCGGTACGAGTTGCAAGTACGCTACATACATGTAAATCCAATCACGCATCCCATCATGAAGATGGAGTACCTTGGTCGCCATTGGACACGACGACAGCCACGCGCGGCGGACACGACTCTCGAATGTACATGCTAGCTTGCACCTAGATTGAGCCAAGCACACTATTACACGCCCATGTTGTATGCAAATGTGTGTCGTCAAAGCAGGCAGTAAGTACGGGTACGTACGTACCACATGAAAGGGCGGGGCGATCGATGGGGTCGTCCACATGTCCCACGTCGTTGTATCGTACACATGAACGTCGGCCAAGTGCTTTTGAAAGCAGAGCGTCCACTGCGGACCAAACAAAACGCTCGAGTGTGGCAACGACGCTTGTCGGACAAGTGTACATATTGGCGGTGACGACGTCGACTTGGCCAAGAGACGTGTCCACTGCATGACCACACGTGTGTTTGCATCGCCTATTCCGTCAATCAACTAGACACAAACGACTCTCAATTTGTAATTCCAAGACTGACGTAAACAAGAACGACGTACCGACGGCATGGGGTTGCCAAATGTCAGCTCCATGTCGTTTGGATGGGCTTTGCGATGGGCTACGGCCACATGGTACGCATGATCGAGGAACCGAGCGAGGCGCTGCGTGTCCACGGGGTTACTCGATCCAAGCCGTGTCTTGTCTACGAATCTCTCCATCATCTTTATTGAAAGGGAGTCGGCCTACTCGTCACGCTAGCGCTTGTGTGGGCAATCCAGTCCAGGAACAGCCCCATGTTCACGGCCGTGTCGCGCACTGCGCGCTGCATGCGGTTCAATTGCAGCAGAAACCCCTCCGTGGCCTCGATAAAGTCGGACAGCGCCGACGTAGACATCCCGATCGACTAATAATAAACTCACTAACACTTTCGACATCTTCGTTCATATACCTCCAATGACTGGTACGAACGAGCCAAGCCGCGCAACTCAGTCAGTCGAAACAGAACGGCCGACGCCCCCGTGACAGCATGTTCATGCAGCTATGACGTTATCAGCATGATGAGATAGAACGACTCCATGTGACATCGCGTTCCGTACCAACGTGTCGACGGCGTCACAGCCGTGGGCAAACGTCTTTTGCATTTTTTGAATACTCTGTCACATAATTATGAGTCGTGGAGAACGAAGGGGCGATACTGTATCATATACCTGGGCTTGCAAATACTGCGACAGAAACAGCTCCAACGCTGGGTAGCACAACCCACTGCACAACAGAGTGTACATGTGCATCTACAGCCACTCGATATATCTATCACAAGAGGCCTAGCCAACACATAGAGTACCTGAGGCACTTGGTGGCAGCCGTACTTGGCGTACTCGCCAGGCAGCAACCGAAATTTGGCTTCAAATAGTCGCACGCCGTTGCCCCACTACAATTCAAGCAATATTGAAATATATATATATATATGGAAACATTACCTCTGTTTTGAGCTGCTTGAGCGCTGACGTGATCATGGCCCAGAGGCTTTGAATTTCTCGGATGTGATGGGCCACGACAAAGAGGATTTCCTTGGAGGTGCTGGTGGGAAGGCGGTAGCTGACGACTTGGCCGGTTATGGTGGCCACATGCACGCGAGAAAGGTCTTGGAGCACGTAGAGGTGCTGTATGTTGGTGACGGAAGTGTCGACGCGGGCCAGACACACATTGCCCCACAAGTGCACGAGGATGGTGCCGTGCGTGTCGGCCGACGCGAGGACATGGTGGTGCTCGTCGGGAATGGGCGAAATGGGAGTGTACGTGGTCGACGTGTCCGAGAAGGACGAGGGAGGGTTCATGACGTACGACGGCGTGCGATCCTTCATCTTGGACGAGTTGCAGTCTGTGATGCTATACATGATATGAGCACATAAGAAGACACGTCACGAGTGAGAGAGATACTTTGTCCACGCTAACGCGGCGATTGGGTGGACGTGGTGGTAGCTGCTCACGTTTTCAAAGGACTGCCAAGTCGAGTCGTCCGACTCGGCCTCGATGTCATGCAAGTGCACTTGTCCATCTCGCCGTCCGATAGCTAATGTCCTGCCTATCACGACAGCGTTTGTATCCCAGAGCGTATAATGCGCACCACTTACCACATGGACGCCACGCAACATGCGTCACTTGTGAAGCCGTGTCGGATGGCTGTATGTGCAGCAGTTTTTTCCACTCCACTGATTGCTACACACATTGATTTGGGGTTGGGTGCAACCAGGGATGGAAGTCGTACGTAAACCAGCACATGGTGCTCCGTGGTGATGATCGCAACAATGTCCATGGTTGGGCAGCAGTAGACATTTGATGCGCTGATGCCCTTGCATTCTCGCATCAGCGAGAAGCTTGTCATGGTCAAGCGTTTTCTGTGAACGACAACGCTATCCGGATGAGAATGACCGACATTCCACCATCCGGATATTGGGACTTTTAGTAATACAGTACTGTATCACATTGTATAATCTCATCACTCGATTTGCTGATGTAAGCTCTAGTACATTTCCCCGCGTAGGAGCAGCTTGGGCACATGCTGTACGACGGCGCCTTCATGTGGACACAAGTGCGGAAAGATGAGCAATCTGCCGCGACGAGGCTGGACTGCAGCCAACACATTGTGGTCGTGGGCGTTGGTCGAGGTGAGGAGGTTGGTCTGTCCGCCGCTGGCGCACGTAGTGAGGTAAATGATAAATGTCTTGGTCGATGTCACACCCTGCAAGTCGGTGCGGGACAGGTCCACGTGGGCGGGCAAACTGCCGCCGACGTCAGTGTAATGGAGGAAGCGCATGTTGGGGAACACGGCGCGGCCGCACGCGCGGCGGACTCCGTCGAGCACCCACCCCAATGAATCGCAAAAGTACGACCGATTCGAACACGATTCCTTCTCCTTGGGGGCCACGGGGAGGGTCCCGTGCAGCGCGTCGAGTCGCGCCAAGAAGTCGTCGGGAAAGGCATTGTCAAAGTACCCGCTGCCAGCCCCGGGGTGCGCCGACGCGGACGGAATCAGCTCGACAAAGCGGGAGTCATGGTGGGTTGGAGGATGCAGGTGTTCCAAACCATTGGCCACCACACCTTCTTGACCCTCATGATGATCTTGACATGGCAAGATCATGTTTGCTTGATATAGACTACAGTACGAATAAACACATTGGATAGGTGGTCAAAACGGTATCGGAATCGTACATTGAAGCGATGGCATGGTGACCATGACGCAGTGCGCATTGTGATGGCAACGTGCCGGCGTTGTCGGCCAAGTCGGCCGCCGCGCCGGACGCGAGCAGGGCCTCCACACACCCCAAGTCACCCGTCCATGCCGCCATGAACAAGCATGTTTGGCCGTATTCGTTGCGGCAGTTGACATCTACCCCCACATGCACCAGTGCTCGGAGTCGGCCGGCATTCCTCGCGACGACAGCCTTGAACATCTCGGCGTCGCGCTGTTTGGGCGTGAGGCCGACGTACAATTGCAATGCGCGCCACAGCGGCAGAGGTTCCACGGTGGGTTTCACGTTCTTGTGGCCTTTGGGGGGGATGTGGGACAGGCGCAAGTACGCATCGAGTGACGCTTGGGCGATGGTGGATGGCGCATCGGCGGTTGGCGGCGGGCGCGGAGGACACGTGGACGCGGCATTCTCGATGTCGACATGGCAATGCGGGCATGTCAAGTCCTGGTCGATGCGGAGGAGAGAGAAGTGGGCCCAGAAACAGCCTTGGCAGATGGGATGGCGGCAAGGTGACAGCTGCACGACGTGGTTGGAATCGTCGCTACAATGGACACATGCGCTTCCGTGGCGTTGACTTATCGACAAAGCGAGGAGCGAGATGATCCAAACGATGTACTGGATGGGATATCGAAGCAACATGGCCCTGGACTCGGGATGGATGACCAGGCCGCTTTGGCAGTCGTACGAGGGATCGGCGCCAGCATACAACAACGACAGACACACCTGCGGCGAGTGGACGGCGGCGTAACCAAGCAGCGACATCGAAGTCGCGTTGTCCATGGACACCCCGCAAGGTACGTTAAGGTTGTACTTGGACAGCTTCATCACGCCAAACCCTACCAGCCAGGGGTGAGAAGGCATGACGACAGTTCGTCAATGATAAATGCCATGTACTTGCTAGGCACTTGTTGTCAATATGACCCACATAGGCTGCGATCTCTTCATGGGAGAGCTCCTCCCGGGACATAATGGAGTTGTTGTTGATCTTGTAGAAGGTTCGGATGCGCTCGTTGCGCCGCTTGCTCTGCCGGCCTTTGGCCTTGCCGTCCCCACCAGCTTCCATGTTGATGGCGCTTGGTTTTCGTTTGGCCAATGGTGGCTGTTGGCGGTTATTTGACATGGACGAATCAAATCACTTCATTGGATTTAATTTTAGCCAATCCAATGTCAAGATTGTTTTGCAATTCCAACGATATACCAACTCCCTGGATTTATGGCTACGGTGGAGGAGAAGGCGGTGCACAGTCATGGCGCCAAAGTAGACAAGGAATCGGCGTCCGACGATGCCGATTCCTACTCGGAAAGTGGATCTGGAGATGACGATGATGCATCAAGCGCCGATGGTGACGAAAATACAGAGACGTCCCTTCCCTCGACGTCCAAAGTGAAGGACGAGGACGACGAGGTGTTGTCCGCCGAAGACAAAGCGGCGCGAGAAGCGTTAATCCGTGAAGAAGAAGAAGCCCTAAAGAAGCAAAAGGAGAGTCAGGCCAAAGCCCTGGAAGCCTTGCGCGAGCAAGAGCAGGAATCGCCCGCAAAGGCGGCCAAGGCGACACCGGATCGACGACTGCAATTTCTCATGGCGCAGGTATACCCTGTACTTCATCCAAGAACCCTTATCTCCCCCCCTGAAAATTCATTGTCCCTTCCGTGTCATGACGCTAGTCGGACGTGTTCACGTCGTTCCTCATGGGCGGGAGCTCTGCGGTGGGCAAAGCGATGAACAAGAAGAACGCCCGCGATGTCAAGTCCGAAGGCGACAACAATCGGCGATCTATCAAGAAAGGCGGGGACGACGACGACCAAGCGGCGATCTTGGCGGAAGACGAGTCCCGCTTCACGCGTCTGGACAAACAACCGTCAAACATTGCGTTTGGCACGATGAAGCCATACCAGCTGGAAGGGTTGAACTGGATGATCCGTCTCCACGATTGCGGCGTGAACGGCATCTTGGCCGACGAAATGGGGTTGGGCAAGACGTTGCAGAGCATTTCGTTGCTCGCGTACTTGCGCGAATCGAGAGGTACTTGCTCTAGAACGACAGGACAAACACCAACAGCACGTGGTTGTAGCGTTGAAGGGCCCGCACATGATCATCGTGCCCAAGTCCACGGTGGGCAACTGGATGCGCGAACTCGGCCGGTGGTGTCCGTCCATCCGCGCGTTCAAGTTTATGGGCGACAAGGAACAGCGCAACGTACTGCGCGAGTCGATCAAGACTGTCAAGTGGGATGTGTGTGTGCTGTCGTACGAGGTGGCCATCATGGAGAAGCCGACGCTCAAAAAGTTCAAGTGGAAGTACATGCTCATCGACGAAGCGCACCGCATCAAGAATGAAAACTCGAAATTGTCCCAAGTCGTGCGCGAGTTTGACGTGGAGCATCGGTTGCTCATCACGGGCACGCCGTTGCAGAACAACTTGCACGAGCTGTGGGCCCTGCTCAACTTTCTCCTCCCCGGTACGTTTGTCCATAGTATATATATATATATATATTGTCGTTTTACCCAAAATTTGGACGACTTTTGTGCGAATTCTTTGCCAAATCGATCGATATCTTTGTTCTGACTTAAGAACGTTCAGTCATTGTGGTCCAAGAGTGGCTTTGATTGGCCACTTGATTCGTTGATTCGTAGTCTGGCTTTTGATTGGTCGATCGATTGTCTGTCGATTTGGCGATTCCTCACTCCAATTTCGAATCCACTTGAGAATATTATATAGCGATTGTTTATTGCCATGTGAGGACCCAAGCTTGGAAATGTTGTAACTCCCCAATTTACACTTTAGTATTCATTGGACGGGTCGCATAACACTATTTCGTGTCATACACCAATTACTACGTGTTCGTATATGGAACACTATTTCGTGTCTTACACCAAATAAGACGTGGAAGTATATGTAACACTATTTCATGTCATATACCGATTACACTATTTTGAGTCATACACCAATTACTACGTGGCAGTAAATGTAACACTATTTCGTGTCTTACACCAAATACTACGTGTGAAGTATGGTCGCGTATGAAGCCCATAACACTACTATCGTGTCATACACTAATGACGGGTTCAGAATGGTCGTTTTTCTACCACCTGATTGGCTAAAATTGTACCCCCTATAAGCCAACCAAAATCACTCGGGTTAGATGTGTTTACGGCGAGTGAGGATTTTGACTCGTGGTTCAACGTGGACGGGGAAGCCGGCCATGAAAACGTCATCAAGAAGCTGCACACGGTGCTCCGGCCGTTCCTCCTCCGCCGCCTCAAGACGGACGTCGAGCACTCGCTGCCCCCCAAGACCGAGACCAAGCTGTACGTGGGTCTGTCCGAGATGCAGCGCGAGTGGTACACGCGGGTCCTCCACCGCGACGCCGCGCACTTGAACTCGATCGGCGGGTCGGATCGCGTCCGACTGCTCAACATTCTCATGCAGCTGCGCAAGGTGTGCAACCACCCGTACCTGTTTGACGGCGCCGAGCCAGGTCCGCCGTTCGTCGAAGGCGCGCACTTGTGGGAAAACTGCGGCAAACTCGTGTTGCTGCACAAGTTGCTGCCCCGGCTCAAGGCGCAGGGGTCGCGCGTGCTCATCTTTTGCCAGATGACGTCCATGCTAAACATCCTGGAAGACTACTTGCGGTTCCATCACCACGAATACTGCCGGCTGGACGGATCCACGCAGGGAGAGCTCCGCGACGAGTACATGGACGTGTTCAATGCGCCCAACTCGACCAAGTTTGCGTTTCTGCTCAGCACACGCGCCGGCGGACTCGGCATCAACCTCGCGACGGCAGACATTGTGATCCTATACGACTCGGACTGGAACCCGCAGGTGGATCTGCAAGCGATGGACCGCGCGCATCGCATCGGGCAGACCAAACCGGTCCGGGTGTTTCGGTTCATCACGGATGGCACGGTCGAGGAGAAGATTGTCGAGCGCGCCGAGCGCAAGCTGTACCTGGACGCAGCCATCATCCAGCAGGGCCGCCTGGCGCAGCAGAATCGCAAGCTGGGCAAAGACGAGCTCATGACGATGGTTCGGTTTGGCGCCGACGAAATCTTCAACGCCAAGGGGAGCATGATCACGGAGGACGACATCGACGCGATCTTGGCCAAGGGCGAGGAGCGCACGGAAGGCATGAAGGCGAAAATCAACGACGACATGCAGCACAACCTCAAGAACTTTAGCTTGTCGTCCGTGTCGAGTTTGTACGAGTTTGAAGGCGAAAAGTTCGCCAAGGATGCGGCCGAGGCCGGCGGCGTCATGCCGCCCACGTTCATCGCGCTGCCGGCGCGCCAGCGCAAGACCAACTACGACGTGGACGAGTACTACCGCCAGCAAACGGGCCAGGTCAAGCCCAAGAAGGCCAAAAAGTCGGACGACGACTTGCGCCCCAAGGTTGCGGTCGTGCACGACTTTCAGTTCTATGACAAGGACAAGATGGTGCCGCTGCTCCAAGCGCAGCTGGACGTTGAGTTTCAGCGAAAGGAACAGGTCAAGCTGATCAAGGAAGCCAAGGGCGGCAAGGTCGACGGCGACGATGCAACGCTCCAGCGGCTCGAGGCGGAGCTGGACGCGATGGACATGACCGCGGCGGACCGCGCCGCGCTGGACGCGCTGGAGCGCGACGGGTTTGGCGACTGGAGCCGACGGGACCTCAAGCAGTTTGTCGCGAGCTGCGAAAAGTTTGGCCGGCAGGACAAGGACCAGATCTGCGCCGACACGGCGGCCGCCGTCGGCAAGGACGTGGCGCGCGTGGCCGAGTACTACGATGTGTTCTGGGCACGAGGACCGGATGAACTGGATGAATGGGCCAAGTTTGTGGACCGCATCGAGAAGGGCGAAAAGCGGCTCACGCGGAACCAAGCGGTCAAGGAAGCGTTGGCGGCCAAGGTACCCAATCAACCCAATCATAGATGGAGAAAGATGACGGAAGATGATCATGTGTGTCTAGTGCGCATTGTACAGAAACCCGTGGCGCGACATGAAGCTGCAGTACCCCGGCGGATACAAGAGCAAGGGGTTCACGCACGAAGAAGACGTGTTCCTTGTGTGCATGATGCACCAGCACGGGTTTGAGTGGAATGCGATCAAGGACGACATTCGCAAGGCATGGCAGTTCCGCTTTGACTGGTTCTTCAAGTCGCGCACGATCGTGGAGCTCCAAAAGCGCGGCGAGTTCCTCACCAAGTTAATCGAAAAGGAGAACGAGGAGACCGCGAGCAAGGCCGCCACGGAGGACGAGACGCTGTCGGCCAAGGCGACCAAGAAGCACAAGAGCTCGAGCAGCGGCGGCGGCGGGAGCAGTAGCAAGAAGCGGTCGCGCCCGTCGTCGTCGTCCTCTAGTAGTTCCAAGCGACGAAAGTCCAAAGGTTAAACCAACATGCTTCCTCCTACATAACGAATCGACGAACACGACAACCTTTCTGCATGCTTGCAACACGCACACTTGTCCATGGAGGTGGCCCGCCGGCCGCGCTTGGCGCCACACGTTCGGGATATCCGGATACGAAACGACCTCGGGTATCCGGATACCACCACTTTCTTGTGCCTTGACACGATGACGTCGAGAGAAGAGAGCGGCCCGGGCTCGTTGGGGTTCTTCACGGGGGTGTCCGTGGATGACAAGAAGTACGAGTCCCTGCTGGAAGACCTCCGTGCGCACGATCTCTTGGGACCTGCGGACGACATTGCCTACGATGCATATGGCAGCGGGCTGTCTGGACGGACTTCGTCGTCGCTGTTGCTGCATGACAATTTGTCTGCGATTTTCAGTGGCAATGTCCCCAAGGACTGCAAGTCGCCGACATACCCACCCCCCCGTCATGTCGTACCAACTTCGACTGCTGCCCGCGCCCCACCTCCGGGTTTCGCGTCTGCCCCCGTCGGCAACGCCCCGACCCAAGCCGATCTCGAATGGGCGCGGAGCCAGCAAGAGTTTGCGTTGTTGCGTGGGGATTTCTCTCGCAAAGCCACCCCCAATGCCGTTGATACCTTGAACACGCAGCAAGCGTACTTGTACTCCGAAGAAGACGAGGACGACGATGCGCTCTTGGACAACTTGACGATCCAGGACCTGGGCTTGGACGACGACGACGACAAGCAACGAGGTGGTGCCCCTCCCCTTCCTTCTTCGTTGCCGCCTCCGCCATCGATTCCCCCTGGCTTGCATCCTCCGTCGCCGCCGCAGTTGCCACCGCAAAGCGCGCCATACCCGCCTCAACAGCCGCATCCATCGTATGCAGGAGTGCCTCCTCCAGGAAACTACCCGCCACCGCCACCACCTCCAGGACACTACTACGTCCAACCCCCGCCGCATCTCCAGCATCATCATCATCCCCAAGGCCCTCCCGGCGGCTTCCACGGCCCGCCGCACCTTTTGTACCACGGGCCGTCGCCGCATGCGATCATGAACGAAAAGATCTTCAAAGTCATGAACCCTCGCGACGTGCAGTTTGTGGTCCAGCAACAGCTCAAGCAGATTCGATCGAGCGATCCGTTCAGCGACGACTATTACTTTCACAACTACCACGTGGTCTGTTGTCTACCATCACATCTTTTCTCAATGTGGTTTCGTGTAGAAACGGGAACGATCGGGGTCGGTGCCGCCCGTCGCGGGCGCCGCGCTGCCGCTGCCGTCGTGGAAGCTAGAGCATGTCAAGGCATTCGACCCGCGCGATGTATCGCGGGCGACCAAGTCGCGCGAATGGGAATCGGACAACCACGTGTTGGGGCGCACGGCCAAGTCGAGTTTGTACCGACCTCGCGAGATGCTACACCTGGACGACAGCAAGGACGGGGTGTGTGACGTGGCGCTGTCTCGATCGACCACGCCGGCTACGTCCGTGTTCCTCAACGAGTCGTGGTCGAAGCGCCAGCGCATCAACGAAGGCTTGGTGCATCTGCTGGCCCTTCAGGACGCCCGACACATTCTGGACGCGCGCCGCATCAACGTGGCCCAGTTCCACCAACTCGACCCGGCCCAGATGGACCCATCACTCGTGGACCTCCGCAATAAGACGACCACTCTGCTGCTCGAGCTCGCCAGTGTGCTGGGCGTGACCAACCCCCAGCAACCGGCCGACGGCTTTGACCGACCGGCGCTGGACGGCATCCTCGCGGTTTCCAAGGGAAACAAGCTGGTCTGCCGCGCGCTGCCGCTGCTGCACCCGTCGGCGCGCTTTGTCCTGTTTCCGCAGTTGGTGCACTACCTGTTGGTGCAGTCGATCCACTCGACAGAGGACCAAGACCGCCTCGCCCAGACTCTAGTGGTGGCCCTGCTGTATCAGCAGCCGTCCCCACCCGCGGACGTGCTCGCCGAGTCGATTCAACTGGCCTTGGCAACCCAAACCCTGCAGTCGCTGTCGTTGGTGCTGCACAACCGGGTCTCTGGTGTCCATAACCTGTGACTGGGTTATCTGACTGGATTGCTTGGATAGGCGCGTGCCGAGCTCTTGCAAGCGTTGCTGCAAAAAGGCGGCGCCGTGTGCGCGACGGCCGCCGACGACGTCAAAGCGAAATGGTACGAAGTTGTTGTGGGCTGTGGATGATGTGGAAATAAACTCATGTGATGACAGGCTCAAGTACCAAGACGTGTTTGTGGCCCTGGCGTCGCGCATCAAAGAAACCACGCAACCTTAGAACACTCTGTACATCATCTGACTAGGATATACAGTACTCGACAGCGGACAATATCGCTTGTTCAGACTATAGTTGTAGTATACATAGTATATTAATACTGCCTACTTCATACGTACAGTACAGCGGGTACATCCTGGTATAATATATACTAGTATACTACTTCGAAGTACTTCGAAGTACACAACACGGTTACACTATTTGAACAGTTGAAAGCTGGGATTCGGTGGGCACAACCAGCGGCAAGCAAACGCGCTCGAGTTTGCAGCAGCACGTGAGTGTCGTCACGAGAATCCCCAGCACGAACAGCATCATGCGAAGGTGGTGAACGGCGGAGACGAGGCCGGGCGAGCATTGCGCCGGACTGGCGGCGTCGGTCCGGATCCAGATCGTGCCGACGGTGGCCCACGCCACACTCGCGATGCCGTGGCCGAGTAGCAGGCACGCCAAGTACGACGCTGTCGAGTGCGGATGGAGGTAGCACCACAGCGCCAGGCCCAGAATGAACCCAAACAAACCGCTTGAGACGATCAAAAATAGCACGAACGGCTCGCGGCAGCCGGAGCTCTGGTCGCGGTTGGAGTAGACGACCGCCAGAATCACCGCCACGACAACCAACGCACCAAACGGCAGAGTCGCGAGGGCTCGTCGGGTGCTATGGGATACGTTGGCGCATCGCAAGGCAGCGAGCACCCCGGACGTTTTCTAACATGGGATACACAGTACATAGAGTATTCGATTTTTTGACGATTAGTTGGTGATGGACAACATACCGAGCCTGGGGCGGAAACGTTGCGCACGACATAATGCACCAATATGCCCATCAACGGAACGCACACAGTGACAAACAGACACGAGGTCGCGATGGTCAGCGCAAACAGCGTCGGGTTGGCCTGGGCGCACCCTTTGTGCGCTCCAAGAATGGCCCCGACGATGCCAACCACGATAGTTGCAAAGCAATGCAGAATGGCCAACACGGGCATGGCAGGTGGCTGTGTATGTGACACGTAGGCGACAAGACCCACGACAAACCACGTGGCAGTGAGACCGCCACTTGCGACAAGGTAATACCGGGTCTCAACAGGGCAACTCAAGGTTGCAGACGATATGGCAGGGTGGACCAGTGGGTCCGTAAACATGGGATGAAGACTCACGGTTAGACACGCACAAGATACCACGGCCAATATAAGCAGCCCCAAGATAGCAAAGCCGTGGTGGAGCCATCGCCGACGCTGTGGAAGAGACCCACTGCGCTTCCGAAGAGACGACCGACGCTCCATCATAAAACAGTATCTCGCGTGGGATTACAGCAATTGCCTTTGACGGTTACAAATGAAACCGTCGTCCGCGCCGCTTCGGCCATCGCAACACTAAGTCTAAAGCAACTGCTCGATGCACGCAAGACGAAAACGACCCCGAGCACCATGCAACCCCAAAGCTCTGGAGCTGGCGGAGAAAGCCAACGACAATAACCAAGCCACTCACGAATGCCCATCCTTGCTCCATCGAATCACGGCATCACATCCTTCGCAACGACCGCGCGACGTTGTCCATCACCCTTCGACCGCCACCATGGAGATGTCCCCAGCAACTGCCTCCATGCAGGCTACGCAAAGCAGCGTTTCTGGTGCGGAGCCGCCGCCTGCCCCTACCATGCTACCTCTCTCAATGTATGTTCGTGATGGTAATAGATACGCCCGACAAATTACTCGCGTACTGCTTGCATGTAATTGCCGCCAAGGAACGCGTGGTCCCCAGCCATATCCGACTCAAAGGTATGCCTCATACTATATAACAGTCGAACGTAACCCCCCCCCAAGACATTCGGACGGTGGCTGACGCCGTGTTCGCCCCCACGCGAAAGCCCCTCGAAATCCACTACCTCGACTACAACCCATCGCCCCCTTGTCACTTTACCAACGTGTACTGGCTCAGTCCAGTCCCCGTCTCCAAATTGGACCTCAAACGTCACTACTTTACGCTGACGTCGTATGGGTTGACGCATGTTGCGGGGGCGGACACTGGTACGTTGATTGAAGGGTCGTCATATGGTCGGTTGCTAAGCCATGGGCTTTTTGCTGGCTTGAACTAGAAGTGTATGACGTGGCAACGTGGCTGACGGAGAAGGCAATTTTCGACCAAATTGTGCAAATGCCGTGCATCCAACTCATGCGTAAAATGACCACGTTCCACACGTGGAAACAAAACTCGATCGGCATTCGCTTTGGCCGGGCTCGGTACGCCTCCTTCTAGACCACTTCGACCATGGATCATGATGACATCCAGGAAACATCTGACCCAAAAGTTGATTTGGTGCCATGCGGGGGTCGTGCCTTATGCGCTTCAGATCCGGCACATGACGCTGCAAGTAGGTTGCGGATGCTGCGATAAACTTGATCCTGCCACGTCATACACCGTTCTTGACAGTGGATGGTACGTAGATCACACAGCTGGCCACGAGCTCGATTGTGCAGAAAGCCGCGCCCGTGGCATTCGAAGAGACCCGCCAGGTCGGACCGTTTGGTCCATTGGAAGGGTACTCATTGTTGTTGGAGTAGTTGGATTATACATGTCAAGTCACCGACGTCCTCGCCGCCGTGGACAAGGTCGAAGCGTTCATCTACGAAGCCCTCGCACCCCTGCTCCAGGACCACGCTCGGTATGGATCGTTCGCGGCGAGCTCAGATGTCATCCCCATCTTCGTCCGCGTGGTGGACTACATGGTGGTCGAAGCCTTGTTTGACGCCGTCACGACGTCGATGGACCAGCTGGTGCAAGCCATCACGGGCGTCACGTCGAATTCAACTGAATATGATGTCGTTGCAAGGACCGCGGCGGACGAGGCTCTGGACATGTCCTCCCAAGTCGACTCGCTGTTAGCTAGACCATTTGAACACACAGGTGACGAGTCAACTACTTCATCTGCAAGCCCATTGCAGCCTCAAATCTACGATTTTATGGACCCTAACCACAGGACAGGGACTGTCGCGTACAAGCGTCTGTTTCAACTGCAAAGTGCCTCGCGGGCGCCAGACCCGTTGTTCTTTGTGCACATTACCATCCACGACACCACGCACTGCGCGATAGCGTCCCCGTCCAAGGAGGCCTGGCTTGGAAAGCTCCACGCGAGTCTGTCGCAGTACGTCGCCGCTGTCGACAGCATCGGGCGAGTGGGGGCCATCCCCCGGGTCCGGCAGTTCGTGCACGACCACTGCCGGCCGTACTTTCGGCACTACTTTGCCAACAACCTGCACCGGTTCTCGGCCATGGTGCACAACCACGCACACGTGGCCAATGTCATGACGGCACTGCGGACTGCGATGGACATTTACTTTGCAGAGATCGAGGTACGTATGTTTCTGAGTGGATGCTGTGGACGACATTGTACCAAACAGCTTGGCGGACGTAGCACTTGGCGTCGACGTGTCTGCCACTGAAGGCCGAATTCCGCCAGTTGCAGTCTATCGCAGTTCCAATGGCCTCTACAACAACCCCATCGCCGAACGTGGACGCTGTCGCACACGTCGCCGAAGTGTGCCGCGTCATGCAATCGTACGTTGCGTTTCGACGAGAACTTAGGGTCGTGGACAGTGTTCTGCAAGTGGGCTGCTTTCTTGTGGACCGGAGCAACTTTGTCGGCAACATGTTGCACGAGTGCAACGCGACGTTGTTGACCATGTACGAGGCGCTGCCTCATTTGTGCAAACGATTCATGGCGGCCGTGTCGAACGAACTCGCTCACAAAGCATCCACGTTGGCGTCGATTCCAGAATCCGTCGACGAGGTAGGTGTACCCTGCCCCCATCGATTGCCGTTTGATCGAAGTATTCCCGTGGCTAGTGCACGGCATGGCTCGAGTGTTTCGGTAGTCTGCTGCGGAAGCGGTCGTCCAATACCCACATTGAGCCGCAGTTGAACACGCTTGGATGCCTTGTGGACTCGTGCCAAGAAAACTGCGATTTGATTCCCCACGAGTTGCGTGTATCTCTAGTACACTCGTTTGAAAGCAGCAATCGTACGTACGCCACTTCTGTGTTGACAGTCGATGATGAAGTCACTTGGTGGTAGACACGTATCGATTCAAAATGAAAGCCCTCGTCGAGACATCGAGTCGCATTGTTGACGCCAACCAGCCGTTTTACGTCGACTTGTTTAGCCGAACCATGTCGACCCGCCGCGACATCCTCGCGCTCGAATTCGACACGGTGGCTACCAAACTAGATCACGCCTTGACCACGTTTTGCATGTTTGATGCGTTTCCTCACAGCGGGGGGTTCGGGGGGGCGGACGTCCAAGCGCTGCTGCAAGTGGTGCGCCACCTCGTGAACCAAAGTGCCCGTTTGCTCACGCTGGAAGCACACTTGGAGGCGTTTCGAGGGTCGTCTAATTCCTATAGGCTACAGCGCCGCCGCCACTCGTTCCGCCAAATGTCCATTGATCACGTGTACAAGCAGCATGACCGCCTCGATGCTGTTGTAGTCCTCTTGGGCCTCGTGCAATCCTACGTTGAGCTTCGCGCCCCCACCAACGACGTTCCCCTTGTAGGTATCGACCTCCCGGCGCTACTGGCCAAGATCGCCACGCTCAAACGGCAATCACAGCCGTATTGCGCCATGCTGGGGGGGGTGGCCCACCCTCTGGTTGCGCAGTTTTACCCGAGCATACAAAGCCTACACGATGCCGTGGAAATCGCCGTCACAATGAGCCATGTCCAATTCACAGCCTCTAGATGGTGTCGACTGGCCACCTTTTTCGAGCACGCGGGGGCTGCCACGTGTACCCTCCGACACATTGAGCACGCGCTCAAGTCCCCCGACGCCGCGTTGATCCTCACCGAGCTGACCGACGCGGTGCGCGTTGAGGCGCGCATCAAGGACACCATCGGGAGGGTGAAAGCCATCGTGGCGGACCTGACGTTTGAGTTTAAGCCGGACGCCCGCCACGACTTGCACGTGACCAATTGCTTGACGCTGACCTCGTCGCTCGAGGACGCCCACTTGAGCTTGATGTCCATTCGGCACCATCAAAATCCGTGGCTTCGAGACGTCGAGCGGCTCGAGATTCGAATTCTGGATGCCATCGCGCTCTTGGAGAAAGTTCATGACATGGAGCAGCACTGGTCGAAGGTGTCGAGCGCTGTGGCAGTACCGGAAGTGCTAGCGCACCTGAACGACGCTTCGCTCCAGACGGCCGTGGAGGCGATGGGCACGACGTGGCGGGACTGCCTGCTGGCCGTGTACCGTTGGGACGACCATGGGAAGAAGACGAATGTCATGATCAAGCTGGAAACGGTGTTCAACGAGGTCGACTTTCCCCAATGGCTCGGCTTGTGTGAACGCATCCGAGCGTCCATGGAATCGTATATGGAAGCGTTGCGGGCGTCCTTTGCGAGGCTGCACTTACTATCCAACGACGACCTGCTCACGTTGTTGCAGACCCCCACTCCAGTAGACCTCGCTGTCCAGTGGTGCTACCCTGGCGTGCAAACTGTGCATGTTGCCAACACAACGCAACTCCAATCTAGTGCTCACATTGCAGGGCTGATGGATGCCGACTTTATGTCGTGGCTGCTGGGCGACCACGCCATCTCATACTTGCACGCTGTGTCGTTTCATTGCCACACCGACATGACCCAGTCGTGGGTGTTGAACTTGTACCGCCCGGTCAAGATCCTCGGGTCACTGTCGTTTTGGCTCGGACAGTTAGACATCATCTTAACACATTCGCTAGCATCGAACGTCATGCGCGCCAAGGCCACAACATACGATCCAGTATCATCGATGGTGTCGGACCAAGAAGCGTTGCCGCCGCAGCTGGCCTTGAGTTTGCTGCACGTGCAATTCTGCACTTTTGTGGGGCGCGTCATAGAGCCGAGTCCGAAGCGGTTGAGTTCCGCACGAACGGTGCTGGCAACGACTGCAACGGCTCATCGGACGTCCCTGACAAAGTTGATTGGGGCGATGCGATCGGCCAACGAATGCAACGTCGCGGTGGAAGACGCGATTGTGCTGATGGCGTACGAGGACGGCGTCGTGCGGCGGCTGACAACCCTCGCCGGGACGCACGACTGGGCTCATGTCGTGCACGAGTGGGAGGTGTCCTTTCAATTGGCGGAAGTTCCATCATCGGCCGACTCTACGTGTACGTCGTCGGTTCTGCAAGCGCAAATGGGGCACGTAGTCGTGCCGTGCGGACTGGACATCCAGCCCAAGACCCCGTGGATTGTCATTTTGCCCGAAACCGAGCGCTGCATGTTTGCCCTCTTCCACGCCATGCGATTAAGCGTGTGCCCGATGCTGTTTGGAGCTGCCAGCACGGGAAAGCGGACGTTGATTCAGGGCGTGGGCTATTTGCTCATGCGATGCCAGTGGCACGTACATTGCGATGCATCGACTCCGCTCCGTCAGTTGACGGGGTTCGTCGCTGGTATGTCGGCCGTGCACGGCTGGGGTTTTCTCGACAACGTCTTCCAACTGCCTGTGACATTGCTGGGTGTGCTAATGGCGGAAATGAACAAGCTGCAACACTCGCACGTGCTGCAAGTTGCATCGTCGGGCGCGATGACGTGCGCCATTATCATGTCGTATAAAGGCAGTACCCTGACCGATTCCGCGGCCGTGAAGTGGCTCGGGGCACCGCTGCGGCCAGTTGCTGTGCCGCCGCCGAACCTGGCGCTGGCATTTCACGTGCTCTTGGCGTCCAAGGGCTTTTCGAACGAGGTAGGTCTCTTGAGTTTGGATTATTTCACTCCAACATTATTGCAACCATCAAGCTCAACTGTGTGTTGTGGGCGCAGGTCGCCATTCGGAACGCTTACAGCATCCTCGCGACGTTGTTTGCATCGTCCCCCCAGGGAAACAACAACACGTCGGTGTTATTTTTGTCGCTTCGCTTCCTTCGACGTGTGGCGTCCATGGCGGGTGCCATCACCAAACAAGTCGCTTATGTCATTCACAGCCAGAGCAGTAGCAAGGGCAGCCATGTGCGACACGACGCATCACCTCTTAACACGGCCAGGTACCAGGACAGCAACGTGTTTCGGTTTGCGCTGCTGCTGGTGCTGGAACCACTTGGCCTTTTTCCCCGCGGCCACGTGGAGACGGTGGTCGACCAGTTCGCGCCGTCCACGATGGTCCTGACGCAGGAAAACCGCATGGTGGCATCAGCATTCAAGGTCGTGCTGGAACGATCGCACTTTGTACCGATCCCGTCGCTCGTTCAAAAAGGCGTCGAGCTGCACCAAGCCCTGGAGGTACACAATATTTTGCATTTCGTCTACTTTTCACTGCTTGAGTAGTCGGGGGGGACTCCAGCCATCGTCGTGGGCAGCACCGCGACGGGCAAATCGACATGTCTCAAGGCGGCACTTCGCAGCATGCAACTGCTCGAGTCGTTGCTTGGAACGACGAGCAATCATAATATTAGCGAGTCAGCGACCATGCATTTGACGGTGGTCCCGCTTGACGAACTCACGACCCCCAGCACGGCCCTGTCAATCTTGTCGGACGTGGTTCACGCCAAGCGCGATGTCAAGTTCAACTGCGTGTGCTTTGATGGCATGCTGCCGACGTCCGGCGTCGTGTTTGACTACATGTCGTCCATATTGGACAGCAACCGTGCTGCTGCCACGCGGCGCCTTCCCCACGGACGGCAGGATGGGATGAACAAAGGCAATCCCATGGTGGTCCTGGAAGTGGTGTCGCTTGCGTCAATGTCGCCGGCCATGCTGACAGACTGCACTGTCGTTTGCATGGACACTGTCGTCATAACGTGGCAGCATCTGCTGGAGAAGTGGGTCCACCAACAACCATCCAAGGACCACCCCGCGTTTGCCTTGATTCCGTGCATGCAGGACAACGTCCACCGCTTCGTCATCGAGTTTGCCCTTCCGTTCCAAGCGACTATGTCCAAATACCCCATGACGCTGCTCATGGCCAACATTCTGCACCTCGTCGCCGCCATCTACGACGCGATGCTGCCGTCCGTGACGGAACTGTTCCTGGAGCAGTGTACGTTTCTGGCCGTGATGTGGGGCCTCGGTTCCTACCTCTCGACGGCCCATCGAGGGCGCCTCCAAGCGTTTGTCCAAGAATTAGTCAACGAACAGCGACAGACCACGCCGTGGCCCAGTGTGGACGCGCTGTTTCTGTTCTGCCTCGAGCACAACTGCTCGTTCTTTGACATGACTGTCGACTTGGACGAGAATCGGATTGCTCGGGTGTCGTCCCCCCTCGCTTCCCCCCACTGGGGGCCTGGACCCCCCCAGTCGACAATGAACTACGTGCCAACTCCCCCCCTGCAGTTTGCCTCGGGACTGTTCTCGATGCTGCAGTCCAGAGGGGTGTCCATGGTCGTGACCGGACCGCGGGGCAGCGGCAAGTCCACCGCCCTCCACCATTTGGCCAGTCTCGTGGCCGAGCCGCGGGTTTTCCTCCACTCGCCGTCGCAGTCGCAGCACGCGTTGCTGAAGCGATGGATGCTGACCGCCAATGCTGGAGCGGCGTTTGTGGACAACGTCGGGCTGGACGACCCTCGCGTGTTTCGGCTGTGCCGCAACGCCGTGGGTAGCCAGCGACTGTTTGATTCGAACCGAGGCTCGTGGGTTCACGTCAAAGCGACCGTCTGCGGTAGTGTCGGTGACGCCCAACTCGACCAGTTGTCGGACCACGAGCGCCTGCGGTTTCTGCGGCACTTTTATGTGGTCCGGCTCACCGAGCCGTCGCCCGACGAGTTGGTGTCGATGTTCGCTCACTCTAGCCAACGCACCCTGGGTCGATCTCTCCATCCCGATGAACTGGGAATTGTCCAGCGCACGATCTCAACGCTGCAGCGTGTGCGACAACACCTGCCTCTCCGACCGCAGTATCACTTTGGAGAGTGTTTGATCCAGCATATTCTCCAGGCAACCCTGATACCATCGAGACAACCGGAAGATCTGACGTGGACGTGGCTCCTCAATGTGAAGGCATACGTGTGGGATGCGCTGGCGACGGATGCACACCGCCAAATCGTCCAGAACGCCCTCCGGACCGTCGGAGGATCGGGGGACGACTCGCGGGCGGCGGCGGTCGACTTTGATGACATGGTGTGGAGCTCGCCATGGGTTGCATCAGTCATCTCCAGGCCCCCCGCCGCGAAGTCCCATGACAACATGCATGTGTCCGTGCGGGCGTTCATGGAAGCCGAGTACCTTCGGCAGTCGTGTGTCTACGGTAAGGTCGACCTGGGTTGGCTTCGAGCGATGAATGCTGCCTCGATTGTCCACTGGATCCAACTCAACGACGCGTTTCACTCCCACAAGCAAGTGGTCGTCGTGGGGCACGACCGACACTGCCATGACAACACGACGAAACTCATCGCCCATTTGGCTCATGTCAAGTACGTGACCTGCGACGACGTCACGTCCCAAGGTGCGTGAGGATGTACTTTGGATTTTTGCATTGAGTCATTTTGTAGCGGGACTGGTCAAATTATTGGACACTCTGTGCCACGTGACGGTGATGGCAGACGAAAAGGTGATTTTTTGCCTCCATGACGACGCATTCACCAAGTGGCCAGACCTGTGGTCGTTTGCCCTGGGTACTGTACAGCCACCCCTCATACATGACTTTATCAATCTCTCTGGACGAACAATTCAATCAACCGCGTGTAGATTTATTTCGAGGTCATATCACGACCGTCGCCCAAACGTTCGTGGCTCACCACCCCTCGTTTGTCCCCTCCTCCGAGGACTCCTCAGGTCATCATCTCGTCCAGGACTTTATGCAGCGCATGCGAGCGAATCTGTGCTGCTTGGTGCATTTCCAAGCCGACCAAACCTCCTCCCCCCACCACCATCACCACCTCGACGCGTTGCTGACTCATCGCAATATCCCCACGACCGTCATCTCGTTACCACCACCGTCGACGCCATCGTCCTCCCAAGACCATGCCGACTCGACACAAGGGTTTATACGCCATGTTGTTGACCAACACAAGCAACTCGCCCTCTCCGATTCCGACTGCGCGACACTAGCTCACGCGTGCGCAGACATCCACGCCACCGTATGCGCTGCCCACTTCTTTACATCCTCCTCGACGACGTCCTGTCCAGGGATTGTCAACCTCTTGCAAACGTTCAGTCATCTTTTGGATCTTCGGGCGGGTGCGACCTTCGGGAATTCCGAGAATGGCGGCGTGAGGGAGGCAGTGGCGGTACTCGAGGACGTGCGGCGGTCGTTTCGGCAAGCACAAGCGGACAGCGCGCACTGGGACGCCGCACACGAATCGTGTCGGGCGCGCCAAGCGGCGTGGAAAAAGCTGTCCTTTGCAGTGGAATCCAAGGCCAGTACCAACACCACAATGATACAAGACGTGGAACATCGAGCGTTGCCACTGCTCCAGCACCAACTTGACGATGTGCTGGCTGCGTTGGAGGGCGCCGAGCGGCAACGTCGTATCGATCGAAAGGCCCTGGAGCATGCGGTGATGGGCTCCATGACCGCAGCGGAAAAGCAGTCTTTGCTGGACAAGTCATTTCAGCCGTTGGTGCGGATGACCACGGCACTATGTGTGGCATTTGAAACCCCGGGAATCACCGCCGAAGCTGCGTGCAAGCTCATGGAAGATCCAGCGTTCGAAACCAAGTTAATTGCCTTAGACATTCCAGGCCACGTGGTGGCGACGGGGGAGCTCCAGCATGCGATGGCGTTTGCCCTCACGGACGTGGCGGTGATGCACACCAAGCAGCCCATGTTTGCTGCCGTTGTCCGGTGGCTCCACTTCAAGCTAACGAACGCCATTGCACTGGACGCGATCGCAGGGCTGCGTGTAAAACATGCGCAGATCACAGGGGAGATGGACACTCTGAATGAGATGCTGGCGCAGCTGCGCATGGACGCGGCAGACCTGGCGACGCACAAGGACACCCTTCGCATTTTGCGGGAAGAGCTGAGTATGGAAGCGACGGAAGCCAAATTGAACTCCAACGTTGCCAAGCGCGACACTGCCCGCCTGAGTCCGCTGCAGTCGTTCATCGACTTTTACCTCACGTGGCTGCGAGCCAAGTACTGGGTACACGCCCCCACGAGTTTGACCAGCCTCTTGTACCTGGCTGGCGTTGTTACCTATGCCGGGACGATACCGCCAATGGCACACCAGGAGTTGACGGCCGTCTTGGCGGCCACGCTGACACGTCACGGGTTTGTGTTGCCGCTGGACGTGGCCTGGATCTCCGACACCACCGCGTCGCTTGTGTCCACTCTGGAAGCGGACGTTTGTTTTGCGAATCATCGTGGGGAGGACAAGTCGATTCTGCGGGATCTCGTTTTGCTTGCGGATTGGTCCCACCAGACGCCTCTCTTCGTCGATCCGCTTGGCGTGGTCGAACCTGCATTAGTGGAGTTCCTTAACCGACTCAAAGTGCCATTGCCCGACGCCCGCCACATCGTCGTGTCGTGCTTGGACCCTAATATGCTGGATAAACTGCAAAGTGCCCTTCTCACCAACAAGCTGGTGATAGTGCGCCATTTTTCGATGGCCAAATTCGACCTCCTTCGCCCGTTCTTGCATCGCCCTCGTGTCCCCCTGATGCACCAATTGCTTGTGAAGCACTCCAAGCGACCTGCAATACTGCCTCGGCACCACAGCACCGTCACGTCCTTGGCACCCCTGGCGTCGGACAGCAATTTCCTTCCTCCAAAGACAACAAACTCCAAAGGGACCTTCCAGCTCTACCTCATCTCAGACGAAGCGATCGTTCTATCAGCACACGAACGCTCCTTCGTCAACGTCTTGGATTGCAGCACGTTTAACGTGCAACCAGTCCTCTGTGACCAGTTGAAACTGCTGCTAAACTCAACCACGACTGAAAACAACCAAGCGATTGACTTGGCTCGCTTGCAAACATTTGTCGACATGCACTACCACTTGGGCAAGTTGCTCATCGAGATCCAGCACACCCCCACGCAAGCGCAGGCGATCCAATCCATTCTCCAATACGACCACCATCGACAGCCCCTCGAGACGAACTTAGCCCCCCTTATCGACAAAACAGTCTCAAGCTCCAATGTCGAAGTTGGAGGCCACGAGGAGTCCCAGGACGACCTCGTCGCCTCGTCTGCGGCGTTCATTGGCCATATGCTTCACGCTCTGCATCTCCTGGGCCCGGCGGCCACGAATTCCATGCATTCGATCCCCCGCTTCCGCAAGCTCCTCATAGCCATCCACCACGCCAGGCGACATGAGAAAGCTGACCCACCAGCCAAACGCATGGCGCGACTGATAGAGTGCCTTCATCTCATGGTCGTATGTAGCCTTCCTCCGCAGTGTCGACGCCTTTTCGACTGCTTGGTCGCTGTCCAGCAAGAGGCGAACGCCAAGGCCCCTGCGTTGGATAGGGTGCTGACATTCTTGGCAGGCTCCGACGTCAGGGTCCCTTCCCCCACATCGAAACTTCGGACTCAACGGACCACCAGAGCTTCGGTTCAAAGCCCGAGCCAAGGCCACATCCATCGACTCCGACGTATCCACAGCGTCATCGCGACTGTCACGTCGTCAACTGAAAGCGCCGACTCTTCCACGACCAACGAGGACGAGACGAGACAAGGCAACGTTCCACACCGACAGTGGATGGCCCACTGGAATTCAGTAGAAATGTACGCCCAGCTGCAGACTCTGGAAGCATTGGTGTCGGAATGGGAAGGCATTTCGCAGCATATTCGACTCCACACGTCTTTGTGGCAGACATATATCGTCCAAGCGCTGCAAGCCTCACCTCCCCACTTTGTAGTTCCGCACAGCTGGCCCACTCCCATGTCAACGTTTGATCGCATGCTCCTGTTGCGATGCATTTGCCCTGACATGTTGGCATTTCACATGGACTTGTTCATTGAAGACGTCCTTTCCCCACATCTCAACGTGTCCAGGACACCACCACACCTGGTACTCAGCCCCATTGTCGTCGTCGTTGCCGACAACCAAAGCGATTTGATGTCGTCTGCCTTGGGCGACACGATCAACCTCAACTTTCAACAACGATACATCTTTGGGGCCACCTCCACGCCCTTGTTCACTGCTGCGCTTGACTCGGTACGCCCCCAACAAGAGTCGTTGATTAGTATGACATTATTCCTTGCTAAAGCGTCTGTATGTGTGTAGGTGTTGGCCAAAGGCGGGAGTTTGGTCGTCGACTTGCTGCGTGCGAGTGACTTTGGCGAATTCTATCGCATCTTCCATTTCCGATCGACAAAGTCCCACACGAGTGGGTTCAGCCACGTCATCGTTCTGGTGTGCGCGCCAGACGTGGCGGCGGCATTGCCGATCGGATTTGTGCAAACCACGCAAACCATCACGTTGCCACTGGACCTTCCAGGCACTGGCCACGACCAGGTGGCGAGTGGTCACATGCATGCCCATTCCGTCGTGGCAGCTTTCGGTCGAAGCTTGCTCGACGTCCAGCACGAGTTGGCTGCGTGGAACGCGTGGCACGCTGTGGGGTGGCGCGACTTTGACTTCCGCCCGAGCCACTTGGACGACATGATGGCCACTTTGAAACACTTGGGGGAGTTGAAAGGAGCCTGTGAACCGACGACGGCGTTGGCGTTGACCAAACAAATTACTGCAGCGATCCAAGATGGTGTGTTGGGAGCTGGCATGGCCCACGACCACGACCGTCACCACCTCATGACCCGCTTCGTCACGAAATGGATCACCAAGTCGTCGGACCATCGCCGGCATTCTGGCATCGCTCCAGCAACCAGCAAGAAACAACAGTACGCCCAAACTGACGATGCGATCGAGTATGGCGTTGCCCCTCGTATGGCCACGTTCGTGCGCAATGTACTCGTTCGTGCCGAGTCCACCAGTGTCATAAATCTGTGTCGATCCATCAGCCCCCCCTCGCCGCCAAATGACTCTGATGAGCATGCGGTGGCAGTGTGTCGTCACATGTTTCGGTCGTTTCTGCATACACACCACGTCCACCACCGAAACAACTGTCAACACACCCACGACCAGCACGACGACGCCACCGTGTTAGGGGCCATGCTTGTGACGGTGGCAGCTCTGAAATTCCGTCGGTCAGTGACGAAGATCCATCACCACCCCCACGTTGGTACCAAAGACACGAGCATTGCACTTGCGTTATTGCAGGATGACCTGGCTCAACGCAACACGCTCTGGTTGCATTGCTTGGAGCAACTGGACCTCCCAGAGCCTTCCCCAGACGCCCTCCGGCTGTTGCTCTCGTACCACCTCCCCCCCGACTGGATGGGGCTGCCGACGTCGGCGACGCCCGTGCCCCTTGCCGCCCTGGCGATCCATCTGAACCGCACGAGTGACTTTTTCAGGGGACTCAAAGGGAACATACCATCAGTCGTCCCCCTCGACTGCCTCCACTGCCCCGACCAGTTCCTCTCCGGCCTCATGCTGCACAACGCAAAGTGCCTTGGCTGCGACATCAACCAGTTGCATCTGGAGTTGGAGGACGGAGGGAGTCCCACTGGTGGCTCCCTTGTCTCAGATACAGATGGACAGCTTCGTGCCGTGGTCGTGTCGGGGTTGTGGCTGTTTGACGGACATGACAACCGCCCGTTGTTCGACAAGCTGCCACCCCTCACCCTCCGCGTGTCCCTCAAAGCTCCGTCTCACCAGCCGGCCTCTGAGCGAGGGGCCGTTCAGCTGCCATGGTACGCGCTTTGGAGTCTCGAACATGTCGGCGTGTGGCGGTTTGGCGACTCGCGGGTGTTTCGACCTCTGGGGCCCCGGCTATGGTACACCTCTAGTGACCCACTGCCCCGCCCTGAGACAGCAGTGCTGCTGTGTCCTGCCATCGATGCACTGCCCAGCTCGGTCAGCCTTCTCCTTTCCTCGATTCAACCCAACGTTCATGCGTAGTTCACATGTCCATCCCGAACGGATGCATGGAGTAAGAAAGTTAAGGTTGTTGCGATAAAATTAGCTAGTATTACTTGGTGTACGTCACTCGTATATGCGTCGGACAGCGAAAGACACTGTGAGCGCTTGCAAATTCTGGCATTGATTAAAAGCATCTCAACTACGTCTCGGCAGTCGCGGCCTCGGTCTCTTCCAGCAGCAGCGCGTATCGTTTCTGTAATTCGACCTCGCGTAGCTGCAGCAGGTCCACTTCCCGCCCGAGCGACTCCAACCGCCGAGGCAGCGCCAGCTGCTCCACGAGTCGGATCTGGCTAAACGCGTGCAATTCCCGCGACTTGTGCAGCCACGCTTGGTGGGTGCTCTCGAGGGACGTGCCGTAGCCAGCGCATACGTTTTCGTAGCCCCCGTGCAGCAGCCCGGCCTTGTGCTCGAGTTTGTCGGCCTTCTTGGCCAATTTGGCCTCGACGTCCTTGAGCACGGCGAACTCATTGGCCAGAACTTGGATGCGAAGGTCTACTGAGATGTCGTCCCAGTCCACCAGTTGGCCTGGCGCCAGCTCTTTCGTGTGCTTTTGCGCTGTCTGCCACACTTCATTCACGTCGAGGACAGCGCCGCCGTACAACTTGGCGTCGAGCGCCACGAGATTCCGAGCCACGGTCAGCTCGTCGTTAGTAAATGCATCGGATGACGTGGCAGTCTGGCCTCGCTTTCGCTTCTTCTTGACGTCACCCACATCCGAGACTAGGAGGGCCGCCAATGCTTTTTGGATCGCAGGGTCGTCGTTCAATACAGTAGACGTTGCCATTGATGGTTTGGGCAGTTGCTTTTGAAACACGCTGGACCGACGCAGGCGCGCCTTGTCCGCGTCCGCCGCCGCCTCCCTTGCCATCCGCGCATCTCGTTCCCCCGCGTCTTCCACCCGCGTCGTGTCGTCGTCGTCGTCGGCCGCCGCCACGTCGGGCAGGTTGATCTCGTACTCGTGCTCGGCCGCGGGCAACGACGCGAACCCGCCTTGCAGCGCCGCGGCTTTGGCCCGGAGCCGCGCTTTCTCTGCGCGCTTCGACTCGTCCACTCCTTCGCCGCCTTCCGGGTTGATGCCGAGCATGTCGCGCATGGGCGTGCGCAAGGACGAGTTGGGCGTACGTAGGACTGACGACGGGGGACCTGGGGTCCGGCTGGGGGTGATGCCTCCGTACCCCGTGCCTTGCTGCAACTCGACGTTGTCCCCACCCAACAGCGGGGTCGGCGCGCGGGTCATGGCGGCGAGGTTGGCCGCTTCTTGCATGATGGTTTCCCGCACCGACATCTGCGGCGTGTACGCGGCGCGTGCCGGCGTGGCACTCGGGCCTCCGGGGGTCGCCAGCGGATCGTACACGGCCACAAGCGCCGTGGAAGTCTGCGCTGAGTGTTCCAGCGCGAGAAGTTGGGCTTGGGCGGCGTCGGTGGCGCCTTGCTTGGCCAGCAGCCCCAACTCGTCGTTCGTGACCAAGGGCGCGGGCAGGTCCAGCGCCTTGCGCTTGATGAACGAGCTCGGGTCGTTCAGTTTGTTGATCGCGGCGATCTGCTGGGGCAACGCCGACGACAGCAGCTTCTTTTGACGCTTCGCGTCGTCGCGCCGTGCGCGCTTCTCCTCGGCATCGCGGTGGACTCCGTCCAGTTGATTCAGGTACAGCGCGGTCTGCTTGGGGTCCAGGGCCACGGCGCTGGTGCGTTCGGCGCTCGTGTCGTAGAAACCCGCGGGAGCTTTCTTTTCAAACGGAATTTCCTTGACGTAGTCGATGAACTTGCGCTTCTTCCGGAGATTGCCCATCTGCTTGGACTTGTCCGCGGTGATGCCGGCCGCTTTGAGTTCGCGGCGCTTCTGAAGACTCGCCAGCCGCTTGGCTTCCTGTAGCTGCTTTTCGCGCGCTTTACGCTTCGCCTTCTTGCCCTTGGTGTTGGCCAAACGCGCCCGGGCTTCCGACAGCATTTCCTTCTCGTCTTCGTCCATGTCGATAGGATCGGGACGCGCAGGTTTGTTCTCTGGATTTGGGTCGATCTCGCCTGGACGCAGGCGACGCGGATCTTCGACGGCGACCTCATCGCCGTCGGCGCCCTTGGATTGTGCCTGGTCGAGCAGCTTCTCGTAGTGTTCCATGCATTGCGCAGCCGTACGTCCTACGATTGGAGCGATCGTTCGCCATTGTGATGGCATCAACTTGGCCAAGTGAAGCAGCTTCTCCTCTTCTTCACGACTCCATTCCGTCTTCTTGATACTTGGGTCCAACCACTCGTACCAACGCGCCTTGCACTGCTTGGCCGACTTGCGAGCCAGGAGAGATGCCACACGAGCCCACTGGTTCTTGCCGTACTTCATCACGGCTGCCTTGAGGATCTCATCCTCTGTGTTCTTCCACACACCACCCTTGATCAAGATACGCATGATGGAGGGATGCTTCTTGTTTATTATTGGCCGCTCAGCACCGCTCGACAAAAGTCCCAAAACTACTTTTTGGGACGTGCCTCAATTCAGGATCATGAATCCGAAAATAGGCAGTGAAAATAGTATAATAGTGTAACAGCTGTAAGTTGATTTTCTTATTCAAAAATATCAATGATAAATCACACCGGAAGTTCTGATTGGTTGAATCTACTAAACCTCTTTGTCAGAGGCCGAACAAATCCACTCAAAATTGGATTAGCAAATAGCGTCAATTCATGATTCCATTCTTCGGCGAGACGAGGTCAGGAAATTTGTACTAACTGTGAACTAACTGTAAACCACTACAGTACTACTAACTGTAAGTACTAACGGTACTACGAAGTATTGATAATCAGTAGTAGTACTAGTTCTCCGGAGTACTAAGCTTAGTACTCGGTAGTAACGATATTAATAGTTGGAGTTTTGGACCGGATTCTGTTCAAACGAATCTCGCCGATTTTGCGCCAGAAAGGGCGAAGTAGATATTAGCCAATGAGATGTCTCGGCTCGGTTTGTGTTCGGTTGAATGATCGACAATACAGATGCCAAATGTGGAATAAGTACAACTTTTTTGGTTTTTCACAGAAGAGGCATAATTCCTGATTGAGGGAATACTGGAAATTCTATAATTTGTACTATTAATAGTAGTAGTCAGTTTTCAGTGCAATCCACCAATCATCGACATGCGATGTATTCCGCACTATTTGAGCTGTGTACAACTCATCATACCGGTAACGTGGTGTGCAAATTGTTCGAGTACTATATTTACACCTTTGGTGTTGTATAGCTACAAGTATACATATTCAGAGGTTTGTTCTGTGATTGGTGCTTTTCCAATTTGGGGCTCAGTGATTGGCTTAGTGTTATTCCAGTACTGTTAAAATCAATTTATGACGTTAAAAGTGGACACTTCCGTGGAAATTACACCGTTCCTTTCACCATCCCTTGTGCCGGACGAGGGCGTTCCATCCGTGCAAGTCATAGTACGTGCGTCCTTGCAGAGACGAAGTCTCAAGCGTTTCGTATAGCCAGACCAAATCGCCTTCGCTTAGGGCTTCATTCAGCCACAGAGTCATGCCAAATGCAGGATTTGCATACAGAGCCTTGAGAGCTTCCCAGCTGCCGCGGACCAAACTGGCCTTGATGGGAAATGTGGCAGCGATGGAGGAGTCGTATTCAGAGAGAAGGTGCAGCATCTCACGAACCATGGCTGGTGTGTATTCCGTGCTGTGCTTGGAGGTGGTCCAGCCCAAGCTGAGTTTTCCCACGCGAAGGCGGATTGCCTCGGCGACGAAATGCGGGGCGGAGAACTTGGGCTCTTCGGCATTACTTCCTAGGAGGATATCTGCATTGATCCAAAGACGTGACTTGAGTGGCAAACTCAAGTCACGAAGCAATGGCAGCGCTTGTTGGAACGCGGCATCGCTCTTGAAGTCGAGTTTGACAACGCCTACGCCAGGTTCCACCTGGGCAAGGAAGGCTCGCAAGGTGAGGTCGCTGTCGATGGCCGGCGGGTGGGCCATCACAGGTATGTTGTCCGAGTTGAGTAATATGTCGGCTTCGATGGCTTGGTCTTGGGCCAAGGCCGAGGCCAGCGATGCTTGAGAGTTCACGGCGTGCGCCCAGTGCACATGAATTGGCAGCATTGACGGCGCTGGAGTAGAAAACACCATGAAGGGCGCGTTCGTGATGTGGACTACGATGAGGACTGCAAAGTTTAGGCCTAGTACGACGGTCAACAAGAGGCAGAGTGGCGACAGTATAGCGGAATCGTGTTCGCGTTGACGCCAGCTTTTGGCGTTTCACCAGCAAGGGATTGACGACAATATTATCCGGATTTCGAGTTGGAATCCAGACTTGGAAAAGTTACTTTGGTTTATTATAATACACCAATTTCATGTTATAAACAATTGCTCGCCAAATGTACAGTACAATGGCATCGATCAGACAGCGTCAACCTTGGCTTTGATTTCCAAGCGCAACTTTTCACACCGTCGTGCAACGTCGTCTCTGTCGGCCTTCACACGGGCCAGATCCTCTTTCGCTTCACTTAACTTTTTCGACAGCAGGCCAACTTCATGTTCGACATTTTCTGCTTCGGCTTCGCTGAGCGCATCTTCCAGCAGTTCCACCGCATCGCTGGCTTCTACTCAAGAGTAATTAAAATACCATTTCAAACGGAATCAATCACATGTTAAATCAGCATACCCGTGTATCGCTTGAGCGTTTCCATGTAGGACTTTTCTGCCACGTCCAAGCATTCCTACAACCATCCCCAACGGGTTACATCTTGTCGTGTTCGACATCCCCAACCTGCAACGACGTGACTTGTTGCTCTGCGTTGGCCATGAACAGAGCTCTGGAAGACCCAATTTTCTTGAACGAGCGAGGGGATGTCGTCCTCTCCTTGCGAATGCTCTGGGGCGACTGTGTGGGTTTCGACGACGGGAGCAGCAATTTGCTCGTGCTTTGGTGGTCGAGGAGGGTCACGTGGTCATCGCCCTCTGCTGCATCGTTTTGCATTTGGTCTAGAAACGCCTGCATATCGGCAAGTCGCGATTCGATCTGGCCAGGTAAGAAGTATGAGGCTGGAGTCACGCCCACTGCGTCCTTCGATCGACCGAGCGCCACCAGAGACTCCATGGAAGCGGCAGGAATCAACCCAAGGTCGTCGGATTTAGCAAAGAAGTCCTATCAGTAAATCACTTCATAAGGGTTTTCTCAAACGGAAATGGAACCATGAAATATACCTGGTAGCATCGCCCCAACAAACGGTAAAACTCTGTCACAAAGGCTGGATCGTTGTCGTCGTCAAATGCTGACTTGTGGGCCTAGTACATGCAATGTAAATAACTAAATCGACTCGTATATAAATCGACACAGGATTCGCCGTACTTTAAGGTGCGCCACCGAGTGCACGAGCAACAGAGAAAGCTCAGGAACACTTTCAAGTCGACTTTGGCGGACGTAGAGCGTATGTGACTTGGGTTCGTACGTCATAGAGTGTCCAAATACACCAGGGGCTGGGGTCAACACCGAAGCGACGGCGATCTGCAAGGTTGGGTCCAAGGTAGAGACAAGTTTTTGCCCAAATTCTAGCCGAGCGGACTGCCGTTTGGTCAGCATGCTCGCGTCCAAGGGCTTCAGAGCCCCCGTCGATGCTTTGGCATCTTGTTCGAGTCCCGGATAAGCTGACAAGAGCGCCGATTTGATGGAATTCGGCCCTGCTGGCAATGTCACAGGACGCTCCGAGCTCGTGAGGCGTTGAATGAGGCGCTCAATGCTGTCGAGTTTTTGTCCAATAAGCTCCATCGGGTGGTGCGGTGGTTGTTGCGGATGACTTTCGTTCACGTGTGCAAGTGTGATTGACGACAGCAATGACGTGGAAGCCTGGACGTCGTGATCGTCGTCCGTTCTGGAGGTTGTATCCGCGACACTTCCTAGTCGCACCAGCGTTTTGGTGCGGTTCATGGCCCCCTGGAGTCGCTCCTTGCCAAGCCCTAGCAGAGCCAGCGACGGCGTTTTCACCATCTCGTCCTTGTGCTTGCGGGACTCGAGCTCGTCGGCCAGAGATACCAGGAACTGCGCATGCACAATCTCGACCCGTCGCTTGGTGTCGTCGTCAGTTCGCTTCAACCGGCGCTTGCACACCCGCTCCTTGCGCTCTTTCTTGTGTTGAAATCGAGCTTTTAGCATTGACGCCAGCGCCGCCTCTTGCTTCTTCCGCTCCACCTCCAACGCAGCCACCAGCGCCGTCCGACGTTTCTCACTCACGGGTTGCGCCATGACCTTTTGCTTTTGGACGTGCCACTCGCGGTCGGCGTCCTGGCGTTCTACGGCCAACTGGGCAATGTACGCTTCGTCGAGTTCGTTCCACTCGGCTGCCAATCCATCTCGCAATTTTTGCATCGCGGTCGCACCAGCTTGGAGGATGGAGTCGATACGCGCTTGCTTCTCCAACTCCAGCTGGCCTCGAAGTCCGGCGGTGCCGTCGTCGACTGCTGCGACGGTGGTTGTAGTGGCAGTTGTCACCGGCGCCACAACCACCACGTCTGGCTTGCACTGGCCCACGAATTGCTGGTACAAGTACGCCACGTCAGCCACGTGGCGCTCCTTCAAGCTTGCTTGTTCCTTGGTCTGGGCAGCCTCCACGTCGTGCGTGCCGCTGGCCTCAATGTCTTGCTGTTTGACTCGATACATGGCCTCTAGCTCGTCCAATTGCCGATCGCGGTCGGCCACGTCGGTCGTGGATTCCACCAAACTCGTCTTTTCTTTGGCTTTTTGCTGCATCAACGTCTGCAAGGCGTCGCGCAACACTGCTGCACGCTCCCTGTGTGGAATATAATATGCTTAGCAACAACATTCCATACTGATTTAGCATAAAGGTACATGGAATATACCGATATTGCTTGGCGAACAGCAGCGACTGTTCTCGTTTGTGACGCTTCTCGACCACGCGTTCGATGATGGGGGTGAGCTGGGACACGACAATGCTGTTTTGCGCCAGCAGCTTTTGGATCATGACCACTTCGCGCTCCATTTCGAGTTTGTTGGCGAGCTTTTCCTGGTCCGACTTTTGTGCCTGGACCGCGGCCGCGCGTTCGACGGCTTGCTGGGCCATCAGTTCGTCCTTCTTTTTCTTCTTCTTCTCTTCTAACCGACGCATCAAGTCCTTTTTCTTTTGCGAACTTTCTTGGTGGAGGCTGTCGGTGTGGGCAGTCAATTTCTCCTGAAACTCGGTCGTGACACGATCCAGCTCTTGCTTCACTTGCAGCTGCTCTTGACTCGCCGACAACTTGTCGTCGTCCAGCCGTTGTCCAGTATTGACTTTCTCGTTCAACGCCTCTGCTTCCAAGCGTTTCACTTCCATCGCTTGCTTGGCATCGAGTTCCTTCCGCTCGGCTTCGTGGGCAGCGGTCATTGCATTGCCTTCCGCCGTCTCTTCCACCTACATCAGTCTCGTGATTCTTATGCGGATGGACGCAGCATGATGTCATACCCTTGGGGTTTGCTTTGCTTGTTCGTGAAGGATTGCGTCCACTTGCGCGAGTCTTTCCGCGTCGGCCAACCGAGCTTGCAGTGCGTTGGCTTCAGCTCTCTGCTTCTCCAGCAGCGCTTCCTTCTCTTTGTCCTTCTTGGCTTGCAGCTCCATCGCTTTCTTGTTCTTCTTGGCTGCCATACGTGCTTCCAGCTTTGCCTTTTGCGTCTGAGCTTCGTTTGCCGTGTCTTGATGCAATTGATTCATTTTGTTGGAGTATTCCATCGACACACGGTCGAGTTCCGACGCGCGGAATGCGTCCATCGCAGCCGCGGCCGCCGCAGACTCGATCGCTGCCTGATTGAGCTTTAGCTCGGCTGCGTTTTTCGCTTCTTCCTGGCGCAACAACTCGTCGTGCATGGCTTCGTCGGCTTGTTTGGCCAATTGGGCTGCCAGTTTTACCTTCTCGGCGCGCTCTTGTTCTTCCAAGGCGGCACGAGCCTTGACTACTTCCTCCTGATCTTTACACAACGCCAGTTCACGTTCCTTTTGCTCGCGGCGCAGGCGAATTCGGTCCTTTAGCTTGGATTCTTGCCGTTGTTGCTCCGAGTCCAGCGTGCTTTGAAGCTGCTTGAGCTCGACTTCGTGGATATCTTTGAGTCGCGTCCATTCGTCCTCCGCCATCTTCTTTTCGCTGGCAGCTTGCAGCGCTTGAAGTTCCGCCTTGTTGGCAATCTCTCGTTGTAGCGCGGCCATTTCTACTCAAAATGTCATCCACTTACGCCCTAGGTGGAATCTATTACCTTCTTCGGCGCGAAGCTTCTCTTTCTCAAGGGCGTCCTTGGCGTCTTGGTCGAGCTTGGCTGCCAACGCCGTTTTCTCAGCGGCGTCTTGGGCTGCCAACGCCGCTTCGTCCATTTTTCCCTTGTCCTTTTGCTTGCGGCGAGACGCAATGCGTTCTTTCAATGCAAGTTCTTCCTTTGCCCGTTCAGCGTCCAGGGAGAGCTTCAACGTCTCCAAATTGGCTTGGTGATCGCGCTTGACTTTGTCGACCATGGCATCGACATCGGATTTCGCTTGTTGAACCGCCGACGCTAGCAGTTCCCTTTCCTTGTCCGCAGCCGCCTCCAGTTCCACACGTTTGGCTGCCATCTCAGCTTCAATTTTGCCCACTTCGCGGTTCATTTCAGCTGTTTGGTCCGCTGTGGTGGGGCGATCGGAGAGCTGCTTGGCGTCTTCCCGAAGTTTGCGTTTCTTGTCCATTCGTTCTTGCAAACGTGCCTTCTTGAGCTGTTCCTCTTCGTCCAGCATTCGCTGGCGGTCTTTCGTATGTTTTGCAAGCTCGGCATTGATCTACCCACGTGTAAACGTCAAGGGTCACACAATTATCATGGGTTGTCGTACCAAATCAATTTCGCTCTCATTGTCTGTCGGGGCAGGTGTAGGGGTCCATCCCTTCACAAGCTTATCGATAGTTTCCAGCACTCTGCGCTTCTCGTCCACGGCGTTTTCAATCTCCCGCATTTCAGCGTCGCCTTCGCGCTCAAGCTGCAAGATCAGTTGGTCTGCCAACAACGGGGTCGTCGCTTGTTTGAGCTTGTCGCGCTTCTTCGCCAGTCGTTCGGCCAGTTTGTGCTTGAGGATCGACTCTTCGTCGTCCAAGCTTCGTTGCTTGTCGGCACTTGTGCGCAAGTGCTCCTCTTGGATCTACGAGCACAATCTTAGCCCTTGACAATATTACAGATAAAAAGTACTCTTCGAATCGTGTCTTCGTCGTCGGCCGTGAGCACTTGAATTTTGGCCTTGTCCAGCAGGTTCTCCAGCTCCACTTGCTTGCGCCTGGCGTCCATATCGTCTTGCAATTGTGCCTCCAGCTGCGACACTTCAGCAGGGGTAACTGCTGGCTCTCCGTCTTGCTTCTTTCGACGGGCTAGTCGGTCTTGCAGCCGATTTCGCAGGCGAGATTCCTCGTCCTGTAGTAACGCCTGACGTTCTTTGCACTTCCGAGCGTACTCGTCGTACAACTATATTCAAGTGAGGCACAATTTATATGTGATTAACACTTCAAAGAGCTCGACCTGCACTTGGTTTTCGAGGATAGCTGCATCTTCGTCGGATTTCGCATTACGTGCCAATCGATCTTGGAGGCGACGTCGCACTCGTGCCGCCTCGTCGTCCACGGCAGACCTCTCCTTGCCCAAACTCGATTCCAAGTCGTCGTGGAGCTATCGCCAAGTGATGAGCACTTCAAAGCAAAGGGAGATGAATGATACTTTTTGAATGGTCGAGTCGTTACAGTCCTCTAAACCACCAAAGTCGATGGCTTGCAAGGCAACAAGTTGAGCTTTCTCCTTGGCTTCGTTCATGGCCATCTTGTTTCGCTGCAGGCTGACGTTCAACTCAAGTTCGTCCAGTTCTTCCTTGGAAGCATTTTGGTCCGTGAGCTCCTGAACCCACTTTTGTTCGAGTTCATCCAGTTCTTTCTGCCTTGTGGTCCATTTGGCATCATGCTCGGCCAGCAGCTACGCATACACTATGTCACATATGTGTCGTGATAACGTTTATACCGTTTGCACGCTTTGCTTTTCGCCGACTGTGACATTTCCGAGCTGTGCCTTCTCGACCAATTTCGCGGTCATCAGGGCTTCAGCCTTGGCCAGCAAGTCCGCTTCTAGAACCGATTCCAACACCACATGACGCTTCTTCTTTAGGCGTTCATTCAAGTTGGCCCGCGCAGCAGCCGCGTCGTCGTTCAATCGATTTTGCCGCTCGGTCCATTTTATTTCGTGTGAGTTCAATATCTATTATACGTTCTATGAAAGATGCCGATCTTCGCGTACAGTAGTTCGTACCTCGTCAATAGCTTGCTGATCGTGGGAACTCAATACTTCGAGCAGGGCCTTATCCGCTAAAATTCCACTTGCGACAGCATCCAAGTCGATCTGGATCTCCTGCTCCACCTGTTGGGTTTCCAGTACTTCCAGCGCTTGGACCAAGTCCTTTTCTTCGGGCAACATGTCTTCCCGTTGGCGCTTCAGTCGTTGTTTGAGCTGCGCACGCTTGACAGTGGCTTCCGCCGCTTGCAATTCCTTCTGACGGGCCCACTCTAGTGCAAACTTCCGCTGGATCTACAATTATGTTAGTGAAGTCTGATGATATTCCAAGCTTTGTCAAACCTCGGCAATCGCGTCTTCGTTGTCGTTTTCGCTCAACGAGTCGAATGCATGTGCTTTAATGGTACTGCCAATCTCGTCGAGACTTTGACGTTCTGTGACTAAACCGAGCAGCAAATCGGCCTCCTGGACATCTTCTTGCAACGCCCCTGCCTTCGTCTTTCGCTTGGCACGTCGCTCGTTCAACTTTTGCTTTTGACGTTGTTCGTCGTCCAGCAAGGCTTGATTTCGGGCATTCCACTTGACGTTAAAGTCCATGTGCATCTACGGGATGGTTTGCCCAGTGAGTTCTTATTTCACCTTCACGATGTACCTGATTCAACACGGCGTCGTCGTCCGTCAAGACACTTCCTAGCTGCGTCTTTTCTTGCACTTGAGCGCATTCAACAGCGTCTCGCTCCGTTTGGAAGAGTAATTGCATCTTGGTGTTCATTTGCAACAGTTCTGATGTCATGGCCGCGGGTTTCAACTCACTCCACTGATGCGACCACTGGAGTTCGTCCGCCACCACAGCTTGCAATCTGTCGCTCCACTTGGTCGCGTTTTCCGCCAACACCTGCGCCAGAACTTGTGAGTGCCCCCGATACTGAAGTTCAAAATACCCCACCTTTTGCAAAAGGGCAGTATCGGCTGGAGTCGCAGTCTCTAACTTAACGGCATCGGCCATGCGTTGATTTTGCAGTCGATCGTTTTTCATTTCCACGGCACGCTTCAGTTGATTGGCCTCAATGTTGTTTAGCGTGTTCAGCACTGCCGCCGTGCCATCGGCTGCTTTCGTGGGGTCTGCTTGTACGGCTGACAGAGCTTTCTTTCGAGCATTCAACTTTGCTTTGGCGCGTCGCGCGTCGTCGTCAAGCAGTTGCTGTCGTTCATTCCATTTCGCGTTGAACTAGACATTTCCACATGGAAAAGTCCTTACTTATCCCCTCCCAACATACCTCATCTTGCACGGCTTTTGCAACATTTTCGTCATTGGCCTTGACGTCACTCATCCGCTTTCCAGTATTCCCGCGCACGAGCAACTGCGAGGACTTTTTCTTGACACCGTCGAATTTCGAGTTGAATTCCTGCTCGATCTTGGCCTGCTCCTCGGCAAAGACTCGCTCTAGCTCGATCAACTCGAGCTCCTGCTTTTCCCGCATCGCAGCTTCTAACGCCTGGTCTTGCAGCAGCGCGTTGGCTTCCTTGCTCTTGTTCAGTTTTCGAATGGCCAGTCGATTTCTCAAATGCTCTTCCTGCTTGTGGCGCTCCAGCCCCAGCGACAGCTCCAACTGCGCCATGTCGTCGTTGAACTCGTCCAAAAGCGACTGTCGTTCGTCATCCGTGAGGCTCGTGTTTGCGTCCAAGTCAGACACAAACTCTTGCCGCATTTTCGACACTTTGACTTCGTCCTGGCTTAAATCCCCCTCATCCATGAGCTGTTGTAGCTCGGCCATGTCACCGCTATCGTCCTCAAAGGCCGGCTACACTTCCACATTAGATATGTTAAGCTGCATAGAATGAACGCCAAACGTACCTCGGCTATCGTGTCAGATTCAGCAAATATGGCGTCAAGGTTGAGCGTGGGAGCAACCACTGCTGGGGGCATGAGTTGGAACTGTCCTGGGTTCGAAAGCAGAGTTCTCAACTGAGCCACCAACTCGGCCACGTCGTTGGCTGGATTCGTCTCTGCTTTGGCCAGGGTCAAGTCGTGCTTGAGAGCGTCGAGCTCTTTCTGCATGTGCAGAGCCTCAGGTTGGCATTTGCTTCGAATGGCGTGGAGCTGCACTTGATCGGATTCAACTCTGGCCACCAATTTGGACGCGCCACCTTGCAGTTCCTTGAGCAGCCCTTGCAGCACTTTCTCGTGTTTTTGCCTGAGTGGCTTGAGGAGTGCTGGGTTCTGCTGCTCCAGAGCTTGTTTGATTTCCACGGCACATACTTCTTGAAACGCCTCAAGCTTCTTCACGTAGGACGGGGCGACGTTGCTAAACTTGAGCAACCCGTCGCAAACTTCTTTCGCCTTTTCGTCGCATTCAGAGGCATATCGACTGCAGCTCTGCTTCAACTCGAGCAATTTCGGGGGAAGCAAGTCGCGAGTGGTCTTGCCAAATGCGTTCCACACTGCCGCATCCACTTTACGACGATTTTGTTCGCTCTGGAGAGTTGGCCACACTCCCACACTTGGTTCGGCTGTGGATGAGATTGTCTGGACAAGAGACCCCAGTTCACTCGTGATGGCCTGCAAAAGTCGAGACGTTCCATGGCCACGCATCATCTCGTCTATGATTGCAGACACAACGCCCTTGTCTTGAACCGTGGCAGCTAACGTTCGAGCAGAAACGAGCAGCGCTCCTTCCGTGGCCGTTTGCTGTGCTTCAAATTCAGCTCTCGCAACTGCACTCTTTTCCAGCGATTCTACCAGCACAAGCTCGGCGTCACATCCTTCGGGTTCCTTTTCCTTGGACTGTGCGACGACGATTGACGCCAGCAGTCGCTTCAACTCGTCGGCTTCGTTCTACTCCAAACATGAAGAAGTCGTCATCGCAACCAATCAAGTGTTGTACCTGCAGCAGCTTCATCATTTTCACGGCCCCGGCCTCTTGGTCACTGAAAGCTTTTTCAACGCTGTCGTGGTGAAACTGCAGACGGTCGACCAGCTCTCGAACACCCAAATCGTCGTCGTCCCATCGATTCAGCTCTGGTTGGTATTCGCCAGCGTTGGTCGTTTTGGCTTTAGCTTCCAAGTCGTCTGATGGCACCACGTCGTCTTGAATGGGTTTGGCGTTCTTCTTGACCACGGATCCTTTGGATGTGAGGTTGGACAGGTTGAATCCTCGAGCTTTCTCTTTGTAGCCCCCAGCGCCAACTTGTTTGCCCACCCAACTCTTTCGGCGAAAGTAGTAGAGGCCGAAAATCAACCCCGCTACAACCCCAAACAAAGCTGCCAGCAGCCCCGCAATCAACCCCCAGTCCGGTGCCAAGATGATATCGTTGCTACACAACGCACGTTTTAGTCATATCCGTAACGCCTACCGACGATAGTACCTTGGTTTTGCGTTGAGCTTGATCAAGTTGGCTTGGTTCAACGGCACAATGGGGCCATCAGTCGGGCATTTCACACCCTAAACGAGATATTCCCTCATTGATATATATATACGTTTGACCACATATCCAACACGATTGTGTACCGTGTCCATGACTGTCACGATCGTAAGCGCGTCTGCGTTGTTGCTCAGCACGAGCACGTAAATGCCACTTTGGACAAACGAAAACGCAAACGCTGAAATCGCCACCACGTTGGACTTCATTTTTTCGTCCAGGGTGCGAAACGCCCCATAGTCGAACGCAGGGTTTGTGTTCATGAGCGAGTCCTTGGCATACACGGGGTAGCTTTGGTTGGTCACTGAAAACATGATCGAGTCGCCTTTCTGCAAGCAAATCATGGGGTTCACAATGCCTGGTTTGGTTTCTGCCAACCGGCGCCGTCGTTTCGAGCTCACGGTGGGTGGCAGGGCCGCATCGTACGTTCCGGAAAACGAACTGCCCGTCGTTTGTACGCTCACGACATTGCAGCTGGACGTGCCGTTGGCCATACACGAGAGCGTTCCTGTCGACGAATTGGTTAGTTGACAAGCATATATCGTATCATACATATTGTGACGCACCAAAGACATCGGTTTGGTCGGCAGCGGCCACCGGCGTCGACACCCTCGTGGTGGGGTCGTACGATTCCAATGCGTTTGTTTGGGCATTGAATCGCAATTGCGCCGACGTCGCACGACACGCGGCGTTGCATATGGTGTCCAAATCGGGAACGTTGGTGCACTGGCATACCCCCGACGTGGGTAAAAACTCCCCCGTGCCTCCATTACACGACGAATTACAAGACACTTTGGACGAATCTTGGCATGACCCTGCGAGCGTTCGCACTTGGCCAGAGCTGCATCGCGTGTATACCATGGGTTGACAGTCCACCTATCTCACAGGTGAATGAATTTGAATTTCCCAGACAATATCCAACCGTGTCGTCTTGATCCGACCGTAGGAGCCCGTTGGCGTCATAGTATTCGTAGCCAGGCTCGCAGATGCAAAAACCATCTGAGAGTTGAAACGCGCGGTGGTTGCCCACACAATTGCATTGCGTCGAGCCCACGGTCGACGACGCACTACATCGTTTTTAGGGTGTTCATGAACTGGCACTTCTTTGATCAAAATAATATGCGGTGTGGGCATACCTCTTGGAGCATGGAAAACATGTGGCTTGTCCTCGTGCGTATTGATATGTATTGGCAGGACACGACTGGCACGAGTTGATGCTTGTGCCGCCCATTTGCTGGTTAAATGTACCCACTGGACAAGGCACTTCCAAGTACGTTCCGTTGACGCAGTAATGTCCCTATTAATTGTCAAGTGTTCACACGTTTTTCATTCGAGAAATACATGGGAATAAGGTACAGACCGCTGGACACGGATACCCATTGTCGGTGGTCACATTTTGAGGTGCGGGGGACGTCGCGCCTTCGAGGCATACAAACCCCTCGGGGCACATGGTGCATGTCGCCCCATCTCCGTACGTTCCTCTTGGGCACAGCCGACACGCCTGGAGCGTATTATGAATATAAAATTGTATGAACACTACGAATACTACAAGTCGGGTCCATACCTCTCGTAGGGACGAATAGTTGCCGCCCACGGGCTTTTGAATAGACAACGACCCCAACGGGCACGGCGTGGGACTGGTTGAATAGCCTGGACAATATGACCCAAACTGGCATTGGATCGGTACAGACGAGCCCACGGGGCAGTAGTACCCTGGCGGACAAGCCAAGCCGATGGTCGAATTGTACTGGCAAAAGTACCCTCCAAGGCACCGCGTGGGGGCTCCCGCTCCTCGTGGACAATACGTGCCAGCGTCACACACCAGTGGTGCTAATGAAGCTGCCATACATGACGACCCTCCAGGACATGTAAGGCAATCCGTGAGCTTAGTGGCTCCCGCAGTGGGCAAGAACGTGCCAGCGGGGCATTCAACGGCGTCGGGGGTGCCTCGAGTGCAGTAGTGACCAGGAGGACAGTCATATGTAGTATCGTCAATGATACCAGTGCGGTTGCACCATTTACCAGCGCGGCAACTGACGCACGATTCCATGCTCTTTGCACCCAACGACGGGTTGTACGTTCCGTAGGGACAAGGAATCGGCAGCTGGGCATATGGGCAATAGAACCCCGCCTACATTTCAAACACAAGTGAAAAAGTCATATTACAATGTGATATCATACCGGACAGTCGATAGTCGTGACGCCATCAAAACAGCTCTTGCCAGCTGGACACGCTCCACAGTCGTACGATTCTGTTCCAAACGACAACATGCGGGACGAATTGGTCGGGCATGGCACTGGGTCCGACGTTCCCTCTACCCACGCTCGTAATTGGCAAGTGGGAGCACAATCAGTCGTACCTGGACAAAAGTATCCGTAGGGACATGCGCCGCCCGAGGTTTGCTGCCACGGCAGAAGACTTTGATTGAAAGACATGGGGTTGGGCAATGCGTTGCCGTACTTGCAAAAGAACCCGCTAACACACGACCCCGTGATATTGCCATTCGTGCAATATCGACCCGCGGGGCACTGGGAGCATTGGTCGGGACTTTCCAATCCCATCTATGAACACCGTCACAATTCACTCAAAACGACTCGTTTTGCAAACAGGTACATTCGCACCTGGGCCCCGTACGTTCCATTCGGACACAGCCGAGCTGGGCCCACTGGACAATAAAATCGTAGCGGACACGGCGACGGAATTGATGTGTTCCCAGGACAGAATCTGCCCAATGGGCAAGGGGAGCACAGCGTTTGGCCAGCGATGGCAGTGTAGGTGTGCATTGGACATGCTTGCTCCGTGCCGTTGACACAAAAAGAGCCAGGGGAGCACAGCCGCCCCGTGGCTCCGTCCACAGGGTCTGGAATACTCGCACCGCCCAAACACACCTATGCAGATCATCAATCAGAAACATTATTTGATTGATTCGTCACGTACATAACCATCTTTGCAGACCCCGCCTGTGACACCATCTGGTGTTGCCATTGCAGCTCCAGAGCTGCAGTAGTAGCCTCTTGCGCAACGACCCGTAGGTGAGCCTAGTAGATATATATATATATATATATATACATTAAAATTAGGCAATCGATTAAACAAGTATCAGTACTTGTCGGATCGTCGCCCGAGCAGAACAGTCCAGGCGGACACGAACGGCATTCAGTGGGGTAACCGAGGGATGTGTCGTTGCTGTAAGTGCCTGGTAAGCATGGGAATTGGGTGGCTGCGGCAGTGGTTGGCAGACAATAATGGCCAGCGGGGCATGGAAGTGGATTCACGGTGCCGATGTCGCAAAAGTATCGCCGAGGACAGGGCAAACACTCGGCGAGCCCTGTGATGTTGGCAAATGTACCACCTGGGCATGGTACTGGGATGGATGTCCCACTGGGACAGTAGTGACCCATCGTGCAATCCAATTGGACGTTTGCGCCTGGACAGTACTTGGATGCAGGGCATAGTTCCGTTGGAACGAGAGTTCCTGTAGCTGGACACACAAACCCTGCCGTACACAGTTGGCATTGCGATGCATTTGCCAATTGTTTGGTGTTCGAGAACGTGCCAGTGGGACATGGAATGGGGTTGCTTGTTCCAGCTGGACAGTAGCTACCAGGAGGGCATTCGTCGCCGATTTTTCCCTTGGCGTTGAGTTGTCCTGTTGGAGTAGCAGTGTACGACCCCTGGGTGAAAAGGCACATTTAGCAAGGTGAATGACGACAATTGAATACGTTGGACGTACTTGAATACAATAGAAACCAGGTAGACATGGCGACGCAGCTTGTAAATTGGACGTCGAACAGTACTTGCCAGCTTCACAGGGCGTGGGGAGCGACGTCGATTCGGGACAGAACGTGCCAAACGGGCATTGGCCAGCAAACATCTCGACTGAGTCGTCGGGGGTTGCCGAAACCGCGCCTTTGAGACAGTAGTACCCCGTGGAGCAGTTCCCACTTGGTGCCGTGGCTGCAATGGTGTTGACGTACATTCCTCCAGGCGCCAAAGTGCACTGCGTGATGTTTTGCAGTCCGGATTGGGCGCTGAAAGTACCGCGAGGACATGGAAACGCGTCCGATCGGGGGGTTCCTGGTGGACAATAGTACCCAGGGCGACACGTGAAATTGCTGTAGGAATCGATGCCAGCAGGACAGAAATACCCTACTCCATAGTTAATATATGCTGCCAGTACGATGTAGTTTGTACCTGCGGGGCATGTGAGGCACAGTGCCAGGCCTTCGGTTGGGCCATACGTTCCTTCGTCACACACACGTGGTGTACTGGATCCCCTGGGACAGAAATGCGCTGTCGGACAAATCGCTCCTCCGGCCACCGTGCCGTTTGGTAATGTTTGCAGACCTGTGGGTTGTGCCAAGATGTTGTTGAGAGTACAGTAGTACCCTGCATCACACAGTCCCGTGGGGGCGACGGCCGCAGAAACGTTGCAATAATATCGAGGAGGGCACAGGAGGCAGTCCCCCAATGACTCGGCTGTCGTTCGAGGGAGGTACGTTCCAAATGGACATGCTGTTGGCTGGTACGTTCGTTCGGGGCAGTAATAACCAGCCCAACACTCCGACACGTTGGCGGATAAAGTAGCGTTGACCGCGACAAGGTTGGAGAACTGGCCAAATTGGTTGACACAACCGGATTGGCATTTGTACCCCGCTCGACAAGGCCCAGTGGGGGCTGATAGGCCCGCTGAGCTGCAATAGTCTCCAGGTGTACATGGCGTGCATTGATTGCTGGTTGCCAACCCTGTGACGTTACTGAAAGTTCCAGGCGGGCAGAGCGGAGGATTTGCATTCGTGCCTTGAGGACAGTACCGCCCCACAGGACATGCAAAGTGTCTGTCACTAGCGAGGCCGTCGCAATACGATCCAGCAGGACAAGTGGTACATACAGTTTGCCCAATTGAGTCTGCGTAACTGCCTTCCACGCATCGAATGGGCTGGACAGACCCTGTAGGGCAGCGAAATCCCATGGGGCAGATGTTGCCTGTGACACCGTCCACTGGCGTGGGGGTGAGAGCCCCAAGGGAACAATAGTACCCTGCGCTACACAGTCCTGCGAGCGTCACCAGTCCCGTGCCGTTGCAGTGCGTCCCACCAGGGCAAGGTGAGCAGTCAGAAACAGCTTGACCTTGCGCGTTTGGTCGGTACGTTCCCAATGGACATAGAGTTCCCGTTGCTGAACCTATCGGGCAATACGACCCGGGGGGACAAATCGACCCGTACGTTTTGTTGACAGGGTTTGCAACAGGCGACCCTACGTGCATAACCCTATTGAATGCCTTGTGTTTTGACGATGTAACTATGAGAGGGTTTACCTCCACTGCACACATAACCAGGGAGGCACGGTCCACTCGGCTGGGTGAGTCCCGTGGAATTGCAATAGGACCCCGGGGTACATGCAACGCATTGACTAGCGTTGACCAGCATCGAGTTGTTGTTGAAAGTTCCCGTCGGACAAGGGAATGGGAGACTCGACCGGACAGGACAATAGGAACCCGTAGGGCATGGCACTGGAATGGACGTGTTTTGTGGGCAATAGGCACCGATGGGGCAATCCAAGCAGCTCCACGCCCCAGGAAAAGGACTGTAAAAGCCTGGCGAGCAACCCACTTCGAACGACGACCCTTGCACGCAAAATGCACCAGGTGGACACACGTAGCCAGTGACGTGGTCATTGGGACTGGATATCGATGCCCCGCCGACACATACCTAAGTCACAATAAGTGGCTCATTTGATTGTATTCTTAATATAAATACACTTGTGAACAACGTACGTATCCGCGGGAACATAACCCGCCCGTGGTGAAGTTGTCGTTTGGCTGGGGAGTACTAGCACGACCTGAGCAGTAATATGAAGGAGCACAGTCTCCAGTCGGGGCATCTAACGACAAAGTACGTGAGAAGACCATTGAGGGTGTTAGTAAGATGTACCCGTGTTGGCCAGTCCCGAGCAGAATTTCCCAGACGGACAACTGGAGCAATTCGCAGGAGAATGGAGTTGAGAGCTGCCACCATATGTGCCTGGAAGACAGCGGTAATTTGTGCCGTTTTGAGTGCCGGTTGGGCAGTAGAACCCTTGCGGACACGGTTCTGGTGTAATGCAGCCGTTGACGCAAAAGAAGCCTGCTGGACACGTCTGGCACGTTGGTTGGGCCGTTTGGTTGGCATACTTGCCAGGAAGACAAAGTTGAGGAGCAATCGACCCTTGGGGGCAAAAACTTCCCAAGGGACAAACGTGCTCGGACGCGCTTTGCTGACCACCGGGGCAGAACGACCCAGCTGTGCACGGCATGGTTGCGTTTGTGAGTCCTGTTGTGGGGCAAATGTATCCTGGATCGCACGGGGTACACCCCGTGACATTTCGGAGTTGCTTTACTTTCCCATACGTGCCAGCCGGGCACGGCGTTGGGTTGCTCGAGCCTTCGGGGCAATAACTGCCCAATGGACATTCGTTTCCAATCACACCAAATGAATTGGTTTGGCCAGTGGGAGTATTCGTGTACGAACCCTACAGTACCATATCATAGATTATGCTACCGTCATCAAGCGGGTTGGGGTACCTGAAGGCAGTAGAAGCCAGCGCTACATGGCAATGTGGTGGAAATGTCAGGGCAGTAGTACCCTGGTTTGCAAGGCGTGGGCTGTGATGACCCTGAAGGACAACTCGCTCCCAACGGGCATTGTCCGCCAAGGGGGCCGTTCGATGGGGTGGCGTTCCACGCCCCGCCGATGCAATAGTACCCGCTTGAACAGTTGCCCACTGGAGACGTCGCTGCGACCACATTCACAAACGTCCCGCCAGGAGCCAACACGCACTGTCCGACGCTTGTCAAGCCTGTTTGACTTCCGTATGAGCCTTGGGGGCATGGAAATTGGTTTCCGCGGGTCGTGCCTCCAGGACAATAGTATCCCGCCGGACAAATGTACGAGCTGTACGCGTCGATACCGGTTGGACAGTAATACCCTTTTTTCACATCAACATTTCATTACTTGATGGCATGTAGGTTGGTGAATATGCATGTACCTGCGGGGCACGACGTGCACGCCATCATGCCGGGGGTGATGGCATAAGTGCCCTCAGCACATTGTAGTGGGGTAATGGAACCCACGGGGCAATAGTGTGCTGTAGGGCAAATGTCTCCACCAACAGGCACGCCGTTGCTATTCACACTGACGCCCGTCGGCTGCGGCGACACATTCCTCTGGTGACAGAAATACCCCGCAGCACAGAGACCGCTAGGGGCTGTAGCACCCGACACATTGCAATACGACCCCACCGGGCACAACAAGCAATCTTCGATAACTTTACCCCCCGTGGATGGTAAATACGTTCCCAATGGACATGGCTGAGACGCAAACGAGCCTTCTGGACAATAATTCCCAGCTGGGCAGTTCCCGACGGTGCCGTTTGTGGTGCCTTGGCCTCGGGCGTTGATTGCTCCGGTGACACAAACATACCCCGCGGCGCAAAGTCCGGTAGGATGGGCTTGGCCTGTCATGTTACAGAAGGAGCCACCGGTGCAAAGTGAGCATTGCGTGACATTGGAAAGGCCCGTTGAGTTACTGAATGTGCCGACAGGGCACGGGTATGGATTCGCATTGGTTCCAGGCGGACAATAGTACCCGGCAGGGCACGTCAGTTTGGACGCAGTCTGAACTCCGTCGCAATACGACCCTGCAGGACACGGCGTACACGCAGATTGGCCCAATGTGGCGCTATACGTCCCTTCAGCACACTTAAGCGGCTGATTCACCCCCGCAGGACAGAAGAATCCCAGTGGGCAAATGTTGCCAGTAACGCCATCGGTAGGCGTTGGCGTGGATGCGGCCAACGTACAGAAATAGCTGGGTGCACAAAGCCCAGACTGGGCAATAAGGCCCGTGCCGTTGCAGTACGTTCCACCGGGACAGAGCGAACAGTCTGCGAGCGTTTGCCCCAGAATGTTGGGGCGGTAAGTGCCGAGTGGGCATAGAATCGGAATCGCAGACCCTTGTGGGCAATACGCTCCCGTCGGACACACGGTTCCAAACACTTGATTGTTGGGGTTTTGAAATGGGGCACCTACATCGTTATGTGACGCCACGACGAAAAGTAAGGTGCGTAGTAAGTACCTCCGGTGCAGGTGTAGCCAGCCATGCAAGGTCCAGACGGTTGCGTCAACCCACTGGATGCGCAGTAGTATCCAGGTGGACATTGCAAGCATTCAGACACAAGGGCTAGCCCTGTTCCGTTGCTAAACGTACCCGCAGGGCACTTTTGAGGCAAAGATGTGCTTTGGGGGCAAAAATATCCTTGCGGACACGCCACGGGGGTCACTGTCGCTGTCCCATTGCAGTAAAACCGCTCTGGGCAATTTGTGCACACGGCTTGCCGCACTTGGTTGTTGAATGTCCCGGGAGCACACGCCGAAGGTCCGTACGAACCGGCAGACGAGTAGTACCCGATAGGAGACTCGTTTTGCGTTGGCGTGGTCGCTCCCAAGGTGCAGAAGTATCCTGCCGCACATCCCCCCGTCGGAAGTGCTAGGCCGCTGCTTTGACAGTACGCGCCAGGTGGACATGGCGAACAGTCTGAAAAACTTTGGGCACCTGTGTATCGTCAAAGTTACGCCTCCAAACAACGATATTTGAGTGTGCAATACCTGTGGCATTGTTGAACGTTCCAGTGGGGCAAGGAATCGACGTGTATGAGCCGAGCGGGCAGTACCCGCCCGTGGAACACAACCCTCCAATAAGACCACCTGTGCTGTACACGGCTGTGCCAGCAGAGCCACTTGGGGCAGATGTGTACGAGCCACCCGTGCAATAGAACCCTGCGTCGCAAGGTCCACTGGGGTTGGTGAGGGCGGTTCCGTCGCAGTACATTCCTGGCAAACACGTGTTGCAGTTTTCCATCATCTTCAAATTCGTAGCGTTGCCAAACGTGCCCAATGGACACGGTTCAGGGTCGGACGTTCCCGTGATGCAATAGTACCCTTGTGGACAATCGATGGGTCTGATGGATGCGATGGTGCAGTACTTTCCCGCCGGGCACACGATGCATTCGTCTTGGGATCGCCCTTGCGCTCGATCGAGATAATACCGGGGCGGACACGCCACTTGAGTCGTGGATGTGGACATTGGAGGGCAATAATAGCCAGGGGAACACAGGCCAGTGGGTACAATCGAAGCCTACGTCACCACACGTGTAATCATACACCATAGTTTGCGTAACAATTATGAAAGAAGTAAGGTACCTGCAAGCTGTAGTACCCAGCAGGAGTTGGAATACACCCAGCGAGAGAATCTTGGCCAGTGACGTTGTTGTACGTGCCAGCAGGACAATACACGGGCGCGGGGGTTGCGATGGGACAGTAATAGCCCTGGGGACACGCGTTTGTCTGTAGCGTCGGCTCGAAACTCGTGCCTGATGGACAGTATGTTCCATTGTAGCACCGGCCAAACAGAGACCCTCGAGACGTCCACAGCCCAGCAGACGTCGGCAAGAGTTCCGTGGGGGTCGTGTTGCTGCCGCAGAAATACCCAGCATTGCATGTTCGACAGGCAGCAGACCCCAAGGGAGCGTGAAACCCTACGCCACATGGATTCGGACTGACACTACCAGCCGGACAGTAATTTCCAGCAGGGCAAAATGTACATAGAGGCCAAATCCCTGGCCCAGCAGTAGTTGTGTTCATGTCAGAAGTGTACGAGCCAGCAGGACAAGGCACTGGGACGACGGACCTACACAACAATTGTCAGATCAGCTGCCTCGCTCAAATAGACGCACCCCTGGGGGCAATAACTGCCCGGTGGACAATTGGTGCATTGAGTGGGGTCGGTCAAATTGGTGGCTGCCGTGTAAGTGCCAGCTGGGCAAGGGAAACGGTCTCGTGCGGGGGTTCGTTCAGGGCAAAAATGACCCGGAGCACATGGCCCATCGACTGTAGCTCCGCCACCGAGACAATACGAGCCGGGGGGGCATGTCGAGCATTCACTGGCACTTGCCAAGTTCGTTTGAGTGCTCCAAAACCCAGGGGGACACGGGAATTGGTTTGGAAACGCAGTGCCGTTGGGGCAATAGAAACCTATGGAAAGAACTCTTGTCATGAAATCATCAACCGCTCGTGATAAAGGTCGAGTACCAGCCGCGCAGCTCAACTTTTGAAGGGCGTTACTCCCAGTGCCACTGTAGCACGCAAATCGCTGGGGGCAGATGGAGCAATCGTCCACACGGGTCAGTGTGTTGTTATCCGTAAAGGTGCCCGCCGGACACTCATTCGACAGAGCAGAGACTGTTCCCACGGGACAATAGTGACCAGACGTGCATAGGTCGGTGTATGCAATTTGTCCAACATGAGGGCAGGACCACCCAGCTGGACACGGAATGCATTCTTGGATGCTAGATCCTGATGAAAATGGGTTGTAGTGGCCTGCTGGACAAGGTGTGGGGCTTACAGAGCCTTGGGGACAGTAGTTGCCCAAGGTACACGGGATGCACTGAGCAGATGTCGTGGATCCCGTGTGGCTGTCCCCGTACGTTCCAGCTGGGCATGGAAATTGAGTGGCGCTTTGAGTGTTGGCAGGGCAATACGACCCAGATGGGCACACGATCGGATTGGCACTACCAAGAGGGCAGTACGAGCCTGCGGGGCAGCTTCTGCACACGGCGGACGACGTGGTCGACGAATCTGGGTTGTATTGGCCGGCTGGACAAGGAAATGCTGTGCTGATTGCTGTGCCAAGTGGGCAGTAAAACCCAGGAGGACATGGCTGCATGCTCACCACCGTGGAGCCACTCGGGCAAAAGTGGCCTTCGGGGCACGGAGCACACGCTTGGTCAACGCTCTAACAAAGCAACACAAGCATATTAGTACGACGTTAAAAAGGAATGAGATGTACCTGGCCTGCAGTGGTATTGCCATATGTCCCAGCAGGACACATGAAAAAGGTCGTCGGGGGGTTGCAGAAACCACCAGCTGGGCAGGCATCCCTAAAACAAGAAATTAAGGTGGTGTATCCATCAAACATGTTGTCGTACTCTGGGGGGGTGGGGGATGTGGAGGCCAAACTGCAGCGAAAGCCAGGGTTGCATTGCAAGCAATTCACGGCAGCTCCAGGGCTCCAATACCCAATGGGACAAGGTTGGGGGGGTTGTGTTGGCTGAGGACACTCGTATCCAGGAGGACATGCTGTGCACGAAGGTTGGCCGGCCAGAGAATATAACCCAGGTGTACACGATGTGGGGGTCGAGCTAAGGTCCCCACAACTGGAGCCAGCAGGACATACCGTGCAATCGAACTGTCCTTCTTTCGAGTACCTACAATAAAACCCAGCTGCGTCACCAACGCAATCAACTCGAACAAATGGTACGTACATTCCTAACAGACACCGTGTGATGTTGGGGCTACTTGGAGACAGGCATTGATACCCACCTGGACATTGGGTGCAGCTGCTCTGGCCAATGTCTGAAAAGGTGCCAAGACTACATGGTGTTTTGGTCGCCGTTGTGGGGTCCGCACACGCATACCCAGCCGGACAAGGGACGCATTCCGTGAGTCCGCCAGTACTGTACCGCCCAGGTGGACACGGAATTAGCGTGTTGGCGTACGTAAACGGACACGAAAACCCAGCCGGACACTTGGTGCACACTGTCGCGCTGCCTGTGGAGTAGTACCCAGCAGCACACGCGACGTTTCCCGACCCGTCTGCCGTTGGGCACGCTGAACCACTGGGGCAAAGGGTGCAATTGGCAGCTCCTCCTTGAGAGAACGACCCGGCAGGACATGGCAATTGAACCGATTGGTCCACATTCGGACAGTACTTTCCAACGGAGCAAGTAGTGCAGTTAGTGGCCCCAGCCAATGCAAACGTTCCTGGCAGGCAAGCCACCGGCGTGGACGAAGTTGTGGAAAAGCACGCGAAACCGGCGGGACAAGTGATACACGAGTTTTGCGAACCGGAACTATACGTTCCTGGAGCGCAAACGGTGGGCACCCCAGACGGTGTAGTGCACTTCATGCCTGGAGGACATGGTGCGCATGAAGTGCTTCCGATTGAGCTACGAGGACATTAGATGTGTGTCTTTCGATGCCCAAGTCAATAAAACGCACCTTGTGGAGCCGAGAGGACACGGAACGGGCGGCATCGAAGTGGAAGTACAGTATGAACCTGCGGGACATGCTGTACAATTACTGCTGCCAGTGGCAGAGTAATAGCCCGCTCCGCAAGGCTGAGGGGGAGTAGTCGGGTTTGGGCATTGAAACCCAGCTACACATGGGTCGCATTGCCGTTGGCCAGCCGCCGATGTGGTTCCACTGGAACATGTTGACGGGGCTTGAGTGGTAACAGCGCAACTCGATCCAGCCGGACATGTCGTGCATTGTATTTCTCCCTACCGTCAAGAAGGTGAGTCATCCAGATTTGTATAGTGAATTTCATAGGTTGTACATTGAGGCTGTATTGGCCTGGACTGCACGGCTGGAGGTCGTTGTTCACACACGAATATCCTGGTGGACACGGTGTACACGAGGCATTTCCTTCGACGCTGTATGCACCTGCGGGACACGCCACGGGCATGATTGACACGGACACACAAGATCGGCCAGGTGGGCAAGCAGTGCAGGCCATCGCCCCGGCCAAACTACTCCGATTGGCCATTCTCAAATTAGGCTGGTACATCGAAGGTTTAGTACCTATATGTGCCGAGAGCACAAGGGACAGGGAGATTGGTTGTCGTGGGGCAGCTCGATCCAGCGGGACAAATCGTACACGCCGTCGAGAGACCGACTGCATACGTTCCGTTGACACAGGTCAGAGGGGCGGCAGTCGTGACAGAACATGCTTGGCCGGGCATGCATGGGGAGCACGCCACGGCACTTCCGAGGGCGTACGTCCCAGTGGGGCACGATTGCGGCAAAGTCGTAGTGTTGGGACAGGAAGCTCCAGCTGGGCATGGCGTACATGTCGAGCTTCCCTATGTCACCAGATAAACGATGGCATTAGTTTAGTCTGTTATCTGGTATGTTATAATGCAACAGAAAATTACCGTCAACGAGTAAGTGCCGACAGCGCATGCTACAGGGGCTACCGATGCTTGCAGGCACCCATAGCCGAGCGGACAAGGACTGCATGAGGCCGCCCCGCCCAAACTGAACGTATTGGGGGGGCAATTTGTGGGTGGAGATGAAGGTGACGAGCAGGACATGCCAGCAGGACAGGGCGTGCATATGGCGTTGCCCAAGGACGTTGCCACTGAACCAGGAGGACACGGTTGACATGCTGCCACGGAAGTGGATTGGAGTCCGCTTGAAGCAGTGCCAACGGGGCATGGAGTCGGCGCCGCGCATCCGCCGCTACAGAAGGCCCCAGCAGGGCACTGCACACACGTGTCGTCTGTGAGAGTGAACGATGCCGTGGAAAACCCTGGTGCGCATCTCGCCAAACAATTGACCACGGCTACATATGTATAAGTCGTTGAGATTTCGATTTCAAATGGAACCAAGGGAATGTACCTGAGTACACGGTCGTCGTGTCGAGCGCGACTTGCTCGAGCACAAACGCCTCCGCAGTGGTCGTTTTCAATACGCCAACGCTGTTCAAGACTCCCTCGGATGCTGGATTCCACACATTTCGCAGCCAGAATGCGATGGTGGACCCCACGGGAATGATAGCGCCGTCGCCAGTCCGCTTGATTTTCACGGCGTTGTTTGCTTGACTTGTCGTGTAGCCGCCCGATGATGTAAGCATGTGCAATTCCACAGATGACGTCAAGTTGAAGGACGCATGAAGCTGCAAGAGGTACTCGCCATTGGCCGGAATTGCGAGACCGGTCGAGAATGACACCAAAAGACCGCCGTCTTGTGCTGCTCGATGGGATTGCATGCCAACGTATCCAACGTGCAAGACACCAGGTTGAGTGGCTGTCACGGGTTGCGCCGTGACGGTGTCCAGCAGGGAGTTTGAGTCACCAAGAAGCTGCACCGAGTACGTGTCGGGTATGCCTGACGCGGGTGGCACAAAGCATGAAAGTCCCAAGTGGACGACGGATCCGGCGGTGATCGGTGCATTGTTCACGAGGGAAAAGTGAATCAATCGAGTTGATTGGTTTTTTGTCGTGATGAATACGGTGTTTTGATGTCCGTCGACCGTCAACGTAGGTATGAGATTGTCATCCAGCATGTCAACATAAGAAAACGGTGGAGGCAGTTGCCACACCAAGGTCGCGTTCGCTGGAGCATCCACGGCAAAATGCGTGTCCATGGTGAGAGTAGACAATGCACCTGCGGTGGGCTGAAGGAACCCCACGCTCGATGGTGTCGCAACTGTAGTCGGCGTTAATAATGAAGAAGGGACATGTGAATCGAGTGGGTAAACGTACCAAGGCGTCTGGTCAAGGCAGTGGGGCTTGAAACAGCATCGTAGAACGAAGACATCCATGACGAAGCATGGATTCTAGCAGCGATGCATGCGAAAATGACACACCACGCAAGGAAGCGATGGCGGTCCATCGCCATGCTTCAAGGGGAATGGCGTCTCTCCAAGATTTGAATGCGCGGAACTTTTGTCAAACCTGTAAAATTCGTATCCGGATACACCTGTATAAACAGATATCCGGATGCCGTTGATAGCATTTCGGCGGCTGCAGCGTCAGCAAGAACCTGAGGAAGTAAAGACGTCGACATGGTGGAAATCATCCTAGACCCGAGCATCCGCGATTGGGTCGTGCTTCCTATGATCCTGCTCTTCGTGTGCTCGGCCATGGCGCGGAACTACGTGTCCGTGTTGTTGAAGACCGAAGAAGTCGGCGCCCTCGAAGAAGTGCGGAAAATGTATGGCACACATCGTCGACGAGGTTGGTGATGCTCACGATGGTTTTGTTGTGTAGCCAAGCGCTGCGACGGGCAGGCCAGTTGCGCATGAACTGCCAGTACATCCAGCCCAGTTCATTTGCCATGCGCAAGTTTTACTTCACGTCGTCGGAGAAGAAGGACGGCGTGCAGGGGTTGCTGCGTGAAAAGGTCAAGAATGACGCTATGAACCAAATGATGAACCCCGCTGGCATGATGAAGATGATGAAGGGCAACATGACGTTCATGGTGTCCAACTTTGTCATGATGGGGCTCGTCGGGTACTTTTTCGGCGGATTCGTCTTGCGTACGTACCTCCTTTGTTTGCAATACTTCATGTGTACCTGGTTCTAGTCAAGGTGCCCTTCTCTCTCAGCCAGCGCTTTAAAGCCATGTTGCAGCGTGGAATTGACATGGCGTACGTTGGATGCTCTCTCTATATATATATCCACGGGTCGTGCTGACATATCACTCTGTAGGACGTTGGACGTGTCGTACGTGTCGTCGTTGTCGCTGTACTTTCTCATCATGTTTGGCATGAGTGGATTCATGTCTCTTCTTCTCGGAAAAGGAAACCGTACGTGCATATATCTTTGCATTGAACCACTCGCGCATTCATCCCCTTGTAGTGAACGAAGATGCCAAGGCGATGCAATTGCAAATGGGCATGGGGGCGGGCGCGGGGATGGGCTTTGACGCTCCGCGCATGTACAAGCAAGAGCGCGTGAGCTTGCGTCTCCACGTCCACGAGTTCGCGTTAGAACATGCCGAAAAGAAGTTGCTCGGGGATCCCATTCCGGAAAAAGTCGAAGGCGTCGCCGCAAGTTCCGCTGCTACGACGACAACGTCGTCCGCTGGCACATCGAGCGTCCCGCGTGCGAAACACGCCAAGCGTGCTCGAGCTTAAGAACTCGTGCACGTTTTAAAGTGAAAATGAGGTGTTGCTTTGGATAGTAGTAAATACTTCATATCCTCGAGGGATATTGGTCTTTTCGTTTAAATTACGCATTTTTGCATATATGTAGATGTAAAGATAGGTTGATTGTTAGATGAACTCGTGGGTTTGGTACGGGGCCTTGACTTTGACGAGCATTTCGTCCAACACGGCAGTATTCGAGTCGGTGAGGATCTTGTGCAGCTTGGGCTTCCACTCCCGCACCCGCGTATTGATAAACCAGTTGTTCACTTGGTCCATCGTGATGCCGCCTTCCCGTCGAAACCGGTCCTTTTCCTCTTCCGTCGGGTACGGGTGGTGAAAGTTGGCGTCAAACCACGTCCGAAGCAGTCGCTTGGCGTCGGTCGACAGGTTCGTGCGCTTCTTGGGTTTGGAAGTTGACGGGAGCTGCAATGGCTGCAGGGATAAGGACGACGGCGGGGGCTGCGATGATGGCAACTCGGCAAACACGTGATTTATGGCCTCAGCGTACCGCGCCCGGAGCTGCGTCGAGGCGCCGCCCACAGCATAGCCGAGCATGGTGGTGGCTTCTGCCACGAACGCCATCTTGGACTGGGCCATCGATTCAGATAGCAGTCGGCCCGGCGGGCGCTCTTCAATGTACTCCAACTCTGACAAGTCAAACATGTCGGCTATGGCGAGCCACAGTGGGTCGGTCTTAAGATTAGCGGCTGCTGCTGCCACGTCATGTTGGACCCCTGCGGAACTCAAAATGATGTCGGCGGTCGTGTCTTCGTACAGCTTGGAGCTGCTACAAATCGGCTTGGCACAGTCGACGGGGTCATCAGCGGGGCCAGATGATGGCCGCGGGGAGTAGTTTGGTAGGTTGGGTAGTGTCATGGCAACCTGTACTTTTGGACAATGTTTCCAGTCCAGGTCCTTTGGAGGGTCTTGTCCCATCAAGAGTGCCACAGAATGGACACGTCGAATAAGAGTGGCCTGTGCATGGCCCGATTATATTGGACCGACTTTGGTGTCGTCCGAGCTTTTGAGGCTGTCAGTTCGAAAATTGATTTGGACTGGAAACATTGTCCAAATTAACAGGTTGCCATGACACTACCCAACCTACCCAACTACTCTCCGCGGCCATCTTCCCACCGCCGACCAGACCCTGTGCCGTCGGGCTCCCTCCTGGACTTGGTTCACTCGCATCCGCTATCGCCAATGATTCGACGAGCCATGATGGCCTTGTCATCACCTTCAGGCACTGTTTTTGGCAGTGGATTCGTGTTTCCTACCAAGCGGGAACTAGCCAAATTGATTGCTCAAGCCCAAGCCCCGGCGTTTGCCAAGGTGACTCCTACGCTGCTTGTGCTATTGACGTTGCATTTCAAGCTGCTTCGGTACGTGCGCGACCTGAGCCACCGGATCGGTGAAGCCCTCGCGCGGGGCTGCTCTGCGCCCACGAGCAGCAGCAGCACTTGCAGCAGCAGCAGTCCGATCTCCATCAAGAGCTGCGACTCTGACGACGATGACCGAAAGGTCAAGCGCGCCCGCCTCGCCCGGCAATCGAACGAGTTTATGACTGCATGGTTCCTGGCCCACAAGGCCAATCCGTACCCCACGGCGAAGGAGCGAGCCGAAATTGCATCTATGACGCACCTGAGCGACACCCAGGTAAAGAATTGGTTTGCCAACATGCGAAAACGACATTGGAAGCCCCCGCAACCTGAGAAGTTGCCACGCTGCTTAATGGACGTGATGTTGCGACGCGACCCCACCAACCAAGGGTAGAACGACCTCGACGAGATATACACAGTACAATCAAGGTGTATGCTGTATTTGGACTGTGTTGCACAATTCGACGTACGGCCCCAATTTGTCGACAATGGGAGATACGCAGTCTTTAAGTCTATTCATCGTCCACGGAAGGTCGTTCGCCGATTTCGTTCTTCACGTACTTTGTCGTACGGAAATTGGACGTGCCAGCGGCAGGGGCCACACCAGCGGCGGAAGGAGCCTTCACACCAAACGTTTCTTCCTTGTATTCAGGAGTCAACGCAGGCCATGCTAACCAGCCGACAACCACGGCACCAGGGGCAGCCCAAGGAGCTACTCAAGGCTATGAGCGCATAGGTCTAAGAAGCAGGAAAGGGAGATCGTACCAAGAGGGGCTACAGACTTGGCCAAGTACTGCACGCCGAACACAAAGTTGGAAGGGGTGGCGAAGACGCGGTTCATGGCTGAAATGCGGCGGCAGGGAAAACTGACTGAACCAACCAACTGCCTTCAATACGCCCGTGGGGATTGGTTGCATTTTTATTTCGCTCGCTTTAATTTTAGCCAATCAAATTACTACCTCCAGGCAGAATTTAGGCACATATTTGCGGATTTCGAAAATTCTCAAAACTATTCGAAATATTGTGGATTTGGTCACAAATTTCCAGACCCCGTCCAATCGAATCTCGCCGCCGAATCGAATCACGAATCGACGCTATTGGCTAATCCAATTTTGAGTGGATTTGATTGGCTCTTACAGAAAGGACAGTATACAGTACCAGCGTGATTCAATATTGATTAGACAAACCACGCGAATTTTGGAAGTTTGTATCGTAAAAGAACAGTTTAAGATAACTTTGTATTGCCCAATCACACCTCGTTATTTGTTCGAGTCAAAACCTCTGTCATATAATGCTGACCATTCCGTCACGTGAATGAAATGCAAAAACGGCGTAGAAGCCATTGGTAACAGTCATTTAAGATTGGGTTTGAAGTGCCCTAGTCAACACGGGCCACATTGGGTTGGATCTGAGGTTTTGTCGAGTGTTAAACTCAGTGGACATCCTGCCACAACAGAAATATAACTCTATAAAACAATACCTTTGTATAAATGATATAATATATGCACAGAATTTCAATGCTCCAAAATACATGCTTTAAGATAATAACAAGTTATCCTAAATTGGTTATCAAAATGTGAGTACAAATGCTTAGAAAGTAACAAATTTATCTGTGAAGTTCATCGTCGAAACTGATAATATGATTATAAAGTGAAAGCGGCGGGACTTGTCTATTGATCACGACTCAAAACTCAAATATCGTAACGGACTCCCATTCTACTCCAACGCCTCCAAAAAAGTTATCTTAAATTGGTTTTTTACGTTAGCGAATTCACAATATATAAAGATTTCCCTTATGGCGGGTTTATTTCCGTCTGGAGGGAGGTACACTAGTACTTGATATGATTGTGTATTTGGCAAATACTACAAGTACAAGAGTAAATGCCTGGAGGGGGCGGGAAATGGTAGAATGAACTCGATGGAGCTGATGCCTATTGTCGCAATGTCACACGATCGGAGTTCTTGCTTCACCTGATTGACAGATACCTCCTTCTTCGCTGGTGGTTTGGTCCTCACTCAACCTTGCTCGATGGAAGTGCACTTTCTTCGAAACCAGAAAACCGTTTCATTATTATTATCAAGGCATGAATAGTATTTTTATAATTACACATCTAAACGATGTTATGTGATGTTATATTTCGAGCAAATATAGCAAAGATCCTCAATTGGGATGTTATATTTGAGATAGCCGCTTTCAAAGTCATTCAACATGGGCCAAAATACACCGATTATCCCAAGACTCAGTTCTCGTGTTCACCACTATTATCTCTACAAAATGACGTATCGTAGAGGTCAGAATGAGCTGTATTCATCGAAGTATTTACAGTCATCCCCCGATTTTTGCAGCCCCGGGCAACTATAGCTTTATAGAGGTACTTATGTTGAAGGGTTGTATGAAGTCTTGGAGGAGTATACATGAACACTAGATAAGGAGATCAGTCACATTTGATGAGCACAAACTAATCCTAAAAATCCTAAAATCCTACACATTTTGTGAAAGGTGGTCGCCTGATTACTCAAAGAAAGTACACTCACAGTATTACTGTACCAACATCGAACAACGTCCTAGCTTGCATGCTATGCAGTGCTCGAATTTGTTCCGACAGCCATGTCGTCGTGTATGCAGAGTTAATCACTTTGCAAGAATTCGCATGGCTAATGGACAACGCCCGTGTTATCGTGGTATGACTTGGTGCTGGCACCGCATTTGATTCCAAGGATTAAATTTTCAATCTCCTGTTAAATTGAATATTCGATGGGATTACACAGGATATTCGTTTATACCAGGCTGCAAAAATCGGGGGATGACCTGCAAAAAAGGTTATATTTGCGTTTTTTTGCTACTTTGAGGACTCGTCACTCATGCTACAATGCTACAATCGCCACATTTCTAGGCTTGAACGATAGGGTGTAGCCCTCAACTAAGTTTGCAATAGCAATATTCATTACTCCGCTCGTGGACAAGCCGTCAGAGAGATATTCGATGTCAAAGTCATGTATTTTCGTAGTTAGCTAACAAAGTTGATCATAAATTATTAATATGACAACTGTAACTTCAAGTTGTATTTGAGGAAATGTTATATTATTATATTCATTGGTTTAAAAAATAATCACAATTCAATGTCAAATCCATTAAAATTACTTAACTGTTTTGACAGTGAGTCGAAGTCCCTACTCCATGCACTCCAATTTTTCGCGTCTCGTGGAAAGGCGAATCAAAACTCCCCAGCCCCAGTGCCTCAACTAACGTTACAAAGGATAAGAGGTACTACGTGGTATTGTCCTACCCAAAGTTTGGACTTTACATGTTACAGTAGTGCTGATTCGCCAAATCTATCGATCGATTCTTTTACTGAATTTTGTACGTAAAAAGGTGTCCTGTGGTGATTGGTATCGCTGGTAGTGTAATTCAATCTTACACTTGTTCGACGTTGGTGGTGGTTTCCTGCAACCTGATTGGCTCAATTATTCTGCCGATCCTTCTGCATATTTTGTTGTGACGATTCATTCTCCATGCCCCTGGTCGAGCAGGCGCGTTACAATTGGCGAAGCGGTTCGACAACATGTGGTTCTAGTATCGGCCCTCGCAGGAAAGGAAAGTCGTACAGTTAATAATGATAATCCAAACTCAATGAACCATGTCGCTCAGGTTTAAAATACTAGTAAACACAACAATACGATTGAGCTGCGTGGTATGCTGCCATTTTCGTTTGAGGTGTGCTGTTTTAGTCATTTCCCGCATCCTCGTGGTGAGATATTGTCCAGCTGCGACAATTGATGGGCAAGTTTCAAAAAGTACTCGTGCGACAAGTGATTGACATTTTCAAGTACTTCGAAGTACTACTTCGAAGTAGTACTGGTACTTGACAATTCGGTAGCTCCTGATATACTGCTTCGAAGTATGTACCGGTGCTCCATACCGCCTAACCCGGTATGCGAGGTCAATCGACGTGGCCATTGTTTAATTTGGTGTTCGACTTCCAGGTCTACCAAAGGCAGGCCCTGTTGGGGCAAAATACCGCTTTCGCATATTACGGTAACGTTACAGTATAGCTAGCTACCCGTACCTAAATACTCGCGCGAAAATTTCAGCCGTGTCCAGCATACAGATTTTCGCCACCGTTACAGTCGCATGCCTAAGGTTCGAATGGAATGAACAACTCGTTTTTTGCCTAAACTTAATAAAAAAAGGTTTAAACTTTGATTTCAAGGTAGGTTGTATATTTACCTCAGGATTCAAAACGAGTTAAACGCACGGGTGTCCGTCACTGGAGCTTTTGTCGGACCAATCAAATGCCATTCTGTCCATTCGTAGCCAATGAGGAGGAGAACTGAATGAGATGAGATGAACGTGCCACATTTCCATATTCGCAGCCATGACCACACTGTCCTCCAGCAATCAAGCCACGCCTCCGCTGTCCACATGCTCATCGTCGGAATCGACTACGGCGGAAGACAACCTTGTACGCACGGGCATTCTCTACAAGAAGGGCCGTAAGACAGGGTTCTTCAGCCGACAGAATTGGAAGCCGCGGTTCTTCATGCTCACGTGGGAAAAGCTGTCGTACTATGAATTTGAAGGTGGCGAGCTCAAGGGCGAAGTCGACTTGCGCAGTTGCACCAACAAGGACATCCAAGTCATGCCAGATGACTGCAAGAAAACTGGCCAATCTGCCTCATCCATTTGGCGCATTGCCATCTCAACCCCTGCCCGTCGACTGTTCATTGCCGCCACATCTGAATTCGAAATGATCGAGTGGCTGGAAGACCTCCGCGACGTCACATCCCGTCATGAACGGATGGGGGGGGGAGCCAGCGATATGGTGCGGCCTAGCGTGGTGCGGCCTAGCGTAGTGCGTCCGTCGTTGATGGACTCTGTGGACCTCTTGGCCCTGTCGAACCCTCGTCGGTTCGCCGCCATGCCTGGCAAAGTTCACCTTCGACGAAAAGTTCTCGCCCACCAACATAACGAGCGCTTTAGCCACGACGGATTTGGCGTAGTGGCCTAGCGCATTCTCTTTGGCATAGTTATTGTGTAAAGACATTATTTATGACAAAATTCGATCGCTTGCTTTGGTTATTCGTGTCGCGTGTAATTATTCTTGCCGCAAGAAATCTCCGTTCTACAGCCAAGATGAGATTTGGGTTACTGTTACGCCTTCCTTTAGTATTCAAAGTCATAGGTGGTCCTTTTGACGATGGTCATAAGTACGACACAGAATACCTCGTTTTGGACCAAAATCAATACCGTTGTGTATTAGAGTTGCTAAATAATGTCGTGCGTCGACTTGTCGTCTTGGTGGTGGGCCATCCGCAGCTCCCGTCGAAGATGGAGTTGCCCTGGAACGAGCGAGATATTGCGGCGGTTGGTTTTCGCCAACACGTCATACGACTCGAGCAAGAGGGGGCGAAGATGAGGTTGTTCTAGTCGGAATACTTGGGTTTCTGTGCCTGCAGGAGACTGTTCGTGCCGCGTTGTGACCTTGACCAAGTCTCGTATCCAGTCTCGCATGTCGAATTCCGTCGGGGCTGCTATCAAGAATCGGCGCTGGGGCGTGGTGATAGCAACTCGCCAGATGGAGGAGGCTGACCGCCCTGTCTTCTGGCAGTCGTTTGGCATGACGGCAATGGCGTCTTGACTGCATCGAGTCAAGTCCACCTCGCCTTTCAACGTGCCTCCTTCGCACGTGTAGTACTGGAGCTTCGACCACGTCAAGACACAGTACCGGGGATTCCAGTTGTCGCGGCCGAACACGCCCACCTTCTTACCCTTCTTGTACAGCACTCCTGTGCGCACAATCTTAGTCTCGTCCATTTTGCTAGCTAGCCAGTGAGTGATAACTTGTGACCTCGAAGTGCTGTCAAGTTTTGTCAAATGTTACTTCACACTTTGTGGCCAGGTACATACTGCTGGTTACACCATGAGGAGACATTTGGTCAAAATAATGTCAGGTTTGACATGGGAAATAATATTGGATAATTTTTGATTGGCTTGGCTTCGATTACCCACTTGCCACAGGACTTTTTGGTGCAAAGTCAACCGCTTTGCTAACGTTACTGTACTAGTCTTGGCACACTTGGAGGCGTTGGTGGTATTAATATGAAGTGTCCACGTTAGTGTGGTCGAAACGATTGACTCTTTATAAGTTGTATCGATTCTTCAACTTCGTCTTCACAATGCATATATATAAATGTTGCTGAGGATATTAATTTATACAAGCTGCAACGTTACTCAAAACACGATCTATGATTGGTGCATTTTCATACGACCTACGATCGTATTTTGAATATGCACCAATCATACAGTGAACCTCTGAATTTCTATTCAAAGTTGAATACAAAAAGGAAGGTTAAAATATATACGTGGCACTACTCATAGTACAGTACAATAGTTCGTTCCGTGTTTGATCATAAGTAACTTACATTTACGTTCCATTTCCGACCAAATTTACAGTAAGCATTTGTTCCATCATTCTCACCATATGCTCCAACCTCCGACCGCTATGCGAAGCGGTCGGAGTTGGAACATATGCACAGCACATTCGGGATTTCACAGGGTGTTCCCAAGGAAATACGAAGTACATGATGTACAGTAGTTTAGGGTAATCTAGTACGCGGTATACAGACATAATCCGAAGCCTCGCAACCCCCGGTGGAAGCATTTACACAACGCAGTCCACAGGTCGACGCATGTGATGTCTTACTAATTTGACAATACTGTTGCGGATTGCTTCATCCCCCGATTTTTGCAGCCCCTACCAAATACTAGGGGGTATAGTTTTACGGAGGTACTTATATGCAAGGGTTATATGAAGTCTTGGAGGAGTATACCTTCACACTAGGTAAGGATATTAATCACATTCGATGAGCAAAATCTAATCGTAAACATCAGAATACCCTACACGTTTTGTGAAATGTAGTCGTACAATGTCTCAAAGCAAGTACACTCTCATTCTTACAGTAGAAACATCTAACAACGTCCTAGCTTGTTATCCAGTGCTCGAATTTATTCCGACAGCCATGTCATCGTGTACGTAGAGTTAACCACTTTGCAAGGATTCGCATGGCAAATGGACAACGCTCGTGATATTGTGATATGACTTGGGGCTGGCACCGCATTTGTGTTCCCAGTATTAATTTTTCAATAGCCTGTTAAATTGAATATTCCATGGGATTACACAGGATATTCGTTTATACCAGGCTGCAAAAATCGG